GAGGTCCAGATCAGGGGTGATTCCGAACGCTCCGAGTGTTTGCGAGAGCATCTCGCGATGCTGTCCAGTCGAGCAGACTACAACTTCGTCATCATCTCGTGCGTGCTCACGCAGCGCATGGATGACCGGCGCGAGTTTGATCGCCTCGGGTCGTGTTCCAAGTACTACAAGTATGCGTGACATGACACCCTTCCGGTCGCTGTCCGGCGAGATTGGACTGAGGTTCGAGCCCCAACCAACGAGTATAGGGTTCCCCACACCCCTCTGAAGCTTTCTCCGCAGCACGATCTGGGTTGTGCCCCCTCGATTCAGTCGTGCTACGGCTCTTCCCCTATAGTATGCCCGCTCATGACCTCCGCTGAAACTCCCAGTCCGACGATCTCTCAACCGCTGGAGGTTGAAGCTGCTCCGAATGCAGACCAAGAGCGTCACCAAACAGGTCATGACTTGTCGCGAGTCTCAGTTTTGATACCAGCGTATAAGCCGGACGCGACGACGATCAAGCTCGTCCAATCCCTGCTCAACGATCACTACGGCGAGATTCTGGTCATCGACGATGGATCAGGAGAAGAGTTCAGACACATATTCGATGCGATCGAGCAGATGCACGATGTCCGCGTGCTCCGACATGCTGTGAACTTGGGTAAAGGAACAGCGCTCAAATCAGGACTCAACGACCTCGCGGTTCGGCATCCGGACTTCGCGGGGGTGATCACCGCAGATGCGGATGGTCAGCATCTTCCTGAGGACATCCGGAAAGTCGCATGCGCCCTCATTGAGCACCCCAAGAAGCTCATTCTGGGGACGCGAGCGTTTGAAGACTCGGTGCCGTTGAGGTCAAGACTCGGGAATACCGCGACCAAGTATGTCTACCGATTCTTCACCCCCACCAAACTCAACGACACACAGACCGGCTTGCGAGGGATCCCGACCTCGTTGATCCCGGATGTGCTCCAGATCAGCGGCGATCGGTACGAGTTTGAGATGCGGATGCTGATCGATCTTCGTGTCCAAGGCGTCGAGTTCCATCAATGCGAGATCCAGACGGTGTATGAGCCGGGGAATCCGACCTCGCATTTCCGAGCATTCACGGATTCGATGCGGATCTACTCGGTTTTCACGCGATTCCTTGCCACTTCGTTCGCGACATTTCTGATCGATGTGCTGATGTTCTCGATCATGATCCGCATCAGCGACAACATCGCGCTGTCGATGGCGATCGCGCGTCTCGTCGCTGGTATCTATCAGTTCCATGCATGCCGAGTGTTTGTGTTCAAGTCCAGCCGACCCGTCGCGACCTCCGCTCTGTGGTACGCGACGCTCGTGCTGCTCTCAGGGTTCGTGTCCTACGGCTTGATGACTGCTGGAGCATTGGTCTGGGAAACAAACCTCGTCTTGCTGAAAGTGATCTCCGAGACACTGCTATTGATCGCGAACTTCTCGATCCAGAGACTGCTCATTTTCCCGCAAACCACCCAACGCAAATCCATAGCATCGTGAGCACCTACGCACCATGAACGAGTCCGCACAGATCGAAACCAATGATTGCTCTGCCAATGAAACGGATTGGACGAGCTACTACAAGGCACCGTTCAAAGCGACGACATTCACGAGAGAACGGACCGCGAACCTCCTCGTGCGCTATCTATCCCTCTGGAATCAGGAGCACCAAAGACAGCATCCCCGTATCATCGAGATCGGTGGCGCCAACTCGTGCTTCTATGAGCGGTTGCGCAATGAGTTTGCTCCTTCACACTACTCAGTGCTGGACATGAACGAGTACGGCCTCGATCTGTTTAGAAATCGATTCGCTTCTGATATCGAGTCAAGAAAGGCTTCAGCGCACAAAGCGGATGTGCTCGACGAGCAGGGATTGGGATCGTTCGAGCAAGCGGACATCGTGTTGAGTGTTGGGCTCATCGAACATTTCGATCCCGAACAGACGGCACAATCGATCCGATCTCATTTCACGCTCTGCAAACCTGGGGGCTTGGTGGTCATTACTTTCCCCACGCCCACTCTGCTCTACCGAACGACAAGATCGCTCGCGGAGATGATGGGAAAGTGGATCTTCCACGACGAACGGCCGCTCAAGTTCCCTGAAGTCGAGTCAACAGCGTCATTGCTTGGCAACAAACTGAAATCTCAGATAAACTGGCCCATCATTCTGACTCAAGGCATCGTCGCATACCGCGCCAACTGAGCAGTCCTAATCGGAGCACCAATGAGTCCAACTGTCCAAAGCGCCGTCACCTCCGCGGACACAGTCTGGGGCATGATCGCTGTGGTTCAAATGATCTGGCTCCCGGGCTATGTCCTGACCAAAGCGATCCGTATTCAGGGTTGGCTCACGCGATTGTGTGTCGGATTCGCCGCGAGTTTGTGGATCAATCTCATGCTGATCCTGCTGCTCAGTCTGACAGGGATGGTCAGCAAATCCGCTGTGATGACATTCATGATTCTTGAGCTTTGCGTGCTTGGGTTGTTGTGCTGGCGCGATGCTCGAACCCCGAGACAAAATATACCTAACTCTGTCTTTGCGGATTCAATTGAGTCTGAAACCGACTCCGGAAAACTCACAACGCTCGCCGTTCTCACGATGCTCGTCTGCGCTTTCATCGGCATTCAAGCGATCGGGCAGACCTTCTTTATGTGGGATGCCGTCGCGAGCTGGAATCGATGGGCGATGGAATGGGCGATGGAAGGCAAAGCGATCCGCGCGCGAGACTACCCACAGCTTCTCCCAGCGACATGGAGCATCAGCTACATCCTCATCGGACACACAGAGATCCAGCAGTTTGCGAAATCCATTCAGGGACTCTTCCCACTGCTTATGCTCTGCAGCTTATTCATCGCGGCTGTAGCACGGAAATCTGCAATCCTGATGCGTGCGATCCCGATCACCTTGATCCTGATCTGGATTCTCTACAAGCCGTTCTTCGTCTCAGGATATATGGACATCCCGGTCGCTGCGTTGATGACCCTCTCATGGTGTTTGGTACTGCGTGGAGCGGGGAAGAATGATCGATCTCAAGCAATCCGTACTGTGCTCTGGGGCGCGTTCGCAGGAGGCGTCGCCGCGGTCAGCAAACAAGCAGGGTTGATCCTCATTGTCTCACTGCCTTTGTTGATTCTCACAACTCAGTTTGTGAATCCTGATATCCGTCGCTGGAAGCTCGCGTTGGTTGCACTCGGCGTGCTCCTTGCGGTGCTGCTCCCTTGGTACTCCTATTCGAGTTACCTGATCTGGTCTGGACAAGACTCGTTTATCGGCAAAGAACTCATGGGCAACTTCCATCCGCGTCCGAGTATCGGAGGGAGATTCATTACCGCATTCGAGCGCCTCGTTCCTCCGCTCAAGATCGGCCGTGAGATTGACGGCTCATACATCGTTTGGGCATTCCTCCTCGGTTCATTCCTCGGCGTGTTCCATAGAGTCACGCGTCCAGTCGTGTTGTGTGTCGCGATTCCCTCTTGGGTGGTCTGGGCGCTGGGGTTCAGCTACAGCACTCGGAATATGGCCTATGCCGTCCCTGCGATGGCCGTGGGGATCTCAGGGACCATCGCGTTGATCTACCAGCTGACCAATGCGATCCGAATGAAGTTTGATGAACGGAATCGTGAAGAATCTGAGCACACACAACAAGCAGATCTCAAAGAGTCAAGAGCGTTCGTGCCTGTTGTTCTCGTGTTAGTAGCGCTCTTCGGGGTCTCACTCTTTGGATGGATTGGGCTCGATGGACCGAAGCTCGCGCAGTCGCAGATTGAGCAACGCAGCCAACTCGGGGTTCCCGCAATCAATCAGATGTTGTTCGATGCTGATGGCGACAATCAACGGCTCGGGATGGTTGGATCCTCCTACGCGATCCTTCGTTTCATCCCTGGATTCGAGAAGCGTGCGGTGTTTATGCCTCCTACTCAGTTCAAAGCATTCGAGGGGCATTGGTACGATCCCAACATCACCGGCTTCATCGTGCGAGACATCGGACATGTCGCCGACGACAAACGCATCATCGAAGAATACAAGCGTCTCGTTGAGCTCGGAATGCTCATCGAGCTTGGAGAACACGCGAACTGGCATGTTGCGATCAAAGGCTTTGATGCCGATATAGAGACGCCCTCACCTCTGCGATACAGCGAGATGACTCCACCTAAACCACTCTTGGAAGAGTAATCGTCTTCTCTTAAGTCGCTGAGAGTATAGGTTGCGGCCGCGTGATCAACGGGAGTGACCACTGCTGAGGGAAGTAAATCCCTCGTTCCCAGCAGGGCTCTGTGTGATAATCCGGCTTTGCGAATCCCGCATTACTGAGTTGTTCTTCCAAGCCATGCTTGTTGAAGATGCGCATCTCAAGCGTCGCGCCCTCTCCGCCGTGGAAGACCAGGTCGCGGAACTCCTGTGTCCGACCGTCGCGTGTGGTGTTGATGAGAACAGGATTCTTCCGATCTTTAGTGATCGTGAACTCGTGGAGTTCTGGGAAATGCTCAACCGTATGTTCCGCAAGCGAGAACGGCACGCTGAACACAAAGACTCCTCCAGGCTTGAGCAGCTTGCGTGCATTCTGAAACGCGATATCGACTGGAGGCGCGACATGCTCGAAGACATCGGTCGAGATCAGGAAGTCCAGGGTACCGATTAAAGATGGATCTGGATTCGTGATATCCACCATCGGCTCACGATCGTAATAAGTGTTGGTATACGAGAACAGTCTTGCAAGCGGCTTGGCATACGGCTCCCAATCACTCATCCCCATCCCGACGATTGATTTATCGGGTTTCATCTCTGTGAGCGACAGACTCTCCCCGAAGAGTTCCATGCTCAGGAGATGGACAATCGATCGCATGCGCACAGTCGAGTTGCACTTTGAGCATGATCCGGTCTCTCGTCCGAGTTGTTCCAACTGCACGCGATTCTGTTGACCGCAGATGTTGCACGCGAAGTCGATTATGTCCATATTTGTGTACCACCACTTCTAACAGGAAATATTGAGATTGAGATTCTACACCTCGGAACAAAGCGGATAGCCATATTCGGCAAGCGCTTCAGGAATCAACTGATCTGTAAAGTCACAGTCTTCTCGACTCAGTACTTTTTTCCATCGTCCCAGCTGATGAGTTGAGGGGTGCAAAGCCATATTTGATGAGTGCAATGATGTAGAGCCGTCTCTATTCTGGATCGTGTGAGCATCCACAGATCCGTATTCATCGAGATACCGAGCAACTTCAGAATCCTGCTTGATACCCAGTGCTTCAAAAACACTCTGCGAAACCTCGTGCGGGCTCTCGACCAGTTCCTCATAACTCAGGTTAAAAATAGAGTCCTCGTGAACTCTTTGGACGAACTTCCGATTGTGATCATCAAAAATCTTCCAGTTTTTGAGTCCCTCTTGATAAGTAGAGTTACTCATCTTCGCGATTGAAAGCGCGGCATCTCTTGGATCACGGACAAGATGGATGTATGTGGCATCCGAGTAAATCTCTTCAAGCAAGTCAAAACACAGAAAGAGGTGAGGGTGCTTGTCTCCGTAATAAGCGAGCTTATTCGTACCACCCGACTCTTCCATATCTTGATACGCCACGCGTTCGTAGAAACGATCGATAAGCTGTCGGCTCTCACTCCGCAATACATCGGACCATGCTTTGTTATGTGACTTCCCGAAGACGATCCCCTCCGAGGCGCCGATATGACTACGCCGAATCAACTCACCCAACTGCAGAACCACAGCGGACTCGTTCGTCAGCAGCACCTGCGGGTGCGCGTTCAATATCCTGCACAAGAAAGTCGTACCCGATCGAGCCGCCCCAAATAGGAACAGAGGCTTGGCATTCTTCAGCAGTGAATCTGCCCCTTGCGCCGAGTGAGTTGATGTCGAAGTGTCTGTGGTCATACTGCCCGATTCTCGAACGGATGGCTTGCTGGGTATATTCGGCTAGCGAGCTGTGGCTTTGACGGCTCCCGGATCGCCACGCTCGCAATGCGGGACCCAAGCTCCCCATTTGGATTCATAGTACTCTTTGTTCTTTACAAACAACCGATCCTTCCGCGAAGACCCGATCTTGTTGAAGCTCGCTGACAAGTGATGATGAACAAAGATATCGTTGGCGCAGCACACACGCAGACCGAGCTGGCGGACACGCTGACAATAATCATCATCCTCGAAGAATCCGAGACCAAAGTTCTCGTCCAGATCTCCAATCCGGTCATAAACCTCGCGACGCATGCCGCAGCAGAAGAACGCGACAACCGGGATATCAAATACGTCACCCAAACTCTCCCGCGTGAGCAAGTACGCTTCGCTGGGCATCTGCTCTACAGATTCGTATTGAGTCTCGACGCGTGCTTCGTTGCCGATGTTATTGGTGATCACGCCGAGGATGCCGACGCTCTCATCTCGACTGAGATGGTTGACCATCGTTCGGACCCATCCTTGGGTGACGACGGTGTCGTTATTCAGCAGCACGACAAAGTTGCCTTTGCATGCATGCAAACCGATGTTGTTACCCCTTGAGAATCCTGTGTTCTCGTCATTGAGGATCACACGAACTCTTTGCTCTTGCTCATCGAGTTCTTGAAGATACTGAGGGGTATCGTCAGAGCTCGCGTTATCTACAATCACCAGTTCGATGTTCGGATACGAAGTATCCGCGAGCACACTCTCGACGCATGTTTTGGTGAGATCAAGATTGTTCCATGTCACCACAACAATACTCACGAGAGATTCGGGATTTGTATCTGCTCTGAGTACCGCGAGTTCTTGATCCAATGCGATGGATCGAGCCGACCAATCTTGCCCCTCTGCGTAACGCTTCCGCCTAGCGACAAGTTGATTGTCATCGGCCTCTGCCATCGACAATCCAACCATTCTGAGGAACTCGTCGTGACTTGTTGCTCTATGGATCAGTTTGTCGATCTCATGCTCACGGAGCTCGGGCAAATCTGTAGTCACCACAGGCTTCCCAGCCGCGAGCATCTCATAGATCTTCACTGGATTCGTGGCGCGGATGAGATCATTGAGCACGAAAGGGATCATGCAAACATCCATACGAGCAACATACCCAGGGAGCTCACGATACGGGATTTCTCCAAGCATCATGATGTTGGCATACTTATGAAGCTTCTCGGAGACCCCATCTGAATCCGCGCCGATCAATACGACCAGCGCATCGGGATATTGCTCCGCGACGCGTGCAACAAGCTCGGCATCGAACCATTCAGCAATCGCGCCGTAATACCCAATCACCGTTCGATCTGGTGCGATCCCTTCGAACGCTTTCGGAACATCTCGGGGATCCTGATCTGCGAAGTGTTGGTACTCGCACGCATTGCGAACCATCGCTGTCTTTCGAGCGCGTGGTTGTGCGTATTCTTGCAACCAGTCACTGGTAACGATTGTGAGGTCCGAGTCGCGCAGCAGTCTCTGTTCGAGTTGCTCAAGCGTTGGACCAGTTTCAGCAAAGCCGTGATGATTGTCCATGCAATCATACAGAAGCATCGCATTAGGAATGTCGTACGCGAACGGTGACCAGCCGGGATGCTGAACCATACACACCGATTGTCCGACACCAAAATCGATCAGCACCTTCGATATTCCAGCGCGGATCTGATCCGCTTGGGTTTTGGCCAGATCCCCTTCGTAGATCAAGGGTGATCCTTTCACATGAAGACGGATTTGCACAACGCTTGCGGCGCTCTGATCAATTGGACTCGTTGCGATCTCCTCAGCAACATACCCCGGATCAGATTGATTCACAAACTGAGGCGAGAAGTAGAACACGCGATGACCACGATCCGCCATCCCAGCCGCGATGTGTTGTGGGCGCTGATGACGGAAATGCCAATCGATCACTCCGAAGAAGAGCATCGCTTCAGGAACTCGATCAAAATCGAAGTCTTGCTCTTCATTCACTGTGTTGAGATCTACTGCTGAAATCGAGGCAGACGGAATAGTTGCCGTCGGTTCGATCATGGAAGCCGCCGTGCGCTGCTGCTCACGATCGCGCTTCGATATGTGGTTGCTGTATCCAGCGGTGTGTTTGAGGAGCGGTCCGGCGATGCCGTAAAATATTGATTCCAAACGCCGTTCCATCGACTCGGAGAGCGGGAGCGAGTGCTTCACCAGCTTCCCACAGCGCTCAAGGATCCGAGCAACAGTGAACTTGACCTTATTTGCTGCTGTCTTCGTCGCGATGCTCACAGCCCGCAACGGCTTGGTGATCCGCCATGACCCTGACTGATGCACAGAGTCGATGTATGCGTTTAATCGCTGCCGTTCGAGAGTTGCTAACTGATGAGCATCTTGCAGACTCTTCAAACCCTGTAACTGGGACTGCATTGTCTGGTTCTGAGTTCTCAGATCATTGATCAGATCACGCTGGGTAGAGTGCTGTTGATCAGACAACGCACGCTCGGCGATCAACTTCTCTTCCGCTTGTTGTTTCGATCGCTCGGCAGATTCTGTTCTCTCTTGAGCGGCTTTCAGTTGCGCCTGGCGCTCTTCAATCTGAGCATTCGTCCTTTCGAGTTCATGCTTGAGCGATTCGACTCTCTGAGCCAACTTCTGCGATTGCATCGCTTGCTCGTGCGAACGCTTCCGATCGTTCTCGATCTGATGCTGCAACGAGGTGATCTGCGAACGGAGTTCACGTGTTGTTGCCGCATGAGTATTGATCGCGCCTTGATGCTCAATCGACGATCGTTGAATCGAGGCGCTGAGTTTATTGACTTCAGCAAACAGTTCGTTCGCTCGACGCTCGGATCGGAGAATCCAGTCCGCACCGAGTTTCCGAGACTGCTCGAATCTATTGCCGAATGTATCGAATCGCCGGCTATCGATTGCTCCACCGAATTCCGCGGCTTCGCAAGCCGCTTCGTAGGTATCACGCACTAGATCAGGAAGATTTTTGAGCGAATGAGCATCAGCGACCTGATGACGATGCTCATCCGAAACAAGCCGGTCAATCTGCTGGGCATGAGCAGGTTTGGCAAAATCCAGACCCAGCGTTTCATTCACTCGCTTCAGTTGTGATCGCCAATCCTCAATCAACGATTCATAGCGAACGGCGACCCTCGGGATCGATCTTGTATCGTGCTCTGCTCTGAGCAGATGGTCCATCCACAACCAGTACGATTTGCCGCTCGGGAACTGGTTGCGCTCGCGGAGTGATCCCGCAACCTCGACAGGATTCCGAACCGGAATCACCGCAGCTGGGGTGCGCCCCAGAGACTCGAACACACGCATCCAGAGCGGAACCAGTCGGCACATCCGAGGATCCTTAATCACGATGCACTCGTCCGGACCCGCATTCCCGAATTCCAGCTCCACGCATTCAGCGAGACGATCGACCCACTCGGATTCTGATCCCTGAGCGTGGATCATCTCAAGAATATCGCGCCCCCCTATGCGTTCGTCGATCGGGAAGTCATGTGCGATCCCGAGTGCTCTGAGCAACTCATCATGAGCGCGAACAATCGAGACAGGCTCCCAGAATCCAGTCCGATTGTCCTCGGCGGGCCCCATCGGATTGGTCGGAAGCTTGCACCCCATCAATCCGAGTGATCGAGTGAGCACGCTCGTCCCGCTCCGATGCATCCCAAGTACCAGCAGCGCGTTGGGACGACGCGTCCGAGCCTCGGCGAACTCACCATGATCGCGACCGGGATTGTGGTTCGGCTGATTGTCTGCGTCCTGTGCGTTGCTCATAGACCTTCCCAAAACGACTACATACATCCGGAGATCTTCGAGCTGATGGTCCCCAATTCCCGCAGTTCTTCGGCGATAGGAAGTATAAGCACCTAGGGATACGGATCATGCAATCTTCCAGCCAAATGCCTCCAGAAGACGCTATGGAGCCCCAACAGAGGATTGATTGACCCAATCTCGACAATCCCAGCCTAGGAGCTGCTCGAGTCGATGGATCTCATTGGAGAAGATCTCGATCAGCAGATCTCGCTCAGCTTTGGACATCGAACGCGGATACTCAGTTTGATGCACGAGCGCCGGCTTAATCTGTACCGTTTGGTCTACTTTCAGAAATTCAAAGACCGCTTCCAACATCGTCTGCGGCTGTCTTGACAGCGACTCATAGCGAAGAATAAGCGTTTGCTCCTTCGGGAACAGCGACCACATCCGAGTGAGCTGCTTGCTGTAAAACCCGCGATCAAGATACGAACGAACCAAGCATTGCTGTGTCTCAGATCCGAGTCGCTCTGACTCCTCGTTGATCACTTCGATGAACGGCCGATCTTCCTGACCGCGTCCGATCTCCATCGCCCAATGCGAGTATGCACGCTCGATCGGGTTTCTCAGAATCACGATGAGTTTCATTTCAGGGTTGTATTCCTGAATCCTCTTCATCGCGTCATTCCAATAGAGATAAGCCGGTGTGCACTCTCCGATCAGCGTGTGCTGTTCTGTCGGAGTAAACCACTGGTGGTACCACTCGTGATCCGATGATCCATGCGCAAACTGCTTGTCATCGTCAAAGTAGTGCACTTCCTTGCGATCCGCGAGACACAACAGCGGATGCTGACGCAGGTATTGATCCATAGCGCTGGTTCCAGCTTTCTGTACACCGCAGAGGAGAAAGCCAACACGCATCATGCGTCCTTCCCTGCGAGACTGGAATCCGTCTGGTACTCGATCTCAACCGGGACTCGTATCAAGCCATGTACCTGATTCGTCGCGTGGATCTGAATGATCGTCGCGTTGACCACACGATCAGCAACCTGCGGATGTCCATCTTCATCAAGCACGCTCAATCCCATCGTGATGGAGTAGCTCCCGCCTCGGAGCATCGGCATCGAGAGTTTCCATGCGATCGTGGTGCACTCTCCGATCGCGGGACAAGGCACCTCAGCTCCCTCTGTTCCAGTGTTGGTCGAGGAAATCGGTTCACCTTGAAGATCGCGGATTGTCCAACCGGTTTGGAGCTTCGCATCTGGATCATTGATGCTGTTGTTCTTGAAGCTCATCCTCAACCAGATCGGTTTCCCTGATTCGATGGACTGCAACTGCCTGCCGTGTTCGTCATAGACACCGATACCCTGAACTTCGAGCCGTTTATCGCCCACTCGATAATCCCCTGCAGGGATCGTCATCTCATGACCTCCGAACAGTGATTCACTACTCGAACTACAGTCATTGACTTGAGTGTGCGACTTTGTTTCTGCAGGTTTATGCGGTTCAGCATCAATCGACTCTGATTGTGTTTTCGAATCAGCGACTGGCTTCCGTTCACTCACATCGCTGGTGATCTTGAACTGATGCTCGAGATAGGCATCCACCACATCGCTCGCTTCCCCGATCATTCTCAGCGAACCATCTTCGATCCATACGACACGATCACATAAGCGTTTCATGGAGGATGCATCGTGAGCGACATATAAGATCGTCACGCCGCGTTCTTTCATTTGATTGATCCGATGCATGCAGCGATGCCGGAAGATGGCGTCTCCGACCGCGAGTGCTTCATCGACAATGAAGACATCGGGATCGATATTTGCAAGAATACTGAACGCGAGTCTTGCGTACATCCCTTTGGAATAGGTTTTCACAGGACGATCGAAGAACGCACCGATGTCCGCGAATGACTCGATGCTCTCAAGCCGGGACTGCATCTCTTTCTTTGAGATTCCCAGCACCGTGCCATTGAGGAACACATTTTCACGGCCGGTAAACTCAGGGTTGAATCCACTCCCAAGTTCGAGCATCGCCGTGATTCTGCCTTTGGTCTTCGTGGTACCTGTTGTGGGATTCTGTGTCCCGGCGATGCATTGCAGCAGCGTGGTCTTCCCAGCACCATTGCGACCGATGATTCCCAGTGTTTCTCCCTGATGGACATCGAAACTGATCTGCTGGAGCGCCCAGAACTCCGTAAAGAACTGGCGTCGCTTACCGAAAATGTATTGCTTGAGTCGATCCGCAGGCTTGGTGTAGATCTCGTACATCTTGCCAAGATCTCGCACACGCACAGCGTACTCATCATTTCCTGGAGTTTGATTCGTATCAGACGACATCGGAGAATCCCCCTCGTGTCCGCTCGAACCACCAGCGACCAAAGGCATACACGAACAATCCCACGATCGTCGCGTACAAGAGCCAATACCAAGCGGGATACTGGTTTTGCAGAATAACCAAACGCGATGACTCAACCACCACCGCGATCGGATTGAGCAAGATCAGTGTTTGCATCCGTTCGCTCGGAAGCACATCAATGGTCCACACAATCGGTGTCATAAAGAACAACAACTGCAATGCCGCTCGGATCACATGCTGGGTGTCACGCAAATAGGCTCCGGTTGATGCAAAGAACCAACCCAGTCCGACAGTCACAAGATACAACGGGATGAAGATCACAGGCAACAAGAACAGCTTGAGTCCCAGTCCAATCCCAAAGATAAGAGTCGCCAACAAGAGCAAACCCAATCCGATGACCCCGAAAACGGAAGCGGTCCCGAAAGCAACCACAGGGAGCACCTCAATCGGAAAGACCACTTTCTTCACGAGCGAGGGGCGATTCACGATCATCATCGGCGACAGCGACACGACCTCAGAAAACACGCCAAAGATCACGATCCCACTGAATAGACTCAGCACATATGCTGTCGAATCGCTCGCACCAGTTTCCACGCGCGGCCGAAAGACGACAAGAAACACAAACGCGTAGACCATCAATGTCAATAGTGGATTCACCACGGCCCATACAGCGCCGAGCACGGATTGTTTGTAGCGAGCGCTGATCTGCTGAGAAACAAGCTGCTGGATCAATGCACGCCTGGACCAGATGGATTGTCTCGCTTGACCCACGCTGTGATCCTCAATCAATCCGCTCATCGGCTTGCAACATCATCGAGATCGATGGCGCTTGACGATCTTTCTCAGAAAGCACAATCTCATCAACCTTGGGCCAATCAATACCGATCTCCGGATCATCCCACGCGATGGATTGCTCATAGTCTGGCGCGTACACACTCGTTGCTTTATACAGCACCTGAGCAGTTTCAGAGAGTGTCAGAAAGCCATGCGCGAAACCCTCTGGTATCCAAAGCTGCTTGTGATTCTCGGCTGATAGATGCTCCCCAACCCACTTCCCGAATGTCGGAGAGCCCGGACGGATATCGATCGCGACATCGAAAATCTCACCCTCCACAACACGGACCAGTTTCCCTTGTTCATATGGAGCCGCCTGGAAGTGCAGACCACGGAGCACACCCTTCGTTGATTTCGAATGGTTGTCCTGCTTGAATTCTGGACGGACGCCGATCGTTTCCTCGAACTTCTCAGCGTGAAAGCTTTCTGTAAACCAACCTCGCTCATCAACGAAAACCCTCGGCTCAAGCACATAGACATCCGGGATCTGGGTCTGTGTGAACTTCATTCTGCTCGCCCCTCTTCGACGATCATCCGAAGGTACTTGCCGTATTCATTCCCGTTGTGTGCCTCAGCGAATTTGGTAAGCTCTTGAGCACTGATCCAACCATGATGGAACGCGATCTCCTCAGGACACGCGATCTTCAAACCCTGACGATGCTCAATCGTTTGCACAAAGTGCTGAGCTTGGAGCAAGCTCTCGTGTGTTCCGGTATCGAGCCACGCGTAGCCGCGTCCGAGTTGCTGAACACTGAGTTCATCTCGCTCGAGGTACATCCGATTCAGATCGGTAATCTCGAGCTCCCCACGCGCAGATGGTTTGAGTTGTTTGGCAAACTCAACCACTTGGTTGTCGTAGAAGTACAACCCAGTCACCGCGAAGTGTGACTTGGGGGCTTTGGGCTTTTCTTCCAGACTGATCGCGGTCCCATGCTTATCAAACTCGACTACGCCGTAGCGCTGTGGATCGTGAACATGGTACGCGAATACAGTCGCTCCACTGTCCGTCGCGTCCGCATCGGTCAGGATAGAATACATTGAATGACCATAGAAAATGTTGTCTCCGAGAATCAGCGCGGATGGGTGCCCATCGATGTAGTCCTCACCAATCAGGAATGCTTGCGCCAAACCGTCAGGCGAAGGCTGCTCAGCGTATTGAATCTCGATTCCCCACTGGGATCCATCACCAAAGAGATCCTCAAAGCGCGGCAGATCCCTCGGCGTTGAGATGATCAGGACCTCACGAATCCCCGCGTGCATGAGCGTCGAGAGCGGGTAGTAAATCATCGGCTTGTCGTACACAGGGAGCAACTGCTTGGAGACGACCTGCGTCGCGGGATACAGCCGCGTTCCTGATCCACCCGCCAGAATGATGCCCTTGCGATTCATAGAGTCTCCTGCAATCGCATCGTAGCAAGCAACGAATCAACATCCACGCGCCAATCCGGAAGCTCGACGCCAAACGCATCCCGCAGCTTCTGCGTATCAAGTCTTGAGTTCTTCGGACGCACAGCTTTGGTCGGATACAACTCGCTTGGGATCGGGATCAGCTTCGCGATTCGAGCTCCTGTTCTCCGATCCGCATCCAAAAAATGCTGAGCAAATCCATACCAGCTCGTTTCTCCAGATGCAACAAGGTGATACAGCCCAGTGCGTAGTTTTGCGCCCTGAGCATGCTGTGACAAAACACCTGCAGTGATCGAAGCGATCAAGTTCGCACTTGTAGGAGCGCCGATCTGGTCATCCACGATCGTGAGTTCTTCGCGATCTGTCGCGAGACGCCGAATGGATTTGACGAAGTTGTTCCCAGTATCGCTGTAGACCCAGCTCGTTCTGAAAATGTAATGCTCGCAGCCACTCGATTGGATTGCTCGTTCTCCGTCGAGCTTGGTCTTGCCGTAGACACTCTGTGGGTTCGGATCATCGGTTTCCGCATACGGCTTATCGCCTTCACCATCAAACACATAATCCGTTGAGTAATGCACAAGCAATGCACCAGTCTGCGCGGCATGCTCAGCAAGAATCTCCACGGCATCGCAATTGATGAGCTTCGCACGATCGGGTTCATCCTCTGCTCGATCAACCGCCGTGTACGCCGCGGCGTTGACAATCACGCTCGGATTCGAGTCCGCGAGAAACGAACGCAGCCCCCTCATATCTTCCAGATCGGCTTGATCGCGCGTGCACGCGATCAGCGCCCCTATCGGACGCAGCGTCTTTCGCAGCGCCGACCCCACCTGTCCATTGGCGCCAAGCAGCAGGATGCTCATGTGTACTGCCTCTGCACCCACTTCAGGTACTCGCCGCTCGTGATGTGCTCGACCCATTCCGGATGAGCAAGATACCACTCGACTGTTTCACGGATGCCTTGCTCGAAGGTGTAGCGTGGTTTCCATCCCAGATCGCGCTCGACTTTGGTTGCATCAATCGCGTATCTGCGATCATGTCCCGGACGATCCTTGACGAACTCGATCTGCGATCGGTACGACCTTCCATCGGACTTGGGACTCAACTCATCGAGTAGATCACAGAGGTGATGCACGATCTCGATGTTGGTCTTCTCGTTGAGACCACCAATGTTGTACACCTCCCCCACTGTTCCAGCATCAAGCACCCTCCGGATCGCGCTGCAGTGATCCGATACGAACAACCAGTCCCGGACTTGCTGTCCATCGCCATAGATTGGGAGCGGCTTCCCTCTGAGCGCGTTGTGGATCATGAGCGGGATGAGTTTTTCAGGGAACTGGTACGGACCATAGTTGTTCGAGCAGTTGGTCGTCAGGACGGGCAAGCCATAGGTATGGTGGTACGCGCGGATGAGATGGTCCGAAGCCGCTTTGCTCGCGCTGTAGGGACTGTTGGGTTCGTAGCGATTGAGTTCTGTGAACGCGGGATCATCCGGAGCCAGAGAGCCGTACACCTCATCCGTTGAGATATGCACAAAGCGGAACTCGGACTGCTGATCGGCGGGCATGGATTCAAAGTACCTGCGTGCACACTGGAGCAAGCGGGTGGTCCCCACGACATTGGTCTGTATGAACGCTTCCGGACCTTCGATTGAGCGATCCACATGCGATTCAGCCGCGAAGTTGATAATCGCGCGAGGCGTGTGCTGCTTGAGCAACTGGTCGACCAGTTCAGAATCACCGATATCTCCACGCACAAAGATGTGCGACGAATTGTCCTCAATCGACTTCAGATTCTCAAGATTCCCCGCATAGGTCAGCTTGTCGAGATTCAGGACGAGCTCGTCACTCTGATTGAGCCAATCAATCGCGAAGTTCGCGCCGATGAATCCCGCACCGCCTGTAATCATGATGGTCATGGGAACTCTCTCAATAGCGCCATTCAGTCGCGAGATCAGGTAGGTCGATGTACGGCTGCGGATAAACACAACCCATCAACAACGATATGCAAGCCGTGAGAATATGGATCCCCGCATCTCTCCAAAGCGCCCAATTCGTGCTCCATATCGGCGCAGAAACCATAAAAAAACCCCGCATGCGCGGGGCTCTCTCTCCCAAATCTCATGCACTGCTGTTACGGGCACCCCTGCCCGAACAACTGGAGGAACAGCGAGACATCCAGGAAGTTGAAGCTGCCCTCACCGGTCAGATCCGCAGCGGGATCCATATTCCCAAACGCACTCAGGAACGCCGACACATCAAGGAAGTTCAACTGTCCCTCGCCTGTGAAGTCTGGGATACAGACTGGTTCCTCAACGCTGTAGTTGCTCGGGCCGTGGAGCCGCCCATCACCGAAGTCTGTGAGTTCGAGCGAAGATGACTCCGCGGTGGTCGCGATGAAATCACCGATCGCCGTCCAGAGTCCGACCGAAACGACCTGACTTGTTCGTGTTTCAGCGGCGCCAACGCCGTCGCCATCGATGTTCCATTGGAGGTGATCCGCGATCAACTGACTGTTCCCGAACGAGAGTGAGCCGTTCTCGTCAGGATGGTACAGCTGGAAGCCGTACGCATCCTGATCGAGTGGTTGCGCGAATGCACCACCAATCGCGGAGATATTGTGATTGTCAGGACCTGCCGGCGCATCGTTGTTGTAATGCAGGAAGATCGATGTCCCCGCTTCGATCATGACACCATTGAATCCAGTTGCGGATGAGTATCGGCGCGCCTCATCAAAGTCATGCGTACAAGTGCGCCATCCGCTCAGGTCCTGATCGTCGTCTCCATAGTTATGGAACTCGACCACGCCAGCATCAAAGTCCACGCTGCGGATCTGGATGTCTTTCTCGTCGATGCCTGCAGGCGCGACGACCTCGATGCGTCCGGTCATACCCAAGTGCGATGTCACTCGGCAGGTGTAGTAGTACTCGCCGATATCCCCAGGCATCGGAGTCCACATGATCAGATCAGTTGTGGGTCCAGGATCTGCAGTAAAGTCTGCGATCGGATCAAGCGTCGCGGCATCAATCACAGCGCCATCAAATGTGTCTCGTAGGTACGAGCCGTCAGTCCCTGTAACCGGGAGCGTGTCGTCAGTAATCACGAACGGATGCGACCCTGTGAGTCTGCGGAAGAAGTATGTCTCCCCAGCCGTGAGCACAAGTGTTGGGTCTGCTTCGTTGACCACGGAACCGCTCGAATCAGTCCAGTTGAATAGGAAGTCCGAAGCGCCCGCGTTATCGAGCTCGAACATGACTCCAGATTCGACGCGGAAGACACTTGGACCCGTCTGGGTGGTCTGTGCTTCAGCGGCTGTCCCAATCGTAAGCAGCAATCCTGTAGTGATAAGTTTGCGATTCATCTATTCCTCCAATGTGATATGCAGTGTGTAGTGAGATGACAGATCGGATCCTGCTCCAAAAACAGTCACCCTCATCCGACAAGGTTCATCCACCATTCAGATGTTGCGTCAGGATCAATTTTCCTGCAAAGATGCAACATCCCACCATTTGGTGGACCTCTTTAGAGTGTTGGCACAATGCGTCAACTTTGAATCAAAGGCTATGATCGGTCAATCATCGTTCCCTTGCATGTACAGGACACGCGTGGACATCGATCAGAAGGAACAACTCGACGAAGCACGCTTCTCCGAACTGTTCGAACAATCGCGGAGCACCCTCCGGATTGTCGCGGCAGCGGAATGCGGCTTCAGTCTTGCTGACGACATCGTCCAGCACAGCGCGATCGTCGCGCTCAAACATCTCCACGAGTTCACGCCCGGAACCAACTTCAAAGCGTGGACATCCACGATCGTTCGAGGGGTTGCTCGAAACCAACGACGATCAGAAAAGAGAAGGATCAAACGCAGACCAAAGCTCATCCAAGCTCGATCTCAATCAAAGAACACAACGATTGATACCAACCCAATCGCAAAGATAACCCCAAGCGATCAAGGACCTGAAGTGCACCTCCCACCTGAGTTTGACACCAAGCTGCGCGAAGCGCTCGAGACTCTGAGCGTGCATCAGCGGACCTGCTTGCTCCTCCGATCATTGCTCGACCATTCGTATACCGAGATCGGTGAGATTCTGGAGATGCCCGCCGCGACTGCTCGGAGTCATGTCTTCCGAGCACGAGCGAACCTGCTCGACATCCTGCATAACCCTGAACAAAGCGAGTCTGTTTCGAAGAAAGGAGCCAAACATGACTGATGATCAGCACATCCATGACGATCGGCTCCTCGCGTTCATCGATGGGGAACTGTCACAATCCGAACAGCTCGCATTCGAGCGCGAACTCGAATCCAATCCAGATCTCAACGCCAAGCTCCAAACGCTCCGCTCTATTGAAGCCGGACTCGAGATCATCGCTGAAGAATCTGAGCCGATCGCGATGAATCAAACTCACACTACACCACGATTCTCAAGTAAGTGGATCGGATACGCTGCAGCACTGCTGATCGCGGCGACACTGTTCATCGTGATGGACCCACTCGGGAATCACGAGACTTTCAATGCCGAAGCACGCTATAACACGATCGCGAGGACATTTGAGCCTCAGGTCGTCTGCGACACTCCGGAGAAGTTCGCTTCATACACCAAAGACGGGTACGGCAAAGCAATCCACGCTGACTTCGACACCCCAATGCAGCTTGTGGGTTGGCGCTCGCTGCTCCCCAACTACAATCCTGAGAAATCCTCCAAAGAACGGATGACGCGGATCCTCATGGCAGAAACCCAAGAAGGCACGCGTGTGATCGCGTTCTTTGTCCCACGAGGATTTGCGAAACCTGTGCTTGATAAAGAGTCCGGCCTCTACATGCACTCTAAGTCCATCAAAGGTGTGCGTGTCTACGAGGTTTCTCCGCTCGCTGAGCCGACGCTGCTCGAGCTGTTGTATTGATTCAGAAAAACAACACCCGCGAAACAAGCTCGCGGGTGTCGTGAAGTGGACTGAAAAAGCAGCTTTACGGACAGCCGGCAGCGTACGCCGCAAGATACGCGGAGACATCCAAGAAGTTGAAGTTCCCGTCGGGCTGGAAATCAGCAAGCGGATCCATCATGCCGTAGAGCGAGAGGAACGCGGATACATCCAGGAAGTTCAGATCACCCTCGCCCGTGAGATCCGCTGGACAAGGCTCGGAGCTATCGACACCTGCCCAGAATCCACCCGTGAGTGAGAAAGAACCACCAGTCATCGTCGCGCCAGCATCAGGCTGACCGATCGTGCCGCTGAGCGTGTATGAGCCGCCAGACGAGTTGATCACTCCGCCGCCATCGATCGTGGACCAAGGGATGCTGAAGCTCCCTCCACCAATTCCTGCTGATACGAATGACGCAGCTCCAGCGATCGTTCCAAATGCGGTGAGACTTCTTCGATTCATAACTTATCCCTCGAATGTGGTACACAAATTTTCGAGCAATCCTATCACAAATTATGGGCAACCAGCACCAAAATCTTGGAGAAATGCCGACACATCGAGGAAATTGAACGAAGCATCGCCGTTGTAGTTCACCGTGTTGGAGAGGAAGTAGGACACATCAAGGAAGTTCAGACTTCCCTCGCCCGTCAGATCCGCTGGACAAGGACTCAGACCCGCGATGTCATCATCATCGATGTCGAAGTCGCCATCAAAGTCGAAAATCTCAGCACCAGGCATGATTTTCACACCTGGACCAGTCCACGCCGCCATCGCCGCGGCCCGTTCTGTCCATTCGATGTTGCCGTCGGAGTTTAGATCGCCGATCCGCTCTTGCTCGTACACAGTCCAGGTCTGATCCGCAGGGACGCCGGTCAACTGGCGGATCGTCCCGCCGGGCCAAACGACATCGACGACGAGCGCCTCGGTATCAGTCCCAAGACCAAGCTGAACCGTGTTCCCCTCGCTCGTCTTGTAGTTGACACCCGCTCGTAGTTCTGTCGCTTGCCATTTCCCATTCGCAAGGACATTCATGCAAGTCCCAACCGCCTTGAGCTCCTGAGCACCGATGACGGGGCGCAAACGCACCATGTGATTCGAAGCCGCGTCTGGAGAGTTGTTCATATAGATCTTGACGCGTTGACCAACATCACCAACGACCATGTCCAGGAGCCCGTCATTATCAATATCGCCCACGGCGACACAATACGAAACACCTGGGAGCGCCACTCCCGCAGCCGGCCCATCGTCATTCATCGGCCAGTCAGCGATATCCTCGCCGCGATACAAACGATTCGGAGCGGCAAGGTTACACACATAGAGATCCGAGAAGCTGTCGTTATCAAAGTCAGCAAAGACAGTGCCCCATCCCACTGCTCCGGATGTCACTCCAGCATTGTCGGACTCATCCACGAACACGCCATTGCCGTCTTGTAAATAGAGTGCATTGCGCATCGTGTCAGTCATGTAGACATCGAAGAAACTGTCGTTATTGAGGTCGCCGATCGCGATACCCATGCAATCGATGTAGGCCCGGGCATTCGCATCGTCGGTGATTTCTGTGAATGTCCCGCCATCATTGCGATACAGACGATTCCACCAGTTGAATGAGTTTCCTTTATCTGTACCAAGGTAAAGATCATCGTCGCCGTCACGATCGAAATCGAAGAACGCGGAGACCAGTGTTGGATCTTCCTCAGCATCCACATTCAGTGCCTGTGCGACATCGGTGAATGTCCCATCACCGTTGTTGTGGAGTAGCTGATTCTTTGTCGTGTTGTTGCTCGTATTTGTACGAGCGGTGTAGTAGAGGTCCAGGTGCCCGTCTTGGTTGTAGTCACCCCAAGAGGCCCCCATCGAAGCGCCCACAATCGCAATACCCGCGCTCGCCGTCACATCAGTGAACACAAAGTTGCCATCGTTTCGATAGAGCTTTGATGGGACCATCCATCCACCAAAGAACAGATCCTCATCACCATCGTTGTCGTAGTCCGCCGTCGAGAATCCCGAGTTGTTGATCGCAGCGATTCCAGATCCGATAGAACGATCCGTGAAGTTCCCTGAGCCGTCGTTCTCATAAACCGCGACACCAAATCCTGTGCGCCCGCACAAGACAATGTCCAGATCCTGGTCACCATCAAGATCGAGCAGTCCCAGTCCGGCACCGAACTGGACCTGAGTGAACGGCGAGATCGTGTAGTTGACCCCTCGAGCGAGCGCCTCGTCCGTGAAGGACAATGGCGCCATTCCCATCGATGCAGCAGATACCACTCCGAGACTCATCATCGAAGAAAGCGCGACCCAGTTCATGTTTTCTCTCCTGACCGACCAAGACCCGCACATAACCACGAGCGTGCGGAACCCCAAGAGTATCTTGATCGCTTGAGAGTCTACTGGAAATCCAGCAGTTTATACAAGAGGAAAATTCTGATTTATGCTCCGATATCTCGCACTGAATCCAGAAAATCTCCAAGCGCAAGAGAGCGATCGAGCGTTGTGCATGTGCCATCTCTTCAACCTGAGAGCACAAGCGTAGACCACAGCTTCGAAACCAAGTGAATTGCAAATCTTTGTTTGGTAGGGCAAACACCTGAACACTTGATCAAACGAAACGGTTTCGAGAATATTCGACTTCGAATGCACGAACTTCAATTGGTTTGTATAGCGCTTAACAATGCTCGGTTTATAGATTATTTACCGAGTGTCTCTACGCTTAATTGCGGTTGAGTGGCGTATGAATCCAGTAAATCTCAGAATCCCTATGCATCCGTTTCCATCAGCTCTCGGATATCATTCTGTCGATGCTACTGAGCTCGGCGAGCAAAGTCCGCTTCACTATCGAGGGGTGAAACACACACAAATCCAAACAAATACCATTTGTATTCCAAACAAGAATACTGACCCAGAACATTGATCCGACCCGTTGTTTCCTTCTCCGACTGGGATCCGGATCAAAGCTCAAGGTTTCCAGGCTGGATCGTCAATGTCCCCAACCAGTCTGGAAACCCCCTCCGGCGGGGCACACCGCTTCGCCGGGGTTTTCGGGAGGGGGCAGCCAGCGTGGCTGCCACTCTTCGGACGCGGGAAGGCGAGAGCCCGCGTCCGATTTACAAACCACAACGAACCTTCGGGAACTCCTCCCAAGATTCACAGCATGACGCCGGGTGGGTAGGTCCCCGGCTTCATCGCGTTTCGATACCCATCAATCCGAGCACATAATGAACTGCTTGCTGTATTGGATCAGCCCATCGCGGCGATAATCGCATCCAGATCATCCGCGACACGGATCGGTTGATTCGACGCGTTCCCCACGGTTCCAACATCTTGCTCACCCAACCAGCGCTGAGCCGCTTTGGTTGGGAGTCCGGTGTGGTACCCCACTGTTACATCTGGATCCTTGAGCTGATGACCCGTCAGCACACACGCGACGCGATCAGTCGGCTTGATAAGCCCCTCCCGAAGCAGTGCGTGCGCCCCCGCGACTGAAGCCCCACTCGCGGGCTCGCATCCGAACCCATAACGCCCCACCATACCCTTGTGCTCCACAATCGTGTCGTCATCGAATGAGCGAACGACGCCGTCCATGATGTCCAGCGCGCGGAGGGCTTTGGGCAGATTCACAGGACGATTGATCTCGATCGCGCTCGCGACGGTCTCCGCACGCTCGTTCTCGCGATCCATCCGCTCGTACTCCGCTTGGACTGCTCCGCGGTCGTAGCGTCCGCCGTTCCACGCAATTCCTTCCTCGTTGACGATCCTATCGAGGGTCCGTGCCCCCTGCGCGTTGATGATCGCGAGCCGAGGGATGCGATCGATCATCCCCAGTTCTTTCAGCTCTTTGAACGCTTTGGCGAACGCGGAGCAGTTCCCCAGGTTCCCTCCAGGCACGATGATCCAGTCTGGGACCTCCCAGTTCATCCCCTCCAAGATCCGCAGCATGATGGTCTTCTGACCTTCGAGACGGAACGGATTGACCGAGTTCATCAGGTACACCCCAAGCTCGGGACGATGCTCCGCGATCTCGCGCACTCGCGCCAGACACGCGTCGAAATCCCCAGCAACCTGCAGCGTCGTCGCGCCGTAGTCCAGTGCCTGCGAGAGCTTGCCATAGGCGATTTTGCCTTCTCCGATGAACACGAACGCCTGTAACCCTGTCAGCGACGCGTACATCGCGAGCGAGGCGCTGGTGTTCCCTGTCGAGGCGCACGCGACGCGCGACGCGCCCACCATCCGCGCGTGGGTATACGCGGCCGTCATCCCGTTGTCCTTGAACGATCCGGACGGATTGAACCCCTCGTACTGAAGGTAGAGCCGACCTCCCTGATCGGGATTGAATCCGAGATGTGTCGCGAGCTGATCCGCTCGCTGCAGATTGGTCCGTCCCTCCCCCACTGTGACGATGTCGGATTGCCCCCCCTGAGCGTGCTTCCAGAAGGGGAGGAGCTCGCGGAAGCGCCAGACTCCTGAGAAATCGAGCATGGATTCGGTGACCCGCTCTCCACCAGCCGGAACTCTGGGGCTGAAGGTGGATCCGCGGCGCTCAAACACCCCCCAATCCCGCTGATCTTTCGGCCACGCTTGATCCCAGTCGTAGACGATGTCGAGCATGTCGCCGCAATTGGCGCATGAAAGGTGGACCTCATGGACGGAATACTCCGCTTTGCAATCCGGATTGATGCACTGCTGACGGGCGATTTGGACGGATTCATGCGAGGATTGGGCACTCATACTTAGATGGTATTGGAGCCGGATCTTGATTGAGGTTGCTCAAGGACTGATTTTGTATGAATTGAGTCCTGAATCTGATAAGATCGTGAAAGACAGCGAATGGGGTTCCCAATACCTCTATCCGAGGAGTGCTTGATGGGACATGTCACGCATGCTGCCTCGTCTGGAGAAATGCAATGGAAAGTCTTCTGCACGACTTTATCAATAATGAGGATGTCTACCTCCCAACGCTCATCGCGAGCGGCATCGTGCTCATTGTCATGATCAAAGCCGTCACTGGGATGATCGGGAGGATTGCGAACGAACGGACTCGACGAGAGATCGCGGCTTACATCGCAGAAGGATCCATGACCCCTGAACAAGGTGAACGCTTACTGAACTCAGGTAAGCGTCGCGGCTGCAACTGATATCCACCCAACTACCAAAGAAGATGAGCACGCTCAACCAAGCAGCTCAACGGAGATCTCAATGGACACCAATCTCGCAATGATCATCTTCACCAGCATCGTCGGATTCCTCGGGATGCTCGGCATCCTCCACGCGATGAGCAAATCCAAAGAACGCGAACAGACTCGCCGTGAAGTTGCGGCGTATGTCGCCGAAGGGTCGATGACACCTGAACAAGGCGAGCGACTCCTCGCAGCGGGATCCGCTCGCGCCTGCCGTTAATCCAACACACCGCACGCATAGGAACACACCATGAACCTACTCGCATCAAGCTACACACTCGCCGGCGACGACGCATCTGCCATCATCAATGCGCTCGGAGATAACCTCGTCGTAGCGATCGTCTTCGGCGTTGGGGGCGTCCTCGGTGTCTTGGGTATCTTCTTCGGAACAATCAGCTCTACCCAAAACCGAAAGGAACGCGAGAAGACCAAACGAGAGCTCGCGGCGTACGTCGCTGAAGGGTCAATGACCCCTGCGGACGCGGAACGCATCCTCAAAGCGGGTGAAGAAGAAGACGCTTAATCAAGCCGGAGTTGAGACTCAGTAGATGTCCCCGGGTTACACATTCGCTTGCGCGTGCGTGTAGTTCGGGGATTCCTTTGTAATCCGGATGTCGTGGGGATGGTTCTCGACGACTGTGGCGCCTGAAACACGCACGAACTTCGCGTGTGTGCGGAACTCTTCGATCGTGGCGCAGCCGCAGTATCCCATCGCGGATCGGAGACCACCAACCAGCTGGTATGAGAACTCCGCGAGCGTTCCGCGATACGGCACCAATCCCTCGACACCTTCGGGAACGAACTTCTGCTTCTGCTTTCCGCCGCTGATCTTATCGGATTGTCGATAGCGATCCGCGGATCCGGCGCCCATCGCGCCCTCGGAGCCCATCCCTCTGTAAGACTTGAATCGACGACCTCCGGAGATGACGAGCTCTCCTGGGGATTCATCGAGACCTCCGAAGAGCGATCCCATCATGACCGAGTCCGCTCCCGCGGCGATGGCTTTGGCGATGTCGCCGCTGAGTCGGATCCCGCCGTCGGCGATGACTGGAATATCCGATCCGATCGACGCGATCCCCTCGACCGCGTTCATGATCGCGGTGATCTGAGGCATCCCTACTCCTGTTACCACGCGCGTCGTGCAGATTGATCCGGGACCGATCCCGACCTTCACCGCATCGGCGCCGGCTTCAGCGAGTGCGATCGCGGCTTGCGCCGTCGCGATGTTCCCGGCGATGACGTCGATGTCGTACTTTGCTTTGATCTGCTTGACGGTTTCGATGACTGGCGCGGAGTGCCCGTGCGCTGTGTCCACGACCAGCACATCGACCTCCGCCGCGAGGAGTGCCTCGACGCGATCGAACTGGAACGGACCAACCGCAGCGCCGACACGCAGTCGACCGCGAGCATCGACACACGCGTTGGGGAACTGACTCAGACGCTCGATGTCCCGCATGGTGATGAGTCCCGCGAGACAGCCGTGGTCGTCGACGAGCAGGAGCTTCTCGACTTTGTGCTGATTGAGGATCTTCTCCGCTTGCGGGAGTGTGGTTCCCGCTGGAGCGGTCACGAGTCCTTCTTTGGTCATGACCTCTGCGATCGCGATGCTGTGGTTGGACGCGAACTTGAGGTCGCGCCGAGTCAGGATTCCGAGGAGTTTGCCCTTGGATCGCAGGTCGTTGGAGCCGTCTTGGGTGATCGGGAATCCGGAGACATTGTGGGCGTGCATCAGCTCGATCGCTTTGGCAACGGTGTCCTCAGGTCCCAGCGTGATGGGATCGGTGATGACGCCATTGGCGGAGCGCTTGACGGTCGCGACTTCGCGTGCTTGGTCTTCGATCGAGAGGTTTTTGTGGATGAATCCGATGCCGCCCTCTTGCGCCAGCGCGATCGCGAGCGCTGATTCGGTCACGGTGTCCATCGGTGCCGAGACCAATGGCGTGTTGATCTGGATGGATTTGGTCAATCGCGTCGCCGTGATCGCATCGGCGGGCATCACATTGGACGCTTGCGGGATCAGCAGGACATCATCGAAGGTGATCCCCTCCATCACGATCTTTGGGTTCATCGCGCCGGAGTTGGGCTGTGCGTGGGCAATCGGTTGTTTTTGGGTGGGCTCCATGAGAGAGTATCGCAGGGTGGTGGCATCTTGTCTACCTCGGCGAGTCTATTGACTACGCTTTTGGCGTGAAGAATCCGTCAGACCCAACCATCGAAGCGACCTCGCCTTACCCAGTCTCCCATTGGGTTCCCAAGGAATCGAGCGGATTGAGCGATCAAGCCGAGTGGGTTCTGACGATGGGGAACGGATCCTTCGCGATGGGATCAATCGACGCGACCCCTCGACGGCGATACCACGGCTTGCTCGTCGCGAGTCAATCGCCTCCGGTTCGCCGAGCCGTGCTGGTGTCGGCGATGGACGAGTGCGTGCGAATCAAGCAGGAGCACTGCTGCACGCCGGAGCTCGCGATTCATCTGACGAGGTTCCGATTCGCTGATCAAGACGCTCCCAAGACCATGCCGGGACTTGTGGGATTCGAGTCGGATCCTGAGTCCGCATCGTGGACTTACCACACCCCAACTCAGCAGGGCGCGATCTCGATCCGAAAGACACTGCGCGTGTGCGATCGTACGAACGCGTCTGTTCTTGAGTACGAGATCCAATCCCCTGTCGATGCGAGCATGACGCTGACGCCTTTGGTCGCGATGCGGGATTTCCATGAGTTGAACCATCCTGGATCGATCTGTGTTGAGGATTTCCTGATCCGCTCTATCCAAGAGCCAGCGATCCAAGGCGTCTCCGTCGCTCGAGGTGAACTCACGCTCGGACTACGAGGCGTGCAGACAGACTGGTGCAATTCAGCATCGATCTACTCCGATACTCGTCTCGATCATGAGTCGCTGCGTGGACAACCAGATCGCGAGGACTTGCTCGCGCCGGGACATTGGTCAGTCCAGATCCGCAAAGGGATCTCCCAGCATGTGCGTCTCGAGATGCAAGATGGGCATGAATCCAACATCGACTGGAATTCGAGCAAGCAGTCTCGTGTCCGATCGACGATCGATCATGCGCTCAGTGCCGCTGGGAATCCTGATGGTCCGGCACTCAAGGAATCCATCGCGATGCTCGCATCCGCATCCGATGCGTATGTCGTCGATCGGAACAACTCGACCTCGATCATCGCGGGGTATCCCTGGTTCAGCGATTGGGGACGCGACACGATGATCGCGCTACCCGGACTATTACTCGTGACAGGTCGGCACGATGAAGCACTCGCGACGCTTTCAACCTTCGCAGGAGCGATCGAGCACGGGCTCATCCCCAACCGCTTCGATGACGACGATGGGCCGGCTCACTACAACACGGTGGACGCGTCGCTCTGGTTCATCCACGCGTGCGCCCAGTGGTGCGAAGCGACTGGGAACCCACTCCCCAAGAGTCTCGATGATGCGTGCGCGACAATCATCAACGCGTATACCCAAGGCACGATCCACAACATCGGGATCGATCCGGGAGATGGGCTCGTCGTCGCGGGAAGCGAGGACACCCAACTCACTTGGATGGATGCGCAGCGCGACGGCATCACCTTCACACCAAGACACGGCAAACCGATCGAGATCCAAGCACTCTGGATCAACGCTCTGCGCTGCTTTGCGAAGCTGACCAGTTCTTTATCATGCGAGACGATGCTCGACCAAGCGGACTTTGCACAGTCCTCTTTGGAATCCCTGATGACCAAAGGACCATCAAGAGGATTGGTGGATTGCTTGATCCCGATGAACCACACGCGTGCGCTGCACTGGGAACGCTCGAGCGAGCTGCGTCCCAACCAGCTCTTCGCGTTGTCGCTCCCCAATGTTCAGCTCCCGATCGCGATCCGCGATGATTCGATCAGAGCCGTGTGGGATGTGCTGCTCACCCCTGTCGGCGTGCGGACGCTCGCTCCGGATGATCCGCAGTACCGACCCCACTACACCGGAACGCTCATGGATCGCGACTCGGCGTACCACAACGGCACGGTCTGGCCTTGGCTGCTTGGTCCGGCGTGCGAGGCGCTGATGCGCACGCGGAGCTTCGACGACGTCTCGCGCACCACAAGCATCCAGCGTCTGTGCTCGCTCGCTGAGTGCATGAGCAGCGACTGCGTCGGACAGCTCCACGAGATCTACGACGCGGAACCAAATGAATCCGGACATTTCCATCCCGATGGGTGTCCCGCGCAAGCGTGGTCGATCGCCGAGACGCTCCGCGTGCTGGTTCTGGCGTCCAAAGCGGGTTCCTGAGCGAACAAAGCGGACGATCCGGACGTAAGGTCAAGACTAAAATCCCCGAACGCCGATGACCAAGAAGGTTCAAGGCACTCTATTGGAGACAGACACATGAGCATGCTGCAATCACGAAACCCGGCAATGGGCGTCTTTGGACAGGAACAGATCGCGCGGAGCGAATCCAACACCATGACCATCGGAGGCACCGTCTCCGCGACCGCCATCCTCCTCGCGATTGTTTCAGCGACCGGCATCTTTACCTGGCAGCAGATGGTCACTGGTGGTCCACTCACCAAGTTCATCTGGCCCGTCATGATCGGTTCATTCATTGGCGGCATTGGTGTTTCGCTCATGATCTACACAAAGCCGAAGATGGCGCGAGTGATCGCTCCGATCCATGCCATACTACAAGGCGTGTTTGTCGGAGCATTGAGCTACATCATCCCAACGCAGTTCTTGGGGAATGCCGCGGACCCAAACACGGGCAACGCGATGCAAACACTGATCGTGCAAGCGATTCTCGCGACCTTCGGCATCGCGGGCGGGATGCTCCTTGGATACGCAACAGGGATTATCCGAGTTGGACCAGTCTTTCAGAAAGTCATGATCACCGCTGCTATTGGCGTTATTCTGTACATCATCGCACTGTTCTTGCTCCCGTTTATCGGCATCAATATCTGGAACGGATATGCAGACACAGGCATGATGGGCATCGGATTCACAGGAATCTGCGTCGCCCTCGCATCGCTGTTCCTCGTACTGGACTTCCAGTACATCGAACAAGGCGTCAAGACAGGTCAACCCAAGTACATGGAATGGGTCGGCGCGTGGGGACTCATGGTCACCCTCGTCTGGCTCTACATCGAGATCCTGCGACTGCTCTCCAAGCTCCAGTCGCGCGACTGATACGAGTTGATTCCAAAATAAGCAGCTAGATTACTTGAGCACTTGCTTCTGAGCTTTATCGAGCGTCTTCTCGATCTTGAGCAAGCGGTTGAGCTTGGTCAGTTTCATGACCTGAAGCACATTCTCGTTGATCCCTGTCAGGACCATCTTCCCTTCGCACTCACTCACGGCGTTCGAAGTCGTGATCATCGCGCCCAGCCCGGCACTGGAAACAAACTCGACCTCGGAGTAGTCCATAACGATGCGGCGTTTGCCGCTGTTGGTCAGGTACGCTTTGAACTCGCTGATGAATCGGGTCGCTTCGTACTCGTCGAGTTTGTGGACCGTCACGCGCACAACCGCTCCGTGTTCATCGAAGTCTGTGGTGCTGATGTGCCCGCTGCTTGACATGGAGGAGACCCTTTCACGAGTGATACGCGTCGAGTATAGGGTATTTTGCCTGAGAGGTGCGCTCAAAATCGCAAATGAAGCAATCGAATCAATCGAGTTTGAGTTTCCCTTGCGCCGGGGGTTCGTGGTAGAAACCCTGACCGTCATAGACGAGCATGCCTTTCTTGACCATGACCTTCCAGATGAGCGGGTTGAACTCCGACGCGCCGGGAGGGACCATCGAATCGATCTCGGCTTTCTTGCCGCCCGTGAGATTCCGCTGGGAGATGCGGGATTCGTCGTCGAGCTTCTTGTACTTGATCCGATGACGAAACGCGCGGAGCGCTTCATTCATCTCCGCTTGTGTGAACTCTGGGAGTGGTTCTTCCTTGGTCTTGAACGCTTCGGGATCTTCGAGCTTCGCGATCATGCTGTCGAGCCCGATCGCGTCGCGTTCCTTAAGCACACGCTCAAGTTCCGCAACATCGACGGGGAGTCGTCCGAGCAATCGTTCGAGGAGACCCCACGATTCCATCTGCCGAACGGGATTGGATTCGGATCGGAGTTTCGTTTCGATGTCGCGGACTTTTTGGATCAGGTTCATAGATGGATCATAGCGTCAGCCGTGGATCGCTCAGCGCCTACGGCGAGCCGCGAGCAGTCCGCCCATCCCCAGCATCATCGAAGCGGATGGCGCGGGGATGAAGTATCCAAGTCGAATCATTGAACCATCGAGCAGAACCGCATCGACGGCATCGGAAACATCGTCAAAGGACTCGAAAAGCGAGACATGGAACTCGCCGTCGGGATTGAGGTGAATGTCGGTCTGGAATGAACCGACGTACCGCTGCGTTCCGGCAAAGTCATTGCCAATTCCCGGCGTGAAGGTGTCGGGCCAGAAGCCGTGGAAGGTGCCGTCGGAGTTCCCGAAGCGGATATTGACTTCCGAGAGCCAGGACGCGCCGACGGTCTCGATGGTGATGTCGTAGTCGATGGTCAGGATGACATTGAACGGAGCGCCGCCCGTGGGATGGAAGATGCGTGTCTCGTTGCTCAGGTCGCCGTCGAGGTCCCAGGACTGGAGTCCCGAAAGATCGAGGACATCGGCGTGAGAAGCGAACGCGAGGGTGCTGCAGAGGACGAGGGTGGCGGCGGATTTCATGAATCGACTCCATATGGGATGTGGTGATGAATGGGGTCAATTTAGCAGATGTGGAGACAAATACAAGACAAAACCCATTGCATGTCGTACACGGCGGGCACTCTGCATACAACAAGGCTAAACCGAGGCTTATGCAGGATCTTGATCTTGTCTTAGCTGCGCGTAAGCAGGGCACCCCGCAGTGTAACCTATGCCTAACGACTAAATGCCTTTCTTTCGATTTACGCGTTTAGCCACCTTAAGAATTTCTTTATCTCTTGTACCAAATAATTTCACAAGAGAGTACTCCACCATTGAAATTGCGTGAATTGTATCTTGAATACTTGGCAACACGCGATGATGTGACCCAGCATTTCCAAGCCATTTTGCTGCCAAGAGAGTATCCGCTACATCAGGATTTTTACTACGAAGCTGTTCAATCCGTTGATGCAAACTGAGGTAGTGACGCTTACCATTCGCTGTTACCATTTTGCGAATCTTCATACCATCACACACCGCCTCTATCGATGCACGCAACGCATTTAAACATGCTGATTTATCTGACCAAAATAGTATGCTTGCGCGATCTAAACACCGCACTACTTTCTCTGGAACATCTGAAGGGCACTCGATCAGAGCAAGTGCTGGAAAAACAGACTTGACATCCAACACTCTCCATGATTCTCCATTTGGATCCAACGGATGCGAACTAAAATGCCACCGACAAGTGCCTGATATTATATATGATTCTCGACAACTCGGCGTAGAACAATCTGCAACGATCGAGAACAGATATTGCATACACTCTGGATCACCAAGAACTTCCCACATAGCTTCTGAATACGCAGTTGCTACACTAGTAAAAGAATCAGCACGAACAGAAACCACTCCCTTTCTGCATTTGCCGCATGTCCAATGAGGGCATGCATTCTCCTTGACAGCTGCAGTTAGCAGGTCGTGATTCATGTTACTCACCTGAGAGTCAAGTAGAGAATGATTATTACAGATTCCCTCTCCGCTCCTGTTCAAGTTCCAATGACTCGAACAGTGCCTTGAAGTTCCCCTTCCCGAAGCTCTGTGATCCCCTTCGGCAGATGATCTCGATGAAGAAGGTCGGACGGTCCTGCAGCGGCTTGGTGAACAGCTGGAGCAGGTACCCCTCATCGTCCGCATCAACCAGGATTCCCAGATCGCGGACGCGTTGGTGGTCTTCCTTGACGACATCGTGGCCGTGGTCTTTGAGCATCTTGTTGACGCGTTCCCAGACGAGCTCATAGTAAGTGTCCGGCATGTTCAGGAAGTCCACACCACGACGGCGGAGCTCGGCGACGGTCGAGAGTTCATCGTCTGTGCGGAACGCGAGGTGCTGCACGCCGGGGGTCATGTCGTGCCATTCGAGGTATTCCTGGATCTGCGACTTCTTCAGACCTTCCGCGGGCTCGTTGATCGGCATCTTGATGAGGTTGTTGCCGCTCGCCATCACCTTGGACATGAGCGCGGAGTATTCAGTGGAGATGTCCGCATCATCGAAGTGCTTGAACATCTTGAACCCCATGACATCCTCGTACCACTTGACCCAATGGTTCATCTTGCCGTCTTCGACATTTCCGACGAAGTGATCGCAGTACATCAGACCACACGGATTCTCTTCGTTGTACTTGTTAAGCGGCGAGTCGATCTTCTGGAAGGTCGGCATGAACAGACCTCCCTGACGCAGCTTCTCGTACTCGTACTCTCCTGTACGCGAGACGAAGGTGTGGATCACGCGGCCGTAGATCTTGATCGACGCGACGGTGACACTACCCTTCTCGTCTTCGAGCGTGCGAGGTGCTTGGGCGCACTCGGCGCCATTGGCGATCGCTTGGTCGTACGCGGCGGTTGCGTCTTGAACAGTCAGCGCGACTTCCTTGACTCCATCGCCGTAGCGTTTGAGCTCTTCGGCGGCGGGATGCTCTTTGGTGAGCGGTGTCGTTAAGAGCATGCGGATGTTCCCCTGCGTGAGCAGGTAGTCCGCTTCGGTGCGCGAGCCGGTGGTAAGGTCCGCGATCTGATCGATCCGGAATCCGAAGGTGTGCGCGTAGAAATACGCGGCTTGCTTCGCGTTTCCCACATAGAAACGGACATGGTCTACATCGATCAGGGTCAATGGATCAGCGCTCAGCGCGGTGCTGGTCTCGGTGGATGCGGTCGTCATCTCAGAATCCTTATGTCAACTCTTGGGCGGTGAATCTGCGGTTGGCGACAGGAATATCGCCGGCGGGAGCCCAGGTCCCGCTCGGTATTATAGAGCATTGATTGAGGAGTTCCAAAGGTTCTTTTTACCCTTCAGATCAGCAAAATCCGCTACAGCGTCGCGGCGCCGGCTTGGATTTCCGCTTCATCAGCGACTCGGAATCCAGACGCGAGATCGCCGACACGCAGAATCGCGACGGTGCTCTGCGCGAGGATCGCTCCGAGTGGTTTACCAGCGACCATGAGGACAGGATCGCCTTGCGTGACGACCTCACGCGCCAGGAGCATTTCCTCGACATGGTCCGTCCATGTGCGGAGCTTGCCGTTGCCTGGAGGGTCCGTGAGGATTGGGGTGACCCCTCCGAAGAGCGCCATGCGGCGAGAACCGATCGCTGAGGAGGTGTACGCGTAGATCGGGACGCGGAAGTTGTTCTGGGAGAGGTATCGCGCCATTCCGCCCGCTTGGGACCAGACGACGACTGCCTTGGCATCGAGTTCCTCGGCCATGTGCCAAACACCTCGTGCGAGCGCGGCGCTGCGGAATGGGTATTCCTTCAAATCCGCGAGAGCGCCCTGAGCGTGCGCCAGCTCGTCCATGCGTGCTTCAGTGACCTTGATGATCCGCTGCATGGTCTCGACGACGACATCGGGGAACTTCCCTACGGCGGTTTCACCTGAGAGCATGACGGCGTCGCAGCCGTCAAAGACCGCGTTGGCAACATCGGACGCTTCGGCGCGCGTTGGGCTCTGTGATTCAATCATCGATTCGAGCATCTGTGTCGCAACGATGCTTGGTTTGCCTTGCTCGTTGCACTTCGCGAGGATGTGCTTCTGGATGACTGGGACCTTCGCGACATCCATCTCGACGCCGAGATCGCCGCGAGCGACCATCACCGCATCGGTCGCTTCGATGATCGCATCCAAGTTCTCCACGGCTTGTGGTTTCTCAATCTTGACTACTACTGGAATTCGCAGTCCGATCTCAGGCTCGGCCCAAGGAAGATCTGGGGTGCACCATTCTTCGAGTTTGTCGGTCAGCTCGATGACTTCTGCGGCTGTACGGACAAATGAGAGTGCGAGGTAGTCAACACCGTTGTCCACTGCCCATCGAGCACACTCCCAGTCACGCTCAGTGATCGCTGGAACACTGATGTCGGATTCAGGGAGATTGATCCCCTTGCTGCTCGTGACACGACCACCGACGGTGACTTTACACTTGAGCCATTCGCCATGTTCGTGTTCGACGGCAAGCATACGGATCGCACCGTCATTGATCAGCACGCGTTGGCCCGGGAGCACATCGGTGTAGAGCGGATCAAAGGTGGCGCTGAAGGTTGCTTTGCCGTCAATGATCGCGGCTTCGCCTTGATCCTTGCGGAAATAGACACTATCACCAGTTTTGATCACGATCCCGCCATCTTCGTCGAGATCAGGGACCTTCCCTACGCGCATCTTGGGTCCTTGAAGATCACCGAGCACGGCGATGCATCGTCCGGATCGCAGCGACGCTTCGCGGACATTTTTGATGCGTGCGTCCATATCCGAGAGGTCGCCGTGGGAGAAGTTCAGGCGAAACACCGAGACACCCATCTCAATCAATCGGTCAAGCATCTCGGGACTGTCAGACGCGGGTCCCAAGGTCGCGACGATCTTTGCGTGCGCCGGATTGGTCGTGTTGTCCTGAGTCCAGGAAGGTGATTTAGAATGATGAGGCATGGAAGCTCCTGAAACGAGCGGGGGTACACAACAACACCATAGAGGGTTATCGGCCTGATGGTGGATGATACTGTGCGAAACTGCGAAGAAATAGGGGTTCGCAGAGGTCTGAATCAGACATTAAACAAGAAGTTGCAGACATCCGCGTCGTGCATCACATAGCCCTTGCCTTCGACTCGGAGTTTCCCGGCTTCCTTGATCGCCTTCTCACTTTTGTACTCCACCAGATCATCGACTGAGTAACACTCAACACGAATAAACCCTCGTTCAAAGTCTGTATGAATCACACCCGCGGCTTGTGGTGCTTTGCATCCCTGCGGGATCGTCCACGCGCGGACTTCTTTTTCGCCGGCGGTGTAGTAGGACTGGTATCCGAGCAGCTTGTACGCGGCGCGAGCGAGCTTCCCGAGCGCGGGCTCGTCCATCCCCATATCCGCGAGCATCTCCGCTTTGTCCTCGTCGTCAAGCTCTGCGAGTTCGGACTCGATTCGAGCACACACTGGAACCATCTCAGCGCCGACATCCTCCGCGTGCTTGCGGACACGCTGAGCGAGTTCGCCTTCTCCCATCGGATCATCATCGGAGACATTCGCGATGTACAGAATCGGCTTGCTGGTAATGAGCGCGAGCTGCTTGCGTGCTTTGATAAGATCAGGATCGGAGAGTTCGAGCGAACGCGCCGGTTTCTGTGCTTCGAGGATGGGCATCAGCTGCTCGATAACTTTCATGCGAGCGATCGCGTCTTTATCTCCGCCTCGCGCGTTGCGCTTTGCTTTCGCTTCCGCGTTCTCGAGCGTCTGGATATCCGCGAGGATGAGTTCGAGCTCGATGGTCTCGATATCGCGGAGCGGATCGACCGATCCATCGACATGGGTGATGTCCTCGCCGCCTGGTGCTTTTTCGAAGCAGCGGACAACCTGAACGATCGCGTCAACATCTTTGATGTGTCCGAGGAATGCGTTGCCCTTACCTTCGCCGGTTGAGGCGCCGCGAACCAATCCCGCGATATCCACAAGTTCGAGGACTGCCGGGATCACCTTCTGTGTTTTGATATGCTGTTGGATGATCCCCAACCGTGGATCGGGGATCGGGACGACTCCGATGTTTGGATCAATCGTCGCGAACGGATAGTTCGCGGCGAGCGCCCCCGCGTTGGTCAGCGCGTTGAAGAGGGTCGATTTGCCCACATTGGGGAGTCCAACAATGCCTGCTTTCATAGGGTTCTCCGGACGCTGGTGATGCGGCTTAAGCGGAGGGATTGTAGTCGGGCATCGCGGCGAAACTTATGTGATCAGAGCGAGCATCCACAACGCAACCAGTGATCGCAAGCTCCAGAGGAGTGTTCGGATCCAGTTGGTCTGGACCAATCGAGCGTGGACTTTCTGGTCGAATCGCTGCTCCAGAATCCGATGAGCTGGAATCTGGAGGAGGAGGGTTGATCCCCAGATCCCGCCGAGCGCGATCAGTCCCAGGAGTGGTAGAAGGATGGCATCACGATCCGCTTGAGCGAGCAGGTAGAGTGAGCTGAGCAGCTCTGCGATCATCAGCGGCCCAACCACCCAAGTAGTCGATCTTGTGTGTGCTCGTTCGTATTGGATGAAATCATCCACACCAACTTTGGACATGAGGGGATAGTGGACAATCTGCACGAACCAGATCAAGCCGGTCATCATGAGTGTGCTCAGCGCGTGGATGAGCAGCATGAACAGGGTCAGATCGATCGCATTCATTGTCGAGGTTCATGCATCGGGACACGAGATCTCTGAGCCGGGACGGGGCAAGGCATCGAGCCATATTCGATCCGCTCACCCGCCGTGCGATGTCGATGGGTGTGGATCACCTGTCCATCCTTGATAATGAAAATCCCAGGCATCTGGAATCCATCGCCTTTGAGTCCGGAAACGATGTTGCCGCGGAGTGTCGCTTTGATTCCTTCGATCCAGTTGCGAGGTCCGAAGAGTTGCCAAAAGCCGCCTCTCGGGAGTTCAAAGGCTCGATACAGCGACTGCGTTTGATCTTGTACGCGTGGAACCATCTCAAGGCTGTACTTGAGCATGACCTGCCGAGCTTCTTCGTCGTCGCTCATGTGTACAACAACCGGCTCGATGCCGCGATCTTTGAGGATTGGGAGATCGCGCTGAAGATCTTGAAGTGTCTGCAGGCAGAAGGTGCATCCCATGTGGCGCAGGAAGATCATCATGACGGGCTGCTGACGAGAGCGATGCAGAACACTGATGCCGTATTGATCCGTCGCGCGTTCGATGGCGCCTGGGACTGTGAAGAGTGATTCATAGCGAGCATCGCGTGGATACTGGTTGTACTTCGCGGCGGCGTAGAGGATCATCCCGAACGGGACCCACCAGATCAGATCGTTGGGGATGAGGACCCATCCGAAACTCTTAGGGAGTTCATTGGTGATGAACGCGGCGTAGACAAATCCGAGTGGTCCGAGGACTTTCCCGAGCAATCCGACAAGCACGATCGGCCAGTGACGATTCGGATCGCGCGAAGCGATGATGTATCCAACGCCGTAGACGCCGACGATCATCCCGACGCACTGCCAGATCGCTGGGTATCGAGGTGGTTCGAGACCCAGTCGATCAAAGAGCAGTGCCGGGAAGAGAACGACGATCGCGCCCCAACCGATGTTGTAGAAGCCCGCGAGCATAAGGAGCGGGCGAGCCCAAGTTGATTGCTGATCACGCATAGATACAAACTCGCTTTGTGACTTGATGCACAGTTGGCACCAAGTGGGTTTCGTAGATTCAGCAGCGCTTGATTCAGAATCTGAGAAAAAGCAGGGATTTAGAACCCTCTTTCAACGCTCTGAGAGGCGATACAATACAAAAAAGCCCGGGTAGCTCAGTTGGATAGAGCAGCGCTTTCCTAAAGCGCAGGTCACAGGTTCGATCCCTGTTCCGGGTGTTTCCTCACTCTCAGTATGACTGCTCCCAAGAATCCATCCCAGTCCTTTGTCCCAGATCGAGGTCATCTGCTCACAGAGCAACGCTTGTCGGCATCCGCGGATCTGGATGCTGGATCCATCGAGGACACACTCCGGATCATTAACGATGCGGACGCGCAGGTTGCGCACGCTGTGCGTGATCAGATTCCGCAGATTTCACGCGTTGTCGAGATGGTCGTCCGATCGCTGGAATCGGGAGGACGCTTGGTGTATCTCGGAGCGGGCACGAGCGGCCGTCTCGGTGTGCTGGACGCTTCGGAGTGCCCCCCCACTTTCAACAGCGATCCGGAACAAGTCATCGGACTCATCGCGGGCGGAGACTCCGCTCTGCGGACATCATCTGAGCACAAAGAGGACATCCCGAGCGGTGCGCACCAAGAGCTGGATCGGATCGGGATTGGTTCGAGGGACACTGTGGTCGGGATCGCTGCAGGAGGAACCACGCCGTATGTTTTAGGAGGTGTGGAGTTCGCGAAGAGTGTTGGCGCGTCGACGGCGCTGCTGACCTGCACTCCGATCGAGCAACCTGACTGGTGCGATGTGCTGATTGCTGTGGAGACTGGGCCGGAGGTCGTCACAGGATCAACGAGGATGAAAGCGGGCACGGCGACCAAACTCGTGCTCAACATGATCAGCACTGGCGCGATGGTTCATAGCGGAAAGGTCTACGGGCACCTGATGGTCGATCTCCGCGCGACCAACGACAAACTCCGCGACCGCGCGGCTCGGATCATTTCGCAGATCACTGGAGTTGATCGACAACAAGCGTTCACGCTGCTTGACTGCGCGGATAATCGCGTCAAACCAGCGCTGGTCATGCACGCGAAGAACTGTTCACTCAGTCATGCGGAATCACTCATCCAGCGGCATCAAGGTCGATTGCGTCCGATCTTGGGTGATCCCAAATGAGTATCGAACAGCTCGCTGGCGCGTGCATCATGACTGGGATCCGCGGTGCAACGCTGGATGATCCTGTGTGCAGAGCGGATGTTGAACTGCTCAAGAAACTCCACATCAAGAATGTGATCCTCTTTGATGTCCATCTGCCGACTGGTGGACTGCGAAATATCGTGAGTGAGGAACAGGTCCGAAAGTTCACGGATGATCTCAAACACGAACTCGGAGATGACCTCATCATCGGGATCGATCAAGAGGGAGGCGAGGTCAATCGGCTCACCAACTTCAAGGATCCTGCGGTCTCGGAGATGCTCAGCGCCAAAATGCAAGGTGTGATGAGCGAGAAGCAGCTCGCTTCGGTGATCGATCCTCTGGCGCGAACGCTCTCTGAGACAGGGATCAACTTGACCTTTGCGCCGTGTGTTGATCTTGCGGTGAATCCAGACAATCCGATTATCGCACGCAAGGGTCGCTCGCTGGGAACAGATCCGAATCGTGTAATCCAAGCGGCATCGACGATCATCCGATGCTACGACGAGTATGGCGTGCGTTGCTGCATCAAGCACTTCCCTGGACACGGCTCGACCACTGTGGACACACACCTCGGACTCGCGGATATCACACGGAGCAAGAATGAAGCCGAGCGACAGGTATTTGAGCGACTCATTGAAGAAGTGAATACGAGAGTGATACCAAACTGCGCTGTAATGTCAGGACATCTGATGGACAGCAACATCGATCCGCAGCTCCCAGCGAGCTTGTCCGCGTTGCATACACAACAGCAACTCCGTGACAAACTCGGGTTTAACGGCGTTGTGTTCACCGACTCCATAGACATGGGCGCGATCCGAGATCAGCACGATACGGGGTTGGCATCCGTACTCGCGATCAACGCCGGCGCGGATGTCGTGATCGATGGATTCAATGCGCCCGAAGCTTCGCTTCATCCTGTATCCATGATGCATGCGTCGTTACTCGAGGCAATCGACAACGGAGTGTTTGAAGAATCCCGTTTGCACGAAGCGGCTCAACGACGATCGGCGCTGCTCAGTTCCTGACCGATAACAACTCGGAATCACGGCACCACAACGTGAGTTGGATCCGGATCTCAGAATTCGCTCGACAACCACCGAGTTCTGTGGCCTTTTTGAGCTATGAACCTCCATCCACAGACACGATTGATCTCACTCGGCGCTGTCGCCGCAGGACTCCTCTTGCTCGGGGGTTGCTCGCAGTCGCACCCCTCAGCTGCTTGGCAGGGTTCGGGCATGTATGTCGGCAACGCGGGAAACAGCTCCGCATTGATCTACTCTCCTGGACTCGAAGGGACTGGTACCATGGTGTACACCGATCGGGATGCTCCGGAGTACAGCCGACGGGACTTCACGATGTCGCATCGGGATCTCTCGCGTCGTGATGAGCTGTTCGGAGTGCGCGCGGAGCAGCATCCGTCACTCAACAATCGTCGCATCTACCGCTCATCGCGCCGTGCGGATGAGTACAGCTATCCGAGTCGCGAGCCTCGTGGATACCACGGCTATCGTCGCTACTACCGAGATCGTTGATCGGTTGAACGCATGTCCAAAAAAAGGAGAGGGCCGACCCGCAAACACGGATCGGCCCATCACCAACACCAACATGCACCAATGGTTTCTACTTAGTCATACAACGCCGCGGTCGGAGGGAGCTCGATGCTCCGGAGCTGAAGCGTGGTCTCGATGCGGAAGTTCGATCCGCTGTACCGACGCTCGGCGTGGAAGATGTCGAGTGTGTAAGTCCGGCCGTCTTGGAGCCAATCCAATCGATCGAGATCGAGGAACTGCTCACGCTTGGGGTGCAGACCACCAAGGTCGACCACGAGTCGTCCGTTGATATAGACCCAGACATCGTCGTCACCTGTGAACTTGAACACCTGACCGGTCTCACGATGGAATGTGAACTCTGTGTTGATCTCAGTCGTGAAGTGATAGTTCCGGCCCGATTTGAAGTTTCCATAGAGCTCGCCGTTGATCGGGAAGAACCCGTGCGTGCCGTGGACAGTATCGTGTGCCGAATCGAACACATACCGATCGGTCCCTGGTACGCGTGTGAGCGTGAGCTCAATGGTCTTCGAGAGATTGACACCCGGCACATCGCGATACCACTGATCGAATCGTTCGACGGAAGTGAATCCGTTCCCTGAGGGACCGTTCGCGAGTGAACCTTGTGTGTCACCCTGTTGCGGATCATACATCGCGGGATTGATGTTCCGGCCTTGCGAGTCTTTGAACTCTGAGCTGATCTTCTTCCCTCGAAGGTCGCCCGATGAAACGGGTTTGCCGTCATCGCTCAGGTACTCCGCGACCAGTCCGACGGTGGTGGTTCCGCCGAAGGACTCGAAGTCGGGGTGTCCGCCTTCCCATTGCTTCGGTTTAAAGTCGCGGATGACGCAGTCGAGTTGGAGCGTTTCAGGGAGATTATCCTCTGACTCGGTCGTCTCCTCGCTTGATTGACCTTCGGACTCCGATCCCTCACTCGCAAGAGCGATCGCGTTGATTCCACCGACGAGGAGCGCGAGTGCGCCGACCTTGGTCAGACCTTTGATTGTGTTCACTGTGTGCTGTTGCATGTGTTCTTCCTTCCCGCAGCTTCGGGGCTGCGCCCCCGTACCTTTAATACAGTTCAAGAGCGATTCAGTCCAGCGTGGTCTCTGCGGAGGCAACGCTCTGAGTGGAATCTTGATTTGCCGATACATACGCCGTACCGATCGAGAAAATCATGGAGAGCCCTGATGCCGCGATCGCCGCGATCAGCAAGGCTTGCATGAGTTTGTTTGGGTTCCCGAGCTTCTCGTCATGCTCGCTGAGTGCTTCGGATGCTGAGGTCGTGCTCATCACTGGTTCTCCTCGCGGGGGCATTGAGGTGTTGGTCCCGCAGTTTGAACTTCCATAACGATCCGCAACTCGTCAAGCATCTCGATTTGACAACCAAGCGAACAGAATCCGTCTGTAGCGATTGTGCGGATTCGGTCGGTTCCACGAACGAGAGTGCTCATCCGCGGGATTGGTCCGATTTTGGGGCTGATCCAAGCGAATGCCCGATGGAGTTTGGGGATAGTGTGATACACTGCTAACACGACGGATTGAACGGAGATCAGATCCATGGATGTATTTGTCATCGAAGGCGGACGCAAACTCAGCGGCACAATCCGGATCAACGGCTCCAAGAACGCCGCACTCCCTTTGATGACCGCGGCGTTGCTTACTGATGAGCCGCTGATCCTCTCCGAGGTCCCAAACCTCTCTGATATCCGCAACATGACCAAACTGCTTGGTGAACTGGGTGTCCAGAGCGACATCGAAACCACGGATCTGGGACAAACGATTTCCCATCACGTGGTGGACCCCACCCAATCGCACGCTCGTTATGAGATCGTCCGCACGATGCGCGCGAGCATCAGCACGCTCGGACCGCTCGTCGCGAAGCGTGGATACGCGCGCGTCTCGCTCCCTGGAGGATGCGCCATCGGTCAGCGTCCAGTCGACCTGCACTTGCGTGGACTAGAGGCACTGGGCGCCAAGATCACACTCGACGGCGGGGACATCATCGCGCAAGCTCCCAGCGGTCGGCTCATCGGCGCTCCAGTGTTCCTTGGTGGGCCATTTGGATCAACGGTTCTGGGAACAGCGAACATCCTCTCCGCCGCGACACTCGCGAAAGGGACCACAATCATCGAGTCCGCGGCGTGCGAACCTGAGATCGTGGATCTCGCGAACATGCTCATTGCGATGGGCGCCAAGATCAGCGGCGCCGGATCTCCACGAATCACGATTGAAGGCGTCGAAGAACTCTCGGGAACCACGCATCGAGTGATGCCGGATCGGATCGAAGCGGGAACCTACATGTGCGCCGCGGCGATCACTCAATCAGAAGTCACCCTCGACAACTGTCCGCTTGATGCGATGATGAGCGCGACGGACACGCTGGGACACATGGGAGTCGATGTGAACGCTGTGGGATCCGCGGATGATCCGATGCGCCGTTCGTGCGTGATCTCTCGTACTGGAGCGATCACCCCTGTTCAGATCACGACGCAACCCCATCCTGGATTCCCGACGGATCTGCAGGCGCAGTTCATGGCGTTGCTTTGTCTTTCGAACGGAAACGCGGTGATCACAGAAAAGATTTTCCCTGAACGCTTCCTTCATGTCGCGGAACTGTGCCGAATGGGCGCTCAGATCCATCGTCAAGGCGCGACCGCAGTCGTCACAGGTGTTCAGCAACTCACCGGCGCACCGGTCATGGCTTCAGACCTCCGTGCGAGCGCCGGACTCGTCATCGCGGCACTCGCGGCACAGGGACAGACGATCATCAATCGCGTGTATCACATTGATCGCGGATACGAGCATCTTGAGGATAAACTCGCGAAGGTGGGCGCATCGATTCGTCGCGCCAATGCCGAAGAGTTCGCAGATTCTACGATGACTCTTTGAGTCAAGATCTGAGCTGCGGCTGTTTATGAATCGTCTTCGTCAAAGCCGCGCTTGATCATGTCACTCAGGTGATTCAAGCATGCTTTCGCGTCATCACCTTTACAAACGACCTCGATTGTTGTGCCCTTGGTCGCGGCGAGGAGCATGAGGTCCATCACAGACTTCCCATCGGCGTCCTCGTCATTGGCGCGGACACGCACCTCAGACTTGTATTCACCCGCGGCGGTCGCGAAATCCATCGCGGGACGCGCGTGGAGACCGTAGTGATTCACGATCTTCAGCTTGGCTGAACACGAATCAGTCACATGGATCTCCGGATGGACAGTCTCACAATGCACGCTCTTTCTACATCCGCTCTGCTCGCAAAGTTCACGAATCAGGAGAAGCGGGGTACGAATTTTGAACTCACTCGCTCACTCGGGTTATCAGGACCCAAGCGGTCACGGCTTACGCTTCGCCGAGCCGATGATGATCGGCGTCGTCGAGCAGTTTCTGGATCTCTTCCACATTCTGGGTCTGCCGCATGTAGCGTCGGAATGTTTCCTTGGAGAGATTCTTGAAGATCGTTTCCATCGCTTGGAGGTGATCCTCTGGTTGATCCGCTGGTGTCAACAACATCACCACGGTGTAGACTGGGAGTTTGTCACGCGACTCAAAGTCAATGCCGTGCTGACTCAGACCCAAACCTGCGGAAAGCTTGGTGATCTTGGGATGCTTGATATGCGGCACGGCGACCCCGAACCCGAACCCTGTCGAAGATTTGTGCTCACGATCGAGGATCTTCTGGAGCAGCTCATCGCGGATGTCGGATGGTGCGGCGCCGCTCTCGATGAGCACATCAATCATCTCCGCGATCGCGCTGTCACGATCTTTCGAAGTCAGATCGTGTCGTATCGCATCAGGTTGAATGATCTCGGTGAGTTTCATGCATTCCCCGTTTCGGTGAGAGTAGACGCGTACACCATAGCCGCATTGTACACGATCGGCTCAAACCTGTGCTCAAACATTGACTTATGACGCTCCGCGAGCGGTCAAAGCGACCTCAACGGACGGCTTTGAGCTTCTCTCGATGGTCATGGAGCTGTCGGTCAACCTTGACAACTACTTCGTCGATGATGTCGTAGACATCGCTGCCTTCAACCTTTGCGATGAAGTCCTCGTGACGCTCGACATCTACAGTCAGTTCCACCGCGTATTGCTCCTTGGTGGGACTCTCTTTCCAGATGCGGAAATCGATCTGCTGGACGAAACTGCTGTATGTATCGAGTTTTTCGGCCTTCTTCTCGGCGTGGAGCCGGATTGGGTCGGTGATTTCAAACTGACGCCCTACGACATTGATTCGCATATGCACTCCTTGTGGGCTGGGGGTATGCATCTTGCACACCCAGTTCTTGATCTATTCTAGGGGATCAGTACGCTCGATCCAAGCCCAATCCGACTACACAATCCGCATATCCACTGACTTTGCACAAGCTGGGAAGCCCCCCCTAGACTTGGTCCCTATGTCCGCAAAGTCACTCAGAAATCTGATCCAGTACAGCATCCTTCTGATGCTCTTGACCCTGCTAGGACTCTTCCTGCTCTACCCCATCGCGCTGACAGTGCGAGGTGGATTCGCGGAGGACCCTGCGACTGGAACTGGATGGACACTCGATCATCTGCGTTTGGTCTTCGAAGATCCCCTGCAGATCACTGGACTCATCAACTCGCTCAAGATCGCGATCGCGGTCACGACCACTTGCATCATCATCTCGCTCCCGCTCGCAACACTGAGCGCCCGATTTACCTTTCCTGGAAAGAAGATCCTCAACGCCGCGATCTTGGTGCCGTTGATCCTCCCGCCGTTTGTCGGCGCGATCGGGATCAGCAAGCTCATGGGACGCGAGGGCGCGCTCAACGCGATGCTCGGCACCGACTGGGATCTGCTCGGCAACGGGAAGTTCTGGGGAGTGGTCATCGTCGAAGCGCTCCACCTCTATCCGATCATTTATCTCAACACCGTTGCGTCGCTCGCGAACCTCGATCCGGCGCTCGATGAGTCTGCGGAGAATCTGGGCGCGGGAGGGTGGAAGCGGTTCTTCAAGATCACACTGCCGTTGATCCGTCCGGGATTGTTTGCGGGATCGACGATCGTGTTCATCTGGAGCTTTACGGAGCTCGGCACGCCGTTGATGTTCGATTACTCGACCGTGACCCCGGTGCAGATCTTCTACGGCTTGAAAGAAGTGCAGAACAACGCCGAGCCGTATGCACTCACGCTCGTGCTGCTGTTCTCAGCGATCATGATCTACATCCTCGGCAAGCTCGTGTTTGGACGCAAGGGATACGCGATGTATTCCAAAGCATCGCGTGCCGGAGGCGAGACCCCACTCAAGCCGTTCTGGGGATTCATGGCGACCATCGCGTTTGGAGCCGTGACTGTGCTCGCGTTGATGCCGCATATCGGCGTGGTGCTGACCTCGCTTGCTGAGCCGGGTTCGTGGTACTCATCAGCGCTTCCTGAATCGCTCACCTTCTCCCACTTCGAGCAGGCGTTGACTGCCGGCGAATCCTTCAACTCGATCAAGAACTCACTGATCCTGTCGCTGCTCGCGATGATCCTCAATATGGGGTTCGGCGTGCTGATCGGATACATCCTCGTCCGCACCAAGGTCATCGGACGCGGACTGCTCGATTCGCTCTGCATGCTCCCGCTCGCGGTGCCTGGACTGGTGATGGCGTTCGGATATGTCGCGATGACCCTCCGCTTCCCGTTCGGAGCGGGTGATCCGCTCGAGGGCACGCTCGCAGTCTTTGGGACAGATCCGAATCCATTCCCGCTGCTCATCATCGCGTATGCGGTGCGTCGCTTGCCGTATATCGTGCGTTCGACGGTTGCGGGACTGGAGCAGACTTCAGGCGAACTCGAAGAAGCCGCCGTGAACCTGGGCGCGACGCGCGTCGCAGCGGTCCGCAAGGTCATCATCCCGCTCATCATGGCAAACCTGATCGCGGGTGGATTGCTGGTCTTCAGCTTCTCGATGCTCGAGGTCTCCGACTCGCTGATCCTCGCACAGCGGAGCGATCACTTCCCGATCACGAAAATGATTTACGAGTTCACGAACCGGCTCGGCGATGGACAGTACATAGCTTCAGCGATGGGTGTCTGGGGCATGACGCTCCTCACCGTCACGCTCGTGGGCTCATCGGTGATGATGGGCAAGAAACTCGGGTCCATCTTCAGAGTGTAAGGTTTACCAATGCATATCCGTCTGACGCAACCTGATGATGTACCCAGCATCACATCGGTGCTCAACGATCAGATCGCGAATCACAAAGCTCATTTCGGCACGGAATCTGAACTTGAGTCCACGATTCTTGGACTGCTCGAAAAAGCGCAGGACAAGTTTCCTTGGTATACCGCACTTAACGATGATGGTGACTTCCTCGGATTTGCAAAGTCCGGAGCGTGGTCTCCACGCGGTGGATACAACTGGACCGCTGAGATCACGATCTATCTCGCGGATCATGCAAAAGGAAAGGGGATCGGCAAGGCGCTGTACTCAAAGCTTCTTGAAACACTGAAAGCACAGCGATTCCAGGTCATCGTCGCGGGAGTCGCGGAACCCAATCCCGCGAGCGTCAAGCTCCATCAATCCATTGGGATGGAGCGGACAGGGTACAACAAGACCATGGGGTACAAGCACGGCGAGTGGATCGACGTGGGGTACTACCAGATGATCCTCGGCGACCTCTCCAATCCACCACCCCCTGTCCTAAGCGTCAGCGAGGCACTGAGCACGCTGGAGTGATACACTCGTCCCATGCTCGATCCCAACGACAGCACGCTTCTCCGCGCCACGCACATCCTCCGCAGCGCGTGGACCGCGACGCTGCTGTATGACGAATCCCCGTTTGACACCAAGTGCATGATCGATCCCAAGACCGGGTCGTTCATCGTCGCGATTATGGATGACGCGCTGGACGCTCGCGACATCACCCTCGCGTGTCCGCGAGATTCGTTCGACTCGCGCGTGCGCATCGCTGTGGATCTGAGCAACGATGTCAGCGAGGAGCAGAGCGACCGATTCACAGCGTACCACCTCCCGGCGACCACCCCACTGCTCGCAGTCGCGACCTACGAGTACGCGAAGCTCGATTCGGGAGAGGTCGTCACCCCGGAGAACTGCCCGCTCGTCAATCCGCTGGTCTCGGTCATGGGATCGCTGTGCAAAGCACTCAACTCGGACCGCGATCGACTGTCGCGTCTGTGCGAGGAGCTGTCTGGAGTCGAGCACGAATCACCACTGGCCGTCGGGGTGGACGGCACGGGCATCGACATCCGCGCCAGCTTCGGTCTTGTTCGTCTCAAGCTTCCGTCCATGATTTCCAATCCTGAATCTGCCCTCGATTCGGTCAACGCGCTCCTGGAGAAGTGCGATGCGTGAAGCGCACGCGCACATCTTTCAGCTTGGTCGATCGCTGACGATGCTCGATTGCTCGGAGTGTGAAAGCCGCGAGGCGATGATCGAAGCGATCGCTGAGCACAGCCAAACCCACAAACCCGATCAATGGGTGCTCGCGCACAGCGCACGTCCAGAAGCGTGGAGTGACACTCGCTGGCCGACACGTCAGGAGCTTGACCACGCGGCGGATGGCCGTCCTGTGTGCGCGTGGTGCTTCGATTACCACGCGCTTGTTGCTTCGAGCGGCGCGCTGGAGCACGCGAAAATTGATCAGCACACAAAGATCGATCGCGGGATCATGGAACTCGCACACGACGGCACACCAACCGGTGTCCTCTACGAACTCGCGGCACTCCGCCTCTGGGACTGTGTCCCTGAACCCGATGCGGACGCTCGCAAGTTGCTTGTTCTTAGCGCGTGCACGCACCTCGAAGCACTTGGATTCAACGAGGTCCACGATCTCAAGTCCCAGCCTTGGCTGGGACCGCTGCTCGCAGAGCTCCGCGACGAAGGACAAACCACCCTGTCCTTCGAGCTCTTCCCGCTGATCCCCGATCTAGAAGCGACACTCGCAACGCGCGACCAGTGGGAATCCGATCAGCTCAAGCTCGCGGGAACGAAGATCTTCACCGACGGCACACTCAACTCGCGCACGGCGTGGATGCTTGATCCGTACACCGATACGAAGACCACAGGCACCCCGATGATGACCCCATCGGAGATCGACGACGCGATGCTCCTCAGCAAATCCCACGGCCTTCCCGTCGCGGCGCACGCGATCGGGGACGGCGCGGTCCGCGCGGTCCTCGATTCGATCGAGCGCACGCAGAGCACGAACATGGGCGCGCGGATCGAGCATCTGGAGCTGGTCCACGATGAGGACATCCAGAGATTCGCCAAGCTCGGTGTGATCGCGTCGGTGCAGCCTTGCCATCTGCTTCCCGATATTGAGAGTTTACGTGCGTGCTTGAGTGATCGGTTGGATCGTGTGCTGCCGCTGCGTTCGCTGCTTGAATCGGGATTAATCGCGGGAGAGTCGTTGCTGTTTGGTTCTGATGTGCCCATTGTCCGAGCGAACTACGAGGACTCGTTGCAAGCCGCGATGCACCGACGGCGCGTGGGTATGGATGAACCGGAAGCGATCGGATACAACCAGCGGCTCACAGAGCGTGAATCGCTCGCGTGCTTTGGCGTTTCTAGTTGAGCGGGATGCGAAGCTCGAACTCCGCGCCGTATCCTCGCTTGCGGACGAGCGACAGGTCGCCCCCCATCTCGATCGCAAGACCACGCGAGAGCGCCAGACCCAAACCCAATCCTGAACGATCGCGCATCGTTCCCGATGATCCACGCACGAACTCGCCGAAGATCTTGCGTCGATCGCGCGACGGGACGCCCGGGCCGTGATCAGCGACGACGAGCAGCAGCGAGTCAGACGCGACGGACGCATCGAGGTGCACGCGTAGGTCTCGTTCCTCGTCGCTATCTCCATCACCCCCAGCGTACTTACACGCGTTGTCCATCAGGTTCATCACGATGCGCTCCACGGCGTGCGGATCGAGCGTCATCGTGCGTTCCGCGTCATCAGATGTGGAATCTGAAACGATGAGGTCCATCCCGAACTGCTCGCCAAGACGCGACATCGGAGGGACGATCCGCGCCATCATCTCTCCGACGCTGAGCGTCTGCTCGCCTTTGGGTTTGTCCTTGATGCCTTTCTGGCGCGAGATGCGCGCGTACTCGAGCACATTTTCGACGATACCGGTCAAACGATCGGACTCGCGTTTGAGTGTGTTCAGATAGTCCTTGCGGACCGCTTCATCGGTGACCATCCCATCCGCGAGCATCTGGGAATACAAGCGGAACGTCGTCAACGGCGTACGGAGCTCGTGAGTCACAGCGCCGACAAATCGACCTCGTCGTGCTGATAGATTCAGCACCGTCCGGAGCACGAGTCCGACGGCGACCATAGCGCCGAGCACTGCAACCCAGGTCACCAGCATCGCAAAGATCGCAGGAGTGATCGAGTCCCCATCCACAGCGATTGCGCCACCGGGATGGAACGCGACAGGGATCGTTGCGAGTTTGTATGAGCGCCCTGATCCTTTCCCGCTATCGGTCTGCTTGCTGCTATGGATCGGGCTCAGTGTCGATGTTGGGAGCAGGTCATCGATTGCGCTGATCAGATCTTGCGATAGCCCCGGCCAATCCAAAAGCACGCCTTGCACGATGCTCTTGCCTTGCTGATTGATCGTGCGAGTGAGTACCAGCTCGCTGATCCCGTCATCCCCAGTGATCCAGCGGGGTTCGATCGCACCGATCGTAGCGGGAGCAGTCTGCGCTCCGATGTCCTCGAACGCATGATCAATCGTCGATGCTCCGGACTTATACGCATTGTTGTCAAGAGCATCACTCTCGGTGTCCATCAAAGCAGCATCAGCACGACTCTCCAAATCCTTGTTGAGCTCTGGAGCATTTCGCGGCAAGCGATTTGACTGCGCGAGATCCGCGATCTGTTGACGGGCGTAGTAATCCGCTTCCGATTGAGTTGATTCTTCAACATCCGATCTCTGATCAGCTGTGACGGATGGTGCAGCGTCGAGCTCATCAAGTTTCTCTTCTGTTTCCTCTTTGAGTGGCTCCACAGATTCCTTCGCGTTTATCGCGACTTCGATCGCGCGTTTGGCGCTGCCTTTGGTTTCACCGTCCTCCTCGATCTCAAAATATCCGAGGTTGTACGATCCCGCGTCCACAGCCGGGGTGCTCTGCTGATTCTCTCGCCGAGCGGAACGGCCATCCATTTCTGCAAAGGTCGGCTGCTGATTCCCGATCAACAGTTCGTAGTCCTCAATCGGACGAGCCGCTTCCAATGCGATCATCGGAGCAAGTCGCGAATCCATGCGCCAGAGCGCTAAGCGGACCACTTCCTGACGCTGATTCTCGGCGCGTGCCGTCGCGTTGCGTTCCTCGAGGATGTACACACGAGCGCTCGCCCATCCCAGCACGCTCACAATGAGCACAACACCGATCCAGTACGCGAACCAGAGCTTGTTACGAGCGGGATTCACGAGTCATCCCCATCAGGGTCCGCGAGCATGTATCCCTTGCCTCGCACGGTTTTGATGACCTCGGGATTCGATGGATCGTCTCCGAGCGATTCGCGGATGCGTGCGATCGCCATATCCACAGTCCTTGTGTGCGTGCCTCGTGGATCGAGTCCCCAGACTTTCTGCAGCAGCTCATCGCGTGAGACCGCTCGTCCAGGATTCGCAGCGAGGAAACCGATGACTTCCGATTCACGCTCAGTGAGCATCAGACGCGTCCCATCGCTGAGCACCGCTTCTCGGCGATCAAAGTCCAGCTGCCTTCCCGCAATGGTGATCTTCTTCCGCTGCGATGGACGAGCGGGAACGCGCCGGAAGACCGCTTCGATCCGTGCGATCAGTTCATCCAAAGAAAACGGCTTAACAATATAATCGTCTGCGCCGAGTTTGAGTCCTCCGATGCGATCGGTCTCCTCGCCTCGTGCTGTGAGGAAAATTACAGGGACATCGGGTTTGGGTTTGCGGAGTTCCTTGAGCACCGCGAGCCCGTCCATTTTGGGCATCATGATGTCGAGCAGCACGAGATCCGCGTCGACGCTCAGGCAGAGTTCTAACCCCTGCTGGCCGTCGCTTGCTTCGTGGACGGTGTATCCCGAGAACGACAACGCATCGACCAAGCCGCGCCTGATCGAGTCGTCGTCCTCCACAACCACCAATACACCTTGTGACATGCAATCTCCTTACCGCACTGACGAGAGTTTACCATGAATAGCGGACGGTGTAGGTCACGGTCTCTTCTTCATCGACTTCGAGCGACACCGGGATGTGCATCGTGCGCGCATCGAGCATGTCGTAGTTGTGCGAGTGCTTCTGGATATCCGCGTTCGTCCAGCGGTAGAGGCGCTCTTGCACCATCACGCGGACCGGCTCGTCCTTGCGGTTGCGGAGCTTGACCTCGATGGTCTCGACGATCCAGCTCTTGCCGCGCTCAAATGAAACCTGTCGGCGTTCACCCACGACATCGAACGCGTTGCCGAGCTTGATCATGATCTCCTCTTCGCGCGGGGTGTGATCGATGACGTGCTCTCCGATGAACTCGAACGCGCCGTCCGCTTGGTCTTTCTGATTGACGCGCATGCGTCCCGATGGCATCGGGATCCCGAGCCCGTTGTCCTCGGAGTTCTCGAACTTGAGATAGACCTCGACCTTCGAGTTGGACTGGACACCCCAGTTCTGGTCCGCCATCGCGGAGTTCCCAAACCACTGTGCTTGCGCCGTCCCGTCGTAGAGCAGAACCTTCTCAGCCGGGACATCGTTGACGGCTTCGAACAGCTCGATCTGCTTGGTCGAGCGATCAGGGATGGTCGTTGCACGACCGAGCGTGTAGAGGTGGTACTCAAAGAATGATTTCTCTTCGAAACCCGCGGCACCAGAGTCCTCCATTGCGTTCGCTCGCATGTAGGTCTCGACCTGTCTGAACTGATTCTTCGGCTGCGCCCGATTGACATCACCAGCGACGAGTTTCAGTTTCGCGTTCTCGTAGGTGCCTCCCGATTGATTCAGAATCGAGACCCACGCGCCGACATCGACAGTCCCCGAGTTTGCATCCTCGCCGGGCGTGAAGATGAGGTTGTAATCCGCCCACCAGGTGATCCCGGTCGTCTGGTACGAAACGCGCGTGTCATGCTCGCCACCAGTCGCGGCGTTGACCTGCCACATCAACGTCGGCTTGGTGACGAGCGATTCATCGAGCGATGGGAAGACCACTCCAGCGTATCCTTGCTGGAACTGGACGCGTCCATCGTCACCTTGGAGCAGCATGCCTCCGCCGGCGGTGGACATGAGGGTCATCTCTTGTCCGCCGTAGATGATCTTCTGATCGATGTAGCGTTCGAGCATGCGATCCATCGAGAGCAGATCGAAGCGGTAGTCCTGTTCGAGCACACTCGTCCCATCGGGATCGGTCAGCGACGAGAACTGGACCGTCGTCGGATCGAGCAGCGCCGCGACATCGGTGAAGCTCAGCACGCTGAGTCCTTGGTCGATGTCGAGCGTCCGATCCTGACGGATCACCGCGTATCCTGGGATCTGGTTGTATCGGTTGTAGCCGTAGCCGTAGGACTGTCCCGGGACTGGTCGGTACCACTCCGCCGGAATCGCGCCAGGGGTCGCGGTGGAGTAGATCGTGAGTGCGGTGTCGTCGGCGAGTGCGGACTGGAGGATCGCGGTCGATGCGAGCAATCCAGCGATGTGTGCGATTCGTGTGTTCATCTTGGGCCTTTCGTGGATAATGGCTTCTCAGTGATCATATACGTGCTGGATTCAATCCTCGGACGAGCCTTCTTTGTCTTCTTTCGAATCTTCTGTGCCGCTCGTGATCTTGAGCCCGATCGATTCGCCTTGCTTCTGGAGGGTGATGAGCACCTGCATATCGAAGCTGTCGCCCTTCATCGAGGCGCGGGCCTCGTCCTGATGGTCCCGGCGCAGCTTCGCGAGCTCGGCGAGTCTGGATTCGATCGCGACACGACGTTTATTGTTTTCCTTGATGATTTGCTTGAGTTCTTCAACCGATTTGGACTGGTACGCCTCAGGGAGCTCGTCCTTCTCGACATCCTCCAGAGCGACGCGTCCATCGACGACGTCATCGACGAGTTCTTTGACGCCGTAGAGATTCGATCGTCCCGCGGCGGTCTGGTTGTAGATCGCGCGATCCGCGGACGCTTCCGGAGCGGCGCTCGATGAAATCTTGCTGGCGCGATCACGCTTGGACTCTTGGTAGAGAACCTCGTCGCGAGAGCCGTAGTCGATCATGAGCGATGTGAGTTGCTGGTCCAGCTCTGTGATTTCTTGGTCGTATGGAGTCGTGATCCGCTGCACCCCTGAGTCCTGATCGATCGCGGCGTACTGCCCGTTGGTCAGTCCCGCGATCTTGGTCCAGTGGTCTTTGGTGCCGTGGAGATTCCCGCACTGGATCGTGTTGACGATGATCCCCTTCTCCGCCGCGAGCTTGCACGACGCTTGGTACTTCACATCGTCGTTGTACCCCATCTGAGGCGGCGCATCACCCACAAGGAACACGATCTTGAGTGTGCTCGGATCATCCGACCAATCGAACCGCTCCACGGCTTCAAACAGCGCCTCGTTAACGCTCTCCGGAGTGTCCCCGCCGCCCCCTGCTTCGAATCCCATCAGTGTTTCGTACACCGTGTCCAGATCATCGGTCATCGTGGTCTTGGTGGTCACATACTGATCCCCACGATCTCGATATCCGACGAGCCCCATCCGGATCTCCGGAGCGGGTTGTGCTTGCGCGATCGTCGATGCGATGGACCAGATCTTTTGTTTCGCGCCTTCGATCAAGCCGCTCATCGAGCCGGTGGTGTCGAGCACGAATACAACTTCGACTTTCTTCTGAAGCTTCTGAGGAGGCTGACAATCTCGCAAGTGTGCATTGAGCTGCTCAGCAGTCGGCGGACAAGCGAGGGATGGTGCGGATAATCCGGCGCTCAGAGTAAGTGTCAGAGTGAGTGCTGCGTGTGTGCGTTTCATCGAATGGTCTCCTTGCATTGGGTGGTCATGGCGTCGTTGCCAACCGTCCCACGTCAATAGATACCGTTCGATTGCGTCTTGTATCGTCACAACTGTGTCACACAATCGCTATGTCACGGACGCGTCACATGCATGTCACAACAGTGTCACAGCGATGTGCGTTCAACGATCAGAATCAGTGATTACTCGGCGCTGCGAACGATTAAACCATGCGGCAAGAAAATTGCTACGATCCCTGAGATCGAAAGCAAGACCGCCGTGACTGTGAACGCGGTATCGAGACCAAACCCATCCATCACGCGTTGTGCGGATGAGTCTGGAAGCAGGTTCACCAGATCAATCACAAAGCTCGGCACATTGGGCTTGGCGTTCAAACCGTTCTGCACGACCTCCGCCCCCATCGGTCCGAGGAATGAGAGCATCCACGCGCCGCCGAGCATTAATCCTGATACCAAGCTGGTTCGGTGCGGAAGCAATCGCTGCGAGAGCGAAAGACTCACCGGGATCGCGGCTCCGAATCCGATCCCGGACAACACCGCCGCGCCCATCACCATCCATCGGCTGATGCTTGGATCCATTGCGGAGAGCTGCGGGATCATCGCGATGCTGATCGCGCCGAGCATCGGGAGGATGATGAACACCGCTTTCTCGAATCGTGCCGCGAGGATGAATCCGAGCGTGATGCCTCCGCCTCCCATCCCGACCTGCATGGACGCCTGGAGCGTGCCGTTGATCTGCGATGCTTCGATCCCGAGTTGTTCGGTCAGTTCAAGAGCGTTGTGCTTGCTGAGCACGAAGCGGGATGCCCATTCGGTGAACAGATACACGAGCGCCATGTTGGTCGTGAACCTGAGCACATTGCTCGCGTACAGCACCCACACCCCGATCCATCGCTGTCGGCGTTCGTGCGCATCCCATCCGACCTGATGCTCGTGCGCGCCGTGGTGACGGTGCCCCGCTTTGTGGATCGCGATCGCGAGGAACGTCGCCGCGAGCAGACCGATGGGGATGAACCAGCGGATCGCGAGCAAGCCCTGCTTCGAGGCCTCTGTGTCGAGTTTCTCCGGAGTCATCCAGTCCACATACATCGGAGTGAACACATTGCCCACGATCCCCCCCACCATGCCCGCGAGGAAGAACAGCGCGACATACTTCGATCGCTTCGCGCCCCCGAGCTGTCCAACAGTCGCGGCGGCGGGAGGATGGAATGCGCCGACCCCCATCGCGCCGATGCTGTAGAGGATCGCAAGCTCGGTGAAGTCCCGCGCCATCCCAAGATTCCCGATGCACAACACCGCGACCACGAACCCAGCCGTGCCGAACGCACGCGAGTCGTAGCGATCGCTCGCCCACGCGACGACTGGTTGGATGACTCCGGAGCACACCGATCCCAGCGCCAGCAGGAGCGCCTTCTGCTCAGGACGGATCTCCAGCAGCACCGCGAGCATGGGGAGCAGCGCGATCCCGATGAACGAGAAGACATCGACGATAAAGTGCGCACCGATCGTTACCGCGGCGCGGATCGGCGCTCTGGTCGCGCCCTCTTGGAACTGCTGCTGGTCTGTACTCATGGGGATCAGTCTATCCCGCTCGGACGACCACCCTTGCGTGGATCGCTCGCGGCTTGCCAGCCCTCACCATCACGCACGATGATCTGGACATTGCCCACGACCGCGTCCTCACTCCCGATGATCTGGCCATACCCCCGCAACGGAGTTTTGAACACATTGAGCACAATAGTGTTGAACCCCGTCTCGAACTGCGTTTGATCTGGGAGCCATTGGTTGTGTAAGCGTGGACGCGATACCGCTTCACCGGCGTTCATTCCGCCCATCACATTCAGCAGGACTTGCATCGTCCCTGTGATGATCCGAGGTCCACCGGACGCTCCGGCGATCGCGAAGACTTTGCCCTCTTCATCGAGCACAATCGTAGGTGACATGCTTGAAAGCGGGCGCTTCCCCTTCTCAGGGATATTCCGTTCGGATTGGACCAAGCCGAACGCGTTGCCTTTGCCGACTTTGCGTGGATTGGTAAAGTCGTCCATCTCGTTGTTGAGACAGAACCCGAACTTCTCAACTCCGACTAGCGATCCAAACTCGAGATTGATTGTTTCGGTCATCGCAACCGCGCCACCAAACTGGTCGATTACACTGACATGGCTCGTCCCGCCATCCTCTTCGATCGGCGCGGATAGATCATCGTTGAGTTTGGTACCATAGAAGTCTGGGCTTTGCCCATGCAGATTCAGCTTCGACGCAAGATCTTGGATGTTGTCTTCATCAAGAAGCTGTTCAATCGGGACCTCAGCAAACATCGGATCCGCGAGGTAACGCGATCGATCCGCGAACGCGTGCTTGAGTGATTCAATCAGCATCGCAACGCTGTCTGCATCCCGCTTAGTGCTCTGGAAGTTGTACCCCATTGCTTCCATGATCTCCAACGCTTCGAACATCGTGACCCCCCCGCTGGAAGGGGGAGGCATCCCGATTAGTCGCTTGCCGTTGATCACTGTCTCGATCGGATTCATCTCGATCGGTTCGTATCCCGCGAGATCCTCGAGTGTGATCGGGATCGGAGTGCGTTTGGTGATCGGCTCAACCGTCAGCGTGTCCACGATTGCTTGACCGATCGCGCCTGTAGTGAATGCTTTCAAGCCGTCTTGTGCGATCAGTTCCAATGCTCGCGCGTGCTCTGGATTGCGGATCCGATCGCCGAGCTTTACCTGTCCCCAGAACGTGAACTTGCTCCAAGGCATACCCATCTCTGAGTTTCGCAACGCCGGGTTCTTGTAATAACGCTCGATGATTCCCTGAGCAGCATTCATGTAATGCTGATCAACGACGAACCCCTCCATCGCCGCATCGATCGCTGGTTGTAAGACCGTTGCTCGATCGAGCGTCCCGTACTCCTCCAATGCGTGGAGCAATCCAGCAACCGTACCAGGGACAGCGACCGCGTAGCGTCCGTTCTTCATCGAAAGTCCGGATCGGTACAGATCCGCGTCCGCTGGAGATGTCTCGCGATAGTTGATGGTCGTCAGCACACGCCCGTGCGTTGGATCGTTGGGGAGGTAAATGACCATGAACCCCCCACCCCCGATCCCGCACGAATAGGGACGCACCACAGAGAGTGTGAACGAAGCGGCGACCGCGGCGTCCACCGCATTCCCGCCTTGTGCGAGCATCTGAGCGCCAGCCGCAGAAGCATCCGGATGATCCGCGGCAACCGCGGCTTTCGCGAATGTATCAAAGAACAGGTCCGCATCACGAACCGGAGCACTGGCGCACGCACTGCTGCAGAGCAAACAGACTAGGACAAGAGCGCCTCGAAGCAAGATGATTGTATTCATGTGTCAACTATACGCGGCACAGATCCAATTACCGATCGAGCTTGCGCCTTCGGACGATCCAGAAGCGATGATCCTCCGGATCAGGTCCCTTGCCGTCCTTGCCTCGTATGGGACCTCGGAACAGGGCTTTGAAAAATGCCTTCGTGCCGTTGACGACACGCATGATCCCTGTGCCGCCCTCTCTTCCATCATGACGCTCGAGTCGATACCCAAACAGATGGAACACCTGCCTACGGAGCACGCACGCGAGATCCGCATCCACAAGCAGCGAAGAATCATCACTGTGATACACCCCCGGCATGATCCCAATCAGCTTGTGGACCCACCCCACACTGCGGAGCCATGCTGAGAGATTGACCCAACCGCTGCTGACCCTGCGGACGATGAAGAACCCATCATCATTGATCCGCTTATGTGTTTGCATGTTTGGAAGAAAGATCCGCCCGTGAATCGGGGAGTACACAGGTTTCCCAGCTTGCATCGCGATCTTCGTCTTTCGAGCGTGTACAGGAGTCCCCACCTCGACCCCCGCACAGATTGAGAAGTCTTCGCTAGTGATCGGTTCACGATGGCGCACATCGTACACCACATGACCACGATCCTGGGACATCGATCGCATGTACCCGAAGTGGTCCTTTGGATGTCTTGAGAGTTCCACAACACCCGCCGTATCCAGCGCGATCCAGATCGCGGCTTCGTGCACATCGATCGACGCGGGATCATCGTGCTGCCCTCCCTCGACGAGATACGAGATGCATCCGAGCCGAGCCGTGACTGCATCGATCACCAAGCCGTTGGTTTCTTCTTCGATCCCCAGATACTTCGGACAAGGCATACGCATCGCGTGCACACGCGCCGGCAGCGAATCCTCAAACGCGACTACTGGCTTTGAAGGCGCACTCGTTGTATGCAGATCGAGCACGATCATCTGCTGACCCGCCTGCTTGCACGATGCATGGATCGATTCGAGTGATCCAAACAACTCAAACATCTGCTCATGCTCAGCGCTTGTTGAAGCGGGTTCACGAAAATGCTCGCGCTTGCACAAACGATTGAGATCATGATCAATGTAGCGTGTCTCGGGATCCTCGTGATTCAATGCCGCGAGATTCCCGGCGAGCACAATGAGGCGACCACTGATGTGTGCGTAGCGATCGGTGTGGAGTTGATCGAGCACGCGTTGTCCCGCGATGAGTCCCGCGCGCTCGTTCCCATGAACCCCGCCGAGCACGACAAGGGTCGTCCCCAAGCTCGCATCACCCGCTCGACCGATCTCCCGCTCTGGGTATCGCTGAACGGCTGGGCTTGATTGCTCTGTTTGGACTTCGGTCATCGGCACGCACACACTCCGCGGGACTGAGCCAGTACTCAAAATTCAAGGCTCACTCTGTATCATTGCCGCCGCGAAGCTGATCTTCGAGCAACTTCCCTGCAATCCGCATGTAATCGTGCTCAGTGACGATCCCCACGAGCTTGCCGTTCTCCAAGACCACTGGGAGACACGAGGCGCGATGCTGCTTCATCAACGCAATCGCGTCGAGCGTCGGAGTCTCCGGCTGGACAGAGACCGGCTTGCGCTCCATGATGTCCTCGACCGCGATCGAGTCGCTCTTGCGCTTCACAGGATCAGCGACCAAACGCAGTAATGCTCGATAGCTGACCAATCCGACCAGTTTGTGTTCGTCGTCTTCGACTGGGATGTGGCGGATCTGCTCCCAATCCATAATCGAGGCCGCGAGATCAATCAGCTCGTCCTGCCGAACCGTAAAGAGATCAGTCTGCATGTACTGACCCACAGTGGTGTAGTGGTGTCTCCATTCGCCGCATTCACGGATCTCCGCGACGCTCCATTCATGCACCGGCGTCCCGATCTGCTGCCTGGAGATTGTGCCGGCAGTCAGCGTGCTCAATCGCTCAGCGCGTGTCCCTTTCTCATGGATGTGCGCGACCGAATCAATCATCCAGCGAGCGCCGTTGCGTCCCGTTTCGGTGCGCTCGGATATGATGTCCATGTACTTGTTGATGTCCTGGTGATCGACCTGTGCCTCGCGGAGCCCTTCAATCGCGATCGGGACCAGCTCTCCCAGGATGAGATCACGCGTCGGGATGACGCGTCCATCGATCCAGCGAGATTTGTAGTCCAATCCTGATCGTGCTGCTGAGACGAAGTTCGCTTGCGCGTCGGCAAAAGCCAGCCGTTCTGTCAAATCAGGATACAGCTTCGGCATGCGAGTCATCAAACCAAACCAGAACGCGGCGTTGGCAATCTCGTCAACAATCGTTGGTCCAGCAGGTAACACACGATTCTCGATACGCAGGTGAGGCTTGCCATCGGTAATCCCATAGCACTGACGGTTCCAGCGATAGAGTGTGCTGTTGTATGTTTGCAATGCCGAGAGTTTGGGGATCTCACCTCGCTGGACCATCGCGAGCGAGTCCTGCGTTGCATCCGCACGGAACATGTTTCGGAATCGTGCGATATCAGCTTTGAACAACTCAACAACGGATTCTTTGACCCACGATTCACCGAATCGCACACGCTTGAGCATGTCCCGCTGCGTTGGGATGTCCTGTCCGGATGTATCTACGGTCTGCTCGAAAACCGCGATGCGAGTCTCGTGCCAGAGTCGTTTGCCAAAGAGGACCGCGGAGTTTGCGGCGGCTGCCATCACCGGCGCCGTCACCGCTTGCGCGACATTGTACGAGATCGCAAAGTCCTCAGGAGTCACCTGAAAGTGCAACTGGAACGAAGTATTGAGCGCCTCAAGCATCACCGAATCGTGCGAAAAATTGATCTCGTCGATCCCTTTGATTCGGATGTCGTAGCGTCCACCACGCGCTTTGGTGATCCGCTCATCGAGCGCGTAATACCTCGGCTTGGGAGTGATGTAGTCCTTGGACAGATGCTGCTGCTGCAGCGTCGGGACGATCCCGATGAGGATTGGTATGGCGCCGAGCTTCTGCGAGACATCCTGCGCCTTGGTCATTAGTTCTTCGAGTTCTTTGTGCAGATCTCGCAGGACCGATCCTGTGAAGACCTTTGGATCGCAGTTGAACTCCATATTGAAGCGACCGATCTCTGTGGTCGCGCGGCGTTCATGGAGAAGATCAATGACCTCTGGACCCAATGGCGCTGGACGCATCGCATCATCGACGAACGCGAGCTCTTGCTCGGCGCCGATTCTGGTGATGCCTGTTTCGAACATGCCGTGTTCGATCATGTACTCAAACGCACGCAGGTCGTTGAGGACATCGTGCATCGCAGCGCGATGCTCATGTCCCCCACTCGCTTGGTCCATTTCTTGAATGCCCATTCCGGCTCCACGGCTCGATCTGGATCATCCAGATCGCGTTTACGACGCCAGAACCGCGTCGATGATCTCCGATTGTGACAAGTTTGGACTCAAAACGCAACCATTGACTCCCCTGAACATCCGCTTTGGCAACCAAACTCCTCTCGATTGCGTACCTTTGAAGACACGAGCACGCCTTTGCTGGATCACGATCCAACCAGTTCTCGGACTTTCTGTCCACTCGCTCGTGTTGCTGTTGACCACTCTTGGTACTCTTGCTCGGCATCCACGAACTCACCTCGATTGATCGCCGACAAAGACCACACCACTCTCTGTGCTCGATTCTGGAGTCCAGAGCAACCCAATCTGGAGAAGAGATGCCCATGCCGCACCTCCCGACTTTCTGCCGTGTATCCCCAGCTCTGCTCGTCGCGTCGCTCGCGATGATCCCCTCCCACACACTCGCTCAGAACCAGCAGGTTGAGCGCATCGATCTGCTTACACATCCGATCCCGATGGCGTATGAGGGGCAGATGGTCGTCTCGGCACGGATCACCTCAGAAAGCCAACTCGCAGCAGCACTCGAGCTCGCAGTCTCATCGTGGTCAGAGCGCCCCGGACTCGGGAAGGTCGATCTGCAGATCAACGCGGATCAGTTCGACGAGCTTGTCAAACTCGGAGTCAATCCGATCGTCGAGATCGCTGACCTCCAGAAACACAACCAAAACCGATGGGAAACGCTCGTCCAGCAAGAGCAGCTCGACATCATCAATCAGAGCGGTGCGTTCAAACCTCAGGGACAGATCCAACGCGGCGCCTCGACACATGACGAGAGCTGGTTCACCAACTACAAACAGCTCGCGGACATCTACGCGTACATGGACACCCAACTCGCGGCTCATCCTGACATGATCTCCAAGATGGACTTCGGGGACACCTACGAATCCCGCGACATGTTCGCGTACACGATCACGGCACCGGATGAGCCTGGGAACTTGGGAGTTGATCGTCCAATCATCATCTGGAACGGTGGACAGCACGCACGCGAGTGGGTCAGTCCGATGACCGTCACATACATCGCATCCAAACTCATCGATGAGGCATCCAGCGATCCCGTGGTTGCACAACTGCTCAGTGATGTCCGCTTTGTCATCATCCCTGTCCTGAATCCAGACGGCTATCTGTACTCATGGTCATCTGAACGATTCTGGAGAAAGAACCGACGCGATAACACCGGAAGCTCGTTCGACGGCGTGGACCTCAATCGAAACTGGGATGTCGCGTTTGGAGGAGACGGTACATCCACAGACCCATCATCAGATATCTACCACGGCACCGCGGCGTTTTCTGAACCTGAAACCGCCGCGCTCAGAGATCTCGCGCTGAGCTTTGGTGATGATCTCGTCGCGCACATCGACTATCACACCTACTCCCAGCTTATCCTCTGGCCATTGGGATACGAACTCGGTCTGGTCACTCCAGAACCCGATCGCTCATTCTTCCAGTCCCTCTCTGGAGACATGTCGGACCTGATCCAGTCGTACTCCGGAGCGTTCTACGATCCGATCCAGTCATGGCAGTTGTACGCCGCGGCGGGGACCTGCTCCGATTGGTTCTACGACGGCGCGGGTGTCCCGAGCTTTACCGTTGAGCTTCGTCCCGAAGCCGGCGCCGGATTCGGTGGTTTCGATCCATCCCCTGATGTGATTCTTCCCACTGCTCAGGAAAACTGGGAAGCCGCCAAACTCTTTGCACAGCGCACGACTCAAGAAATCTTGCTTTCGCATGAGACACTAGAAATCGTCAATGCCAATACACCAACCCCGGTCACATTGACATCCGCGCCGAGTCTCAGCGATGTCGATCCGAGCATGGTCTCGTTGTACGCACGCGTAGGAAACACAGGACCCTTCACGCAATCACCAATGACGGGCATCGGTTCTTCACAGTTCAGCGGCTTACTCCCAGGCGCACCTTGCGGACAGATGATCGAGTACTACTTCAGCGCGGTCTCACTCTCAGGGATCACAGTCGAGTTTCCTGCTGGAGGCGCGTCCTCAGCATTGTCTGTGCTCTCGCAAGAGATCACCATCGCGTTTGAGGACGACATGGAATCGAGCACTGGATGGATCGTCGGACAAGCATCCGACACCGCAACCACCGGCGTTTGGGAACGCGCTGATCCGCAGTCCACTGCTGCTCAGCCTGAGGATGATCACACGCCTGGATCGGGAACGCTCTGCTGGATCACCGATGGTGCTTCTGGAGGATCACTCGGCGCCAATGACATCGACGGCGGCGCGACCACGCTGACCTCCCCACTGCTTGATGCGAGCGGACTCCCTGATGGCACTGAGCTCATTTACTGGCGCTGGTACTCCAACGACACTGGCGCATCCCCAAACGAGGACTCGATGCTTGTCCAGATCTCAACCAACGATGGTGGATCATGGAGCACACTCGAGACAGTCACTGAAAATGCCGGCATCTGGGTCGAAAAACGATTCCCGGCTCCGGATTCGGATCAGATCCGCGTCCGATTCATCGCGTCGGATCTTGGAAGTGGATCGATCGTCGAAGCCGGCGTGGATGATCTGCGGATCGAAGCTGTGGGATGCAGCGGGAACTCCGCGGATATCAACGGCGACGGCAGTCTGAACTTCCTCGATGTTTCCCAGTTCCTGAGCTTGTTTGGAGTCCAAGATCCGATCGCAGATTTCAACGACGACGGGCAATGGAATTTCCTGGATGTCTCCGCTTTTCTTGCCGCGTTCGCGGCGGGTTGAGCGGAACCTGCTATACTCCAGACCAGATCACTTTCTGTGATCTGGACTCCCATTTCTCGGGCATCTAGAATCTGCCCTGACAACCAGCCCCCCCAAAGTCCCCCCGATATGGTCCACCCCCCACCCCGGATCGATCGGGGGGCACCTTTTTTTGCACACATTCCATTCATAACTGATGCAACTGGTGTTGCAGTTCGAGTCCACGGCTATGATTGAGACCCATTCTCATTTACGGAGATTTGCCATGACTGTTTCCACTGAAATCACCAGCCGACTCAAGAGCGACAACTGGGATCTGCATCAGATCGCCGAGCGTGGAGGCACGCCGGAATCGATGATCAAAGGCACAATCTCGAGAGGAGAGTTTGTGGACTACCTGAGCCAGTCCATACATATCCACCGAGCTTTGGACGCGGCTCTGGATCGTGCGATCAGCGCGATGCCTGAGCTTGCACCGATAGTTGATGATCTACACAAGTTTGAGCCGTTCTTTGCTGCGGATCTTGCATACTACCAAAGCGAAGAAGCATCGGAGCTCACTCCTGGAGTTGCACGCTTTATCGAGCATATCGAATCGCATGCTGATCAGCCACTCCATATCTTCGGACTCCACTATGTACGTTTGGGCGCCTGCAACGGGAATCGGTTTGTCGCTCGTCAGCTCCGCAAGGTCTTCGAGATCGATCATCCCAGTGATGGCATGATGAGCCATGACCCGTTTGGAGAGTCACAACGCAACATGTGGAACGCGTTCAAAGAAGCGCTCGATCAACTCCCGCTCGATCAGGAGCAGCAGGACGTGTTGTTTGACGGAACACGAGCCGCGTACTTGCTTACGATTAATCTAGATCTCGATGAATACCAAAGCGCCGAGGATCTCCTCACTGCACACGGCAAGACACTCGATCGCGAAGCGTTCGAGCAAGGACACTCCGTCCATGTCTCGTCCTCGAACTAACAGCGTTTAGTCATTCCAAGATTTGAACTGCTCACGGATCTGATCCGCGACTTCTCCGAGCGATCCTGAAGGCAGCAATCCGAGCGGATGCTCAATGATCGCGAGCTTATTAGTCTGCATCGCAGAGATCGGGAGATCCATCAGAGGCCCGAATCGTTCTTCGATCTGCTCTTGAGTGAGTTCAGTCGGCGCCGCGAAGCGATCCGCTTCGCTTGGTTGTCTTGGTGCGATGAGGATGATCGCATCGGGATTGAGCGTGATCAGATCTTCGTAGTCCATCTCGATCCACATCGAACCTGATTCGATCGCCGGATTCGCTCCGATCCGCTCGATCAACTCGTAGTGGTACGATCCCGGCCCCATCGCGCCGATGGGATCGAGCGATCCGAGCACAAGCACACGACCAACCTTGTCCGCGATCGGTCCCAGATCCGTCCACGACTCGGCAAGCACCACGCTCGGCAGTGCGCTTGCAAACACCTCGTTCATGTCGTACTGACGCTTCTCTCTCTGTGGAACGCCGTTGAGCAGGAAGTGCAGATCATCCATCGTCGATGCGATGTGATCAAGCGTGTTCAGAGGACGCTCAAAGATGATCCACCCATAATCCTCTGCTGCTCGAAGAAACTCTGCAGAGCGCGTGGTCGATGTCGTCTGGAAAAACACATGCGTTGGATTCGTCTGGATCAGTGTTTCCAGATCAAAACCCAACTCCGATCCTGCAGTAGGAACCTCATCAGTGAGCACAATGTCGTAATCATGCTTCGCGACGATGAGGTCTTCGTACCCCAGATCGCGGATCATCACCGCCATCCCAGGCGAGAGCACCGCGAAACGCCATTCTTCGAGCGACTGAGACTCCCCGCTTTGCTCAGGAGTGTTCGATTGCCCACATCCCCACACGAACAGAATCGCTACAACGCAAACGAACCAGACTCGGACCACATTCATCATGAACTAGGATATCAGTCCGATTCAACCAATGCCTGGACTACCTGCTCTTTGAGCGACTTGAGCTGCTGTGCTGAGTAGAACGGGAATCCCCATGTTCGATCCTCAGCGAGTTCCTTGGACCTCGACGCTTTTCGAGCGTTCTGAGCATCTGACCTGAACTGCTCCAGAGTCGGCGCGTTGGAAGATCGCGTGTCATGAAGCAGCGATTGCATCTGCGCAAACAACTCCGCGGCTTTGATTCGATTCCCATCCGCTTTGGCGGTCTTGATCGACTGTACAAGCTCTTCTTTCTGAGCCGCGGCTTGCTGGTCTCCGAGCATCGCAGGATCATGCTTCGCATGATGCGCGATCCATGCCGCTTGAGCGGGTTCGGGGATGCCGTGATCCGATGTATGCTCGATCGTCATCGTCGCGCTGGCGCCCACGGCTGGAGCGAGTTCTTCGCCCCTCCAGCTTCGGATCCAGTGCTCAGTGATCTGATCGTATTCGTATCCGCCCAAGCCGTGGATGAAGAGCTCGCAGAGCTTTGATCGCATGATCGCGGTCATGAGCAATCCCGTCGGCATGAGATTCGATCGATCGATGGAATCGCCGTCTCTGACGATGACTTGAGTGCGTGCATGTCCTTCGACGCGCCAAAGCGGAAGCTCGACTGAATCTTCAGTCATCATCAATGGACGAACACCCGCATCGGGATGTTGCTCAGCACTCTGGTTGTACATCATTGCGGCGGTTCTTGGATCTTCGAACATCGCATCAATCAGTTCAGCCCCTGCTCCGCTCGCGATCAACTCCGAAGCGTAAATCAGAATCGGCTGCTCCAAATCAAGCAGCTCGCACAGGTATCCAATCGTCGCGATCGCGAACTGCTTTGCGATGGATCCTTCATACTCGTACCCCATCAACCAAGAAGCGATCTCTGAGAGTGACTCAGGCAAGTCTTGATCGATCTCGATCGCGGGCAAGACAGCAGACGGTGCGTTCAGGTTCGATTCACCACCCAAACGGATCATGCGTTCAGTAAGAAAGCCGTTTTCAAGAGTCGGTGTGCGCACCAGAGCGGGATCAACAACATCCTGATCAGGAACGATCCAGACGCTGGCGCTGCCTGAGTGCTTCGCGACATGATCGAGCGCGATGAGTTTCGCGACGATCCCAGGATGGAACACGATGGACTGATGTCCAGACGCGACGATGGGACGATCGGTTGGAAGATCGAGCTTTGCCCGCAGCGAAAGCAAAGCATTGTTTGTTGGTGTTTGGAAACTACTGGGCCAACGATTGACCTCTGGAAGCAACTGGACTGTTGGTTTGAGCGAGTCTTGGTGTGATGCGGACATGCGCTCGATTTCCTGTGCCGTAGACATGCGCTCTCATCCGATCAACAACAGCGACAACCAGACTCCGAATCACTCGACGCGGCAGCAACTGCTTGTACCTGCGCGAACGCGGCGGTGATCTCTTCGTCGAGCACCTCGCGGTAATGCGCGAGTCGATGCTCCGAATCATCCAGTCCACCCCCAAAGGTTCGGTTGGGGTCGTTGTAGATGAGGTCAACTTCAACTTCGCCAACGCGGAGGTTGTGAGCTGCGGCTTGCGCCCAGAGCTGCATCGGGAATGCGTATCCATCTTCTGTCAGCGTGATCCTGTCCATCGCGGAGACACGATGCGCTTTGAATCCGCAGAACGAATCGGTGAGCGTGAATCCCAAGCGATCGTTGATCTCATTGGAGAGCGTCATGTTGATCGCTCGACGATCCGCTGGAGCGATGTCGCTCTGGGCATCAAGATTCAGATAGCGAGATCCCGAGATGATGTCCAGATCATCCCGCTCGATCGCGGCCATGAAATCTGGGATATGCGCCGGCTCGTGCTGCTCGTCGCAGTCCATCGTGATGACCCAGTCGTACCCTTCACGAGAAGCGAACTCGAAGCTCTCTCGGAGCGCTCTGCCGTAGCCGTAGTTGGTTGGGTGTCGGATGATGTCGAGTCCCATCGGCTCGCGGAGTTCTTCAAGGATCTCTGGAGTGCCGTCTGTGGATCCATCATCAATAAGCAAGATGTTGTCGGCGTACTCTTGAACGCGATCGAGGACGCCTCGCACATAACCGGCTTCGTTGTAAACAGGGATCGCGATCAATACGGACATACATAAACTCCAGAGGTGAGTATAGGGAGAGATCGGGTTCAAATCAGAACGCTCGTTCGGATACCCTTATTCCCAATCAACCACAAGAAATCAGAGATCAGATCCGCTTGAATCTTGCGTTTCTGGACTCTGTGCGGCGTTTCGTTCCGCTTCGGAGCGTGCCAGCGAGGTGTATGCCGCAAATCCGAAGGGAAGCCGTTCTCCGGAATCGGATTCGTGCTCTTGGAGGTCCTCGGATGCAGATTCGAGCTGCTGCATCAGTTCTTCGGTAATCGAATGGATCCCGATGATCTGCGAGATCGGGAGCGTATACGACTCTCCGGTCGGCGTCGTTACACGGAAGATCGTGCACTGGACATCCGCGGAGCGCTCTCGATCCGCTTGGGACCCTGTCGATGAGCACGCGAACAGAGGGAAGATGTCCGCGATCGGGATCCGTTGTCCGAGTGAGGTGATGATGCCCATGCGTCCATCAAAGAGGTCATCGACTGGGGAAGTCGAGTGCTGAGCGGCTGAGGGGGTTGGACTCAAGCGAGCGCTGGAGCTTGCCGCGGCGCTGGACATCGCCATGAGGGAATCCCGAACGACATTGGACCAGAATAAGTCCCTGCGAGCTTGGACACGCATCGACTGAGGGATCATCGACATCGCAGAATCTGAGGGGTGCGTCCATCCGTACGCTGGATGATGAGCAGGATGAGCGGCTTGAGATGCGGGATTGGTTGGTTGATCCATAGTCCGAAACTTTATACAGCGCTTCAGGAGGAATCAGAAATCACCCCAAATCCAGCTCAGCGGAGTGGAATCAGGCCCCAATGGAAGGTCTGCTTTCGATATCCCACCACCCCACCGTCATAATCGGCACAGCATCCGCTCGAAATCGTTCGACGCGGATTCCCGGGCCAAGTCCGTCGATTGTGCCGCCGATGCATGGAGCAACGGAGGTTTGTTCTTATGGAAAGCAATGGAAAAGCATTCAACGAAGTCCGAGCACTGCTCAACAAGATGGACCGATCCATCGACGACGCTCGCAGCAAGAGACTCGGACCACCGGTTGGTTCGTCGGACCAATCAAAGAACAAGCCGGAAACCAAAGGCACTGTAGATCTCGATCAAGAGGTCGGCGGCTCCACTCCGACACTTCCGATGACTGAACTCCAACGCAAGCGTGCATCATTCGGTCGCGCCAAGCCACTGAGTCGCAACGACAATCAGTGGAAAGCAACGGGAACCGACGGCACGATCGGCTGATTGGTCGCTCACACCACTTCGCACACTCAAGGCATCACATCAGCCCGCTGGGACATTACCCAGCGGGTGATTTGTTTTTCGAGCAATGGCAATGGGATCGAGCCGTCTTTGAGAATCTCATCATGGAATGCACGCAGATCAAATGCATCCCCGAGTTCACGCTCCGCGTATTGGCGCAGTCCCTTGATCGTCAGTAGTCCGATCATGTAACCCGTCGCTTGTCCTGGCCAACCGATGTATCGATCAACCTCCGATTCGATGTTGTGGGGCGCCAAGGCGCTGTTCTCGATCATGTAGTCGATCGCTTGCTGACGAGTCCATCCCTTCGCGTGCAGTCCGGTGTCCACAACCAATCGCAACGCTCTCCACATCTCCATGTTGAGCCGACCGAAGTTGTCGTATGGATCGCTGTAGAGTCCATTGGTGGACTTGTCACCCATCTCGAGCCCAAGTGCTTCGGCATATAGTGCCCATCCCTCTCCGAACGCCGTGAATCCCATCGTCTGCCGAATCGGGTGCTGGTTCTCGATCTCATCGACAAGTGCATACTGATGATGGTGTCCCGGCACCGCTTCATGCATTGTCAGCGCGATCATCTCATAGCGAGGCCGCTGGTCAAGCTTCGAGCAGTTGGCCATGAAGTAACCTGGAACTCCCGATTGGAGATTCCCGGGGTAGTAATACGCCGTGGGCGCGTTTGCCTCTTGGTACTCAGGGAGTCGTTTGACGCCATAGGACAAACGCGGGAGTCGATAGAACAACTCGGACATTCCGGGATCCACGCGTTTGGCAATCGCTTGATACTCCTCAAGCAGTTCATCCGGATCGGTGTGATAGAAGCGTGGATCTGTCCGGAGGTAGTTGGTAAACACTGAGAAGAGATGCTCCGGAGTGGTATCGAGGAAACCGCCGTGGTTTGGATCGGCGATCCAATCGGTCTGGCTGATGACTTGCATCATCTCGCGTTTGATCCGTTCGACCTCACCTAAACCGATGTTATGGATCGACTCTGCGGTGATCGTCGGGATGGTCGTGTGCATCGCGAGCGCGGAGTTGTACCCCTCGATGCCGTCGATCCCATCACTGGCACCGAAGGACTCTCGGCATGCCGGGATGTATTCGTTCTGAAGAAACAACGCAAGTTCCATGAAGACCGGCACGATGCGATCCGTGATGACCGCTCGTGCTTCGATCGCGAGTTCACTTTCTTGTTCGATACTCGCGAAGGGTCCATAGAACGGCGACTGTGCTGGATTGTTGCGGATCTCGGCGCTGCATTGTGCAAGTGCTTGTTGCACGGCTGGCTCAACCACCACTCTCGGCGGGACGCGTCCTGATTGAATCCCTGCACGCATGTTGTCGATGTGATCCCCGATCTGGATATCGACGCGCTTGAGCCGCGTGAGGTACATCTCCTTGTGCGCCTGCGTGCTCATCGGGAGTCGTGATCCCATTTGTGGGAGCCAGATCTGAGGACCTCCGATCGAGGTGATCGGGGTCTGAAAGCTCTTGTACTTCGCTCGCTGCTGATTCACGCTCAGTTCGTATTGGAGTAGATCGAAGTCCGTCCGATCCGCTTCGTTGAATCCGGATTGGTCGAGCGAGCGGAGCTCGTTGAGGAGCTCTCGTTCTGTATCGATCCAGACCTGCTGAGCCGCGGCGGAAACATCGGCGAGCTCATCCAGACGCGACTCATCTTCCAAGATGAAGTAATAGCTGCTCGGATCGCTGTCATAAAGCGCGAGCAAATAGCGATCCATAAATGACCACAACCCCTGATCCCGATCCTCTGGACAAGCCGGGAGCTGAGGCTGTGCGAAGAGCGACATCGGGAACATCAGGATCGTGAAAGCAACGATAATCTGGAGCGTTCTGGGCATGACTGAGCATAGGCGATTGCGAGACCTGACCACTGATTAGAGTTGCCCCGACAGATCGTGGGTCTAGGATACTGTGTCCAGAACGGACGGCATTCAGGGGATTGGTGTAACGGTAGCACGAAGGTTTCTGATACCTTTAGTCAGAGTTCGAATCTCTGATCCCCTATTTCCCATCCATTACTCAATCGATCAAGAATCGCTTCTTCACAAGTGGCGTTGTGCCAGTTCGTCCGAATCATCCGTGAGCTGCATCTTCAGGAGCTGTGCGTATCGCCCGTCCGCTTCGAGAAGTTGCTCGTGCGTGCCGACTTCTTGGATGGTGCCGTCTTCGAGCACCACGATTCGACTCGCGTGACGGATCGTGCTCAATCGGTGCGCGATCACGAAGCTCGTCCGCGACTGCATCAGCGTTCCCAGCGCCTGTTGGATCAATCGCTCAGATTCGGTATCGAGCGAGCTCGTCGCTTCGTCGAGGATCAGGATCTTTGGATCTGCGAGGATGGCGCGAGCGATCGCGATGCGCTGCTTCTGACCTCCGGAGAGTCGGATCCCTCGCTCTCCGATGATCGTGTCGTAGCCGTGCTCCAGCTCCGAGATGAATGTGTGCGCATTGGCGGCTTCTGCAGCGGCGATGATGTCTTCTTGCGAAGCTCGTCGGCGTGCGTATCCGATGTTCTCTCCCACCGATCCATCGAACAAGAACACATCCTGCTCGACGATACCGAGCAATGATCGGTACTGCTCGATCGGGATGTCTCGCAGATCGATGCCGTCGATCGAGATCCTACCAACAGTTGGGTCATCGAAGCGTGCGATCAGGTTGCAGAAGGTGGTCTTTCCGGCTCCTGAAGCCCCGACGAGCGCGATCGTTTCGCCTGGCGCAATCGAGAGCGAGATGTCGTGCAGGACCTGCTCTCCGCGTTCGATCTTGCCACTTTGTGGGTCTTTGGACTTGGTTCGGATCGGATACGCGTACGCGAGCTCATTGATCTCAAGCTGTCCACGCACGAGCGCCGGTTCGATGCTCTTGGTTGGTGTTGTACTCGCAAACTCTTGGTCCTCGTCGAGCAGATCAAGCACCCGATCGAGTGCCGCGAGGTTGTTCTGCACATTGGTGGCGCTTGCGACGAGTGCTTCCAGTGGTCCAAGCAGCGCGAGGAGGTACGCGCTGAACGCCATGAGATCGCCGATCGTGAGGGAGCCGTCGATGACTGCTGTCCCGCCGTAGAGCAGCACGGCGATCGATGCGACTGGGATCAGGACTTGCCAAACGATCTCGATACTGCGCGCCCACCACCAGGTATAGAGCTCTTGACGCACGAGCAGATGACCCTCGCTTGTAAATCGAGCCGCTTCAGCTTGTCGTCGATTGAACGCGCGCACGACGCGCATTCCCGCGAATGCTTCGGCGCTCATCGCATCGATTCCTTCTCTTCGAGAACGAATATCTCGGTACATCGGCCGGATGCGCTGGATCCATGTTCTGTGCGAAACCCAGATCAATGGGAGCAGCACGATCGCTCCGATGACCAAACGCCAATCGATCCAAACAAGCACGACAAGTGTTCCGAGAAACTGAATGATCGCGCGCCATGGGTTGTAGATCATCGAGAAGATCAGATCCCCAACCCCTCCCGCATCTTCACGCAGGATCGAGGACACACCTCCTGATTTGAGATGATGGATCCGATGGAGCGGAAGACGCGACGCATGATCGAACACTCGCTTTCGGAGCGCGACCTGCACGCGTTTAGTGATGCGTGTGCACTGCCAGCGTCCCCACATGCCGAAGATGATTGATCCCGCGGTAATCACGAGCATGACCCCACCGAGTTGCCAAATCAGAGCAACCCGATTGGATCGCGAGCCATCATGATCGCCGAGGAACTCAGGGAGCCCTGTGGGACCTGGCGCATCGGTGATGATGTAATCGATCGCAACCTTCGTGCTCATCGGCATCGCGAGTCCCAAGCCGACACTGATCGAGAGGGTCAAGAGCGACGCGACGACGGTCCATTGGAATCCGGAGAGCAGCTTCCAGAACTGCTTGAGCAATCCCAATGCGCTGCGGCGAGTTCGGGATTCGCGAGCTTTCTGGAGAGAATCATCGATCGATTCGTGGACCTGCTGCGTGTGCTTGCGGTCCTTGCGACGCTGGAGATACGCACGGAATCGGGATCGGCTGGATTGACTGGAATGCATGCGCGGCATCGGGAAGTGTAGGAGAGCATCTCGCAACTGGCCGAATGAAGCAGTATGCGGTATCGTGGAAGCAAACACGGAGAGTACTCTTGAGCACACGACCCAAAATCGCACTGCACTGGCAAATCCTCATCGGCTTAATCCTCGGCATCGTCGTGGGGCTCGCGATCAACACGCTGTGGGACGCCTCCACATGGAACTCGATGGGGATCGATGATCCCTCTGCGTGGGTCAACGGATCAGATATCGAAGCGGTCAATCAAGATCCGAGCATCGCCGCGCGTGCAGCGCTCTTTGTACGGAATCTCAACGGATTTGTGGGGGATCTGTTCTTGCGTGGGTTGCGTTTCATCGCCGTCCCGATCGTGGTGTTCAGTCTGATTGTGGGCGCTTCGAGTCTCAATGACCTCTCCAAACTCAGTCGAATCGGCGGGAAGACCATCGGAATCTACCTTGTGACCACGGCGGTCGCGATCAGTATCGGATTGCTCTTTGCGAACATCGCGAAGCCCGGATCGTTCGTGAGCGAAGAAACACGCGATGGATTCGTGGCGCAGTTCGGAGAGCAAGCACAAGAAAAGGTCCTCGCGGCACAGAAACCCGATGTCTGGGACACGGTGCTCAACATCGTCCCAAAGAATCCATTCGAAGCGATCGCGGCTGGGAACATGCTGCAGGTGGTCTTCGCGTCGCTCCTCGTCGGGATCGCGCTGACACTGATCAAGCGCGAGAAGGCGGTTGTCGTCATCAAGTTCTTTGACGCGATGACGGATGTGATCATCAAGATTGTCGAGATCGTGCTGATGATCGCGCCGTATGCCGTGTTCGCGCTCATTGTCGAACAGATTGCGGAACTGGGACTGGACATCCTCGGATCGCTTGCGGCATACTCACTCGTTGTCGTCGCGGGACTCGCAACGATGATGTTCATCATCTATCCGCTCGTGCTTCGCGTGCTGACTGGTTCCAGCGGTATCGGATACGGACGATTCTTCAGCGCGATCAGTCCGGCACAACTCCTCGCGTTTTCCTCCGCTTCATCATCCGCAACACTCCCAGTGACAATGGAGTGCTGCGAACAGCGGATGGGGATCAAGGAAGAGGTCAGCGCGTTCGTGCTCCCGATCGGCGCGACCATCAACATGGACGGCACGGCGCTCTACCAAGGGGTCGCGGCGGTCTTCATCGCACAGTTGTATGGCATGGATCTGAGCATCTCGCAGCAACTGACCATCGTGCTCACAGCAACGCTCGCGTCGATCGGGACGGCTGGAGTTCCAGGGGTCGGGATGATCATGCTCGTGATCGTGCTCCAGAGCGTCGGGATCCCGCTTGAGGGGATCGCGGTCATCCTCGGCGTCGATCGGATACTCGACATGTGCAGAACGAGTTGCAATGTGACAGGCGACTGTATGGTCTGTGCCGTGGTTGCATCGAGTGAGGACGCAATCGAGTCTCCAGAGCAGATTCAAGCTCGGATGAACGCTCCGCTGGATGAAGATCCGGTCGATGAGGGTCGATTGGACGGCTAGATTCGAGTCCTTTACCTACACTTGCTCGATGAGCACAGAAACACAGAATCAAGCGACCAATCCGCCGACACTGGATCCCGCAGCACTCCTCGATCAACGCTTCTGCGATGCGATCCGAGCCGTGATTCCCGATATTCCTGACGATCAGGTGATGGCGCACATCGGTCCATCGCGCCAACCCAAGCTCGGAGATTTCCAGTCCAACTGCGCGATGCCGATCGCGAAGCGCCACGGCATGAAGCCGCGAGAACTCGCGAGCAAGATCGTCGAAGCGATCGATGTCACAGGGATCGCTCAACCACTGACAGAGGAGTCAATCGCGGGACCCGGATTCATCAATGTCTCGTTGCTCCCTGAAGCGATGGACACAGCGCTCCAGGCACTCGATACCGATCAACTCGGGATCGAAGCACCTCCAAAACCCCAAACCATCGTGGTCGATGTCTGCGGCGTGAACCTCGCGAAGCAGATGCATGTGGGACACCTACGCTCAACAGTCATCGGCGACGCGATCGCGAAGCTTCAGGAGCGACTGGGTCATGTCGTCAAGCGCCAGAGCCATGTCGGGGATTGGGGACTCCCGATCGCGATGGTCGTCGAGCGGCTTATCGAGCTCGAAGACTCTGGAACGGATCTAAGCACGATCACGCTTGATCAGTTGAATATGGAATACAAAGCCGCACAAGCGAAGTGTAAAGCGGAACGCAAGGCGCTGGAGATCATCACGAAGGTCGGCGGACATGCGAAAGCGGAGATCGAACTCGAGGCACGCATCGCGGACGCGGACGAAGCGATGGAACGCGCCAAGTCGCGTTTGGTGACGCTGCAAGCTGGAGATGAGCGATCGGTCGCCGTGTGGCAGCGGATCTACGACATCACGATGGGCGCGTGTCTCGCGACCTGTGAGCGTTTACATGCAAACATCACGGATGAGCACAGCGCGGGAGAGTCCACCTATCGCGATGAACTCGGACCGCTGGTTGATGACCTGATCTCGCGTGGGATCGCGGAAGAAGACGACGGGGCGCTGGTTGTGCGTGTCGATGGGATCAAAGAGCCGACGATTATCCGCAAACGCGATGGCGGATTCCTCTACGCGACCACAGACCTCGCGGCGATCAAGCGCCGTGCTGGAACGCTTGGGGGTGACGAACTGGTCTACTGCGTTGATGCGCGTCAGTCGCTGCACTTCAAGCAGGTTTTCGGCGCCGCGCACAAAGCGGGGTATGACATCAATCCGTCGGGGAAAGCCGCGACGATGACGCACGCCGCGTTCGGGAATGTGCTTGGAGAGGACAACAAACCACTCAAGACGCGCTCGGGCGAGAATGTCCGCTTGACGGATCTGCTCGATGAAGCGGAGCAACGAGCGAAGACAGAGGTCGATGCACGCTCGAAGGATCTGAGCGAAGATGAACGCTCCAAAACCGCATCCGCGATCGCGATGGCGGCGGTGAAATACGCAGACCTCTCCACTGAACGCATCCGCGACTATGTCTTCTCCTTCGATCGGATGATGGCGTTTGAGGGTGATACAGGGCCATATGTGCTCTACTCAATCGCTCGCATCCGCTCCATGTTCCGCAAAGCGGAGGAGAAAGGCGTGGATATCAACACCGCTTCGAGCGCCGAGTTCTCACTGAGTGAGCCCGCAGAACGCTCGATGGCGCTGATGGTGCTTCGCTACCCAACTGTCGTCAATGCTGCTGCAACCAACTATGAGCCCCACCGACTGTGCGGATACCTTTTTGAGCTTGCATCGCTGTTCTCCAAGTTCTATGAGCAGTGTCCCGTGCTCAAGGACGGCGTGGATGACTCCACAAGAGATGGTCGCTTGCGCCTAAGCATGCTCGCGCTGCGCGTCCTCGAAGACGGCTGCGCCACGCTTGGGATCCCCACTGTTGAGCGCATGTAAAAACCCGCACGAATGCGGGTTTCGATGAACTCTCTCTCCTGAGTTCAAGAATGTATAAGAATGAATATCAAGTGCTCAGAAGAGCAACTGGATCTGTGCGGTCGCGGCGAACTGACTCGACATGGAGTCAGGGAGCAGGTTGCCGCGGATCGACACGATCGATTCGGTGGTTGGATCCGCGTAGTGCTGGATTTCCAGTGTGAACTTCGCGGCGTGTGATTCTGGGATGATGTAGTGGTTCCATCCGAAGGTGAAGACATTGAAGTCTGAGTTGCCGCTTGTTCCAACGACGATTGGGTTGTTGTTGGATGGATCGATCAGATCCCATCGAGCAAAGAACTCGTCCTGATCGGACACGAACACACCACCTTGCAGGATGTATCCACCATCGGTGATGGTCATGAGTCCGGTGTCCATCGAACGCCAGATCCCGGCGCCGTAGAGGTTCCAGCCGTCTCCGAGGTACGACGCGTCAACGGTCGCGGTCGTCATATCAGTGGTTGGAGTCGTCGAAGGATTTGTGCTTCCCATGGCTTGGTGATGGACTGCGGCACCGATCATGAGACCAGTGTTTGCTCCCCTGAACGAGGTGAACTGCTTGTACTGACTCCAGGATGCTTCACCGAACTTCAGCTCGCCGCGGACAGTAACGCCGTAGTCACCTTCTGTTGCGGATGTGAAGTATGTGTTGTCGGCGCCGATACCATCGTTGAAGCTGATAAACGCTCTCCAGTCATCTTCTGTAAACGCGAGCTCAAGGCCTTGGGTAAAGTCTTGGTTGTAAGTCTCGTTGACTGAGGAGCGATCGGTCGCGAGCTGCTTGGATGACGACATATTCTCTTCGCGGAGCAGCATTGGCTTGAACTGACCACCCTTAAGGGTGACCTTGTCGCTGAGCTTCCACTTGAAGTTCGCGTCTTCGAGAGCGGCTGCACCGCTTGATTGGCTGAACGCGAACTTCACCTTACCGGTGATATTGTCGGTGACCTTGCCTTCAACACCGAACTTGGTCCGGCGGGTCGTGAAACCGATCGTCAGGTCCTCATCAGGTCCCGCGAGTGTGGTTCCTTGGGAGTCACGGAGGTTCACATTGTATCGGAACTGGGTTTGCACACTCGCTTTGAGACGCTCTGGGATGGGGGATGAGAGCGAGGATGCGTAGATGTACTCATCAGAGCTGATTGCTCTTGAGAGATCCAAGAACTCTTCTGAGTCCGACGCGAAGGATGCAGTTGAGAGCATTGAAGCAGAAGCGATCAGGGCGGCTGTGGTGGCGATGGATTTCACATCTCTCTCCGGTTTGATGGTGTGTTGGTCTTTACGCAGATCTCATACGATCTTGACGGATGCTTTATAGTCTGTTGACAATCTGAATTATTAAGAGCTTGCGTTAATTGGTCTTAACACACTTTCAACTGACTTTGCTGCGACCACTTACGCGATTTTGAGATCACACAAAAAAGAACGCGAGGGATCCGAAGATCCCTCGCGTGTCACATCAGATGATGTTTGTGATCAGGTTCGCAAACTCAGAAGAGGAGCGAGAACTGGCCACGGATTGTGAACTCGCTCTCGATGCCGGTAGCAGCACCTGCACCGCCGATGTAACCGGTGGTGGAGATGTCAGAGAAGCCACGGGTGTCAAGACCGGTGGAGTCGTCGAGACCGAAGCCGACGTCCATCGAGAAGCGTGCAGCGTAGGACTCTGGGACGAGGTAGTAGTTGAAACCAACAGTGATGGTCGAGTAGTGATCATCGTCGGTTGCTGCGAGTGGGGTGATCGCTGCTGGGTCATCTTCGAGGATGATGATGTCGTAGCGACCGAAGAGCTCGAACTGCTCAGTCATGAACACGTTACCTTGAAGGACGAAGCCTTCGTCGGTCTGGTCGACGCTGCCACCTGCGAGGAGGTCGTTGTCAACATTGGTGCTCATGTAAGCAGCGAAGAGGCCCCATCCGTCGGACTCGTACTGTGCGTCGACAGTCCAAGCGGTGACGGTTGCGGTGTCAACTACACCGAGGAGTGGGTTGGTGTCACCAGCTTGTGACCAGTGGAGACCAGCACCGACGCGGAAGCCGTCGTTCGAGCCCTGCCAGGAAGCGAAGTCAGCGAACTGATCCCAGTTACCTGAGATGAGCCAGTCGACGCGACCGGTGAGGGAGAAGTCGGATTCAGCGACGGAGGTGTAGTAAGTGTTCTGGGACACTGGGCCGTCCGAAAGAACGACGGTGAACTTCCACTCGTCATCGGTGTAGTTGAAACCGATGCCTTGTGCGTACTGAACATCGAAGAACGAGTTGGTCAGCGAGCGCTCAACGCCTTGTGAGTGCTCAGGAGCAACGTTTGATTCGAAGTGCAGTGGGTTCTTCATTTGACCGAAGAGGAAGGTCCAGTTGTCATCGAGACCCCAGGTTGCGTATGCGTCACGGAGGGTTGCACCACCGTCACCGCCTGCAGCACCGGATCCACCGTGGTCCCAAGCACCACCGAAGTCAAACGAAACGTGACCGGTGATGTCGGTACCTTCAACGCCACCGCTCATACGGATCTGAGTGCGTGGAGCGGAGAAGCCAACAGTGGTGTCGGAATCGCCGAGGGCAGTACCTGGAGCGATTTCGTCGCGGCTGTTGTAGGTGTAACGGAACTGGGTGAACACTCCAACATCGAGGCTACCAGCGTTCGAACCGAGGAGGCTCGAGCGGGTGTTCGCATCTGCACGCAGTTCTGCTGCGTAAGCGCGATCGATGTCAAGTCCGGACTGAGCAAGCGCCGAGCCGCTCATGGTGACCAATGCGAGGGTCGTAATAGTCTTCTTCATTTCAGTGCTCCTTCTCGTTGGGCAGTGATTTGGAAATGTCTATTTGTCGGACGAGCTGTATTCCGCACAACTCGTCTCTGGCCGATGATAGGCAGTGCTAACCATCGTGAGTCACATTATTCGACCTTTTGTTGGCACTAACTATCAAATTTGATCCCATCAGGATGAAAAATATCGGCTACACACGCTTATCGCTCAAAAAACGCCAATTCAGCGCAAATCATGCATCGAAGAATTTACAACTACCCACATGTCATTCCGAATATAATGCGAACAAATATGCAGTGGACCCGTCCCGGCGCGGAATGTTTGGATTCAGTGAACTCTGGTTTTGAGCTTCTCGGCTCTCGAACGCGACCACTACGATTGGAGCAACACTGATCCGGAGCGAGAAATGAGTTCACACGAAGCGGGCGCTGTATCCATGATCGAATCACTTCATGTACTGGTGGTTGACGATGAGCAAGATCTCCGCGATCTCATCGAGTACAACCTCAAACAGACCGGACACTCAGTGATCACTGCAGAAGACGGCGTCAAAGCGGTTGAGCTCGCAGAATCCAAAGTCCCTGACATCATTGTTCTGGACATCATGATGCCGAGACTCAACGGCATCGAAGTCGCCAAACGACTGCGCGCCAATCCACAGACAAGCAAAATCCCGATCCTGATGCTCACGGCGAAAGCCGATGAAGCGCATGAACTTGAGGGATTGGATGCAGGCGCTGATGACTATGTTTCCAAGCCATTCTCGATGCAGATTCTGCTGGCACGCATTCAAACGCTCGCTCGGCGCACAGCAACGAGTTCCGATCCCAACTCAGAGCTCACGCTCGGACCTTTGCACATCAACCTCGGCGAGCATCATGTCACAATCGACGGCAACCCGATCCAGCTCACGATCACTGAGTTCCGTCTGCTCTCAACACTCGTGCGATCGAAGGGCAAAGTCCTCTCGCGTGCGGAACTGATCAGTCAAGCGATTGGGCCGGCGGTGACTGTCACCCCTCGCACCGTTGATGTTCACATCACCTCGCTTCGCAAGAAGCTTGGGGATCACTCAAACCTGATCTCCACAGTGCGAGCGGTCGGATATCGCGCCGATGAGCCTACAGGCGGCTGAAAGTACGAAACATCCGAGCAACATGCTTGTATGGATCGACATCGTCCATAGAATACTACCTATATAGTGTTCCACTCCATGGGCACCCTCCCCACCAAACCTGAATCCAGCCAACACTCGCTGTCCGAGTTTGATACCCCTTACAGCAGGATTCGATTGTGGACGCTTCCCGCTTCGATTCTTGCTGGCGCGATCATTGTCAGTATCTTTGAGCCGATGATGTTGTTGATCGCGATGGTCGCACTGATCTGGCTCACGATGATCCATCGGACCTACGCGCGTTCGCTCGATGAGCATCGACGACGCAACACACAAGCCCGAGCGTCGGTTGATCTTGCAAAGCAATCCATGAGCCGTCTCCGCTCGATTCTCGATTCTGCGGATGTCCCTGTGATCGCAACGGACAACAACGGCACCATTGTCCAGGTCAATAGAGCTGCGAGATCAATCCTCGGATCAGGACGACAACTGCAAGGTGAACTCTTCGACACACTGATCACTCAGCACGCTGTGTGCGAACTCGAACTGCTCGCGCGACAAGGCGAAGCGGGTCATGCTCGGCTTGAACTCCCTGTAGGGATGGATATCCGGATCTTCGATGTAGCCGCTGATCCGATCCAGAGCACAGGGGGCGCCGTGTGTACCTTCACTGATATCACTGAACTCACACGCTCGGTTACACTCAAAGCGGACTTCGCGGCGAATGCCAGTCATGAACTGCGCACACCGATCGCATCGATTCTTGGAGCCGTCGATACGCTCGATGGTCCTGCACAGAATGATCCGGAGATGACACGCAAGCTCGTCGGGATGATCTCTGAGAACGCGACACGGCTTGACTTGATGGTCAAGGACCTGCTCGATCTGTCTAAACTGGAAACCCCCTCTGTAGCACTCGTGGTATCAGAGGTTCATCTACGCGACTTGATCACCACAATCTCCTCGCCGTTCCAACCAATCTGTGAACGCCGGGATCTTGAGATTGTGACCAAGATCGATGAAGAAGCGCTATCTATCTATACAGACGAATCGCTGATCGGATTGATCCTGCGGAATCTCATCGAGAACGCGACCAAGTTTGCAAACGAAGGGACCAAGATCACGATCCGAGCGGAAGCCGTGAAAATATCGGTGGATCCAACGAATCCGGCTCCAAGCGATCTCAAACACGAGTTGGGTGTGCGTATCAGTGTCAAGGATCAGGGAATCGGGATCCCGCTGGCGCATCAGAATCGCATCTTCGAGCGGTTTTACCAGGTTGATGAAGCACGCACAGGGTCCTCGGCTCGCAGAGGGACAGGCCTGGGACTCGCGATCGTCAAGCACTCAGCACGGATCCTCGGCGGCACGATCCGCGTCAGCAGCATCCCTCAGCAAGGAACCACAATGATCGTGGAACTGCCTCGATGTGTTGATATTGACTCAGAATAACCGTTTTTGGACGCTGAACATATCATCCGCTCAACCATCGACCACGCGAGCTTCCCATACAGACCAATGGCGGCGCTTATGATTGAGGAGCCGAGCAGGTATAAATGCGACTCTCAGAACTCAGTCGCTCGGCGAAAGGCCCGATACCAAGGGCATGGGTTCGGTAGCAGACCCAACGACCAATATGGCCAAAGACTCTACAAAATCTCAATCCAAGTCCTCGAGCCGATCCCAAGCTCGCACTGGGACGATCCAGCGAAGATCCACTGTGCGCGTTGGGAACAAGCCGATCCGTCAGCGGCTCGCGGACCTGGTCTCCTCTCCCAACTTGTTCTGGGGGACGATCGCGATCATTGTGTTCACGCTTGTCGTGGGCTCGATCACCAACTGGACACGAGGACAACTCCTCGTCTCCGTTGGTCAGGTCATGCAGCAGACACGGACCTCGCGTGTTGAGTTCAATACGGAAGATGTCCAGCAGACACAGATGCAGAAGCAAGCCGCTCGGCTGAATGTGCCTCGCATCCACAACGCAGACTTACCTGTGCTCGAAGAGATCCGCGCCTCGCTCGCGAACCTTCCTCGCACACTCGGAGGCGTTGCAAGCCTTGACGAGGTTGACCGCGACATCCGCGTTCGTTTTGGACTGACTGAAGAATCCTTCAACACGCTCCGCGAGACCGCTTCACAAGAGGCAAGTCTGCAGCTCTGGATCGATCATGTGAACTCGCTCGACGAAATCCTCCGCCGGCGTCCTCTTCTGGATCGTCAGACTTGGCAGCGCGCCACACAAGAAGGACTCAACACGCAGATTGAGCTGCGCTTTGGTGCTGCAGAAGAAGGCATCCAACCGCCATCGCGGATCAGCCGTGTGGATGTGATCAACATTGATAACACGGAACAGTTCAAGACCGAGATCGACCGGATGGTCCGCATCGCGGGGTTTGTCGATCCGGTACACACTGTGGTTGTCAATCGACTCGGACACGAGACACGACCAACCTTTGCGTTCGATCAGTCCGCGACCTCAGCAACGCAGGAAGCCGCGGCGGGTCGTGTACAGCCGGTCCGTCGTTCGATCACTGTCGGACAACGCATCTTCGCACGAGGCGATGTACTCGAACAAGCCGCGTATGAACTCGCGAAGACCGAGATCGAGCAGTTTGCCAAACAAGGGTCCACACCTCGACGCGTGCTCAAGTTCCTCTCCATCTATGGGATGGTCGGGATGCTCGGGATCATCCTCGCGGGATACATCTCGATGTACTGCCCGCGGATCGCGACAAGACCTGCTCGGACTGGATGGCTCACAAGCATCGTCTGCGCCTGTGTGTTCTTTGCGTGCGTGCTCAGTGTCTTTGACCCCAGACTTATGTGGCTCGCGTCCATCACCCCTGTGGTGCTCGTCGCGATCCTGATCTGCATCGCGTACGACCAACGCACAGCCCTCGCAGTCTGCGGCATCTGCGCCATCCTCGTCGGACTCGCGCTCAAAATGCATACCGGGATGTTTGTGCTCATGCTGATCGGATCCGCCGGCGCAATCGCACAACTCAGCGAGATCCGTGATCGACGCACGATCATCCGCATGTCGATTGTTATCGCGGCGATCCTCGCTGTGGTCGCTCTGTTCGACCAGTTCATTGTGCTCCCGACTGTTGGTGTTGGTGGTTCGCAAATACTCCAGCCCCTCGCTGGAGCCGCGGCTCAAGCGGGGATCTCAGGGCTGCTCGCGGGCGGGATCGCTTTATTCATTCTGCCATTCATCGAGCGTGCGTTTGATATCTCTACAGGGATGACGCTCATCGAGTTGCGTGATCCGAAACAACCGTTGCTCAGAGAGCTTCAGCAGCGTGCGCCAGGGACATACAACCACTCGCTTAATGTCGCTTCGATCGCGGAGAGCGCCGCGGAGTCCATCGGCGCCGATGCGCTGCTGACCTATGTAGGATGTTTGTACCACGACATCGGGAAGATGAATAAGCCGGGTTACTTCATCGAGAATCAATCAGGTGGTCCCAACAAGCACGACAAGCTCAATCCCGCGATGTCGCTGCTCGTCATCGTCGGACACGTCAAAGACGGCGTTGAGATGGCGCGCGAGAACGGTCTCCCCAAATCACTCCATCACTTTATCGATGCGCACCACGGCACGACGCTCGTCGAGTATTTCTACCGCCGTGCGAAGGAACAAGCGGCGCAGTCCGATGAAGTCCGCACTGTTGAACAGATCATGAGCGACAACGCGGAGGATCAACTCCCTGAGGAAGTGGATTACCGCTATCCGGGACCGAGACCCCAAACGAAAGAAGTCGCGATCGTGATGCTCGCTGACGCCGTCGAGAGCGCGACTCGCACACTCACTGAGCCGACTTCATCGCGCATCGATGCGCTTGTACGGAACCTTGCGAACAAGCGATTGATGGATGGGCAGTTCGATGAGTGCAACCTGACATTCTGCGAGCTCAAAACCATCTGCGATTCGATTTCCAAGACCGTCGCGAGCATCTATCACGGGCGTATCCGCTACTCGTCTGACGCTGAGGAGAGCAAGGCATCGAGCAAGAAGAAAGATGCTGAGAACTCATCCAATCAACAAGACGACGAGCAGAGTGATAAACAATCAGACAAGTCCGCGTGAGTCTTAGCGTTTCTTGGAACGCGCCTTTGCTTGATTCTTCGGATTCCCCTTCATCTTTCCTGTTTTCTTCTTGGTGTTCATCTCGAGGAACATCGCGATCGCGCTGATGATCACAAAGAGCACCACCAGCACAAGCACGATCAGAAGAATCAGGTTCAGAGACATTCGTAGATTCCTTTCGGCGACCAGTATACCAGAATCTGAATGCCTCGCGAAAGGGGTTTACTGAGCAGAATCGCCGCCCATCAGCTTCTCATTGAACGATTTGGTCCCGCCGGGAGCGAGCGTGAACCACTCCCAGCGATCCGTCCCGACGAGCTGGCGCGCGATGATGTTGATCTGTCCGATATGGAAGCTGTAATGATCCAGCTGACGAGCGACCGCTGCGTGGACTGGGTGAGGCACGCTGCGAATGGTCACAGTCTTTGACAGATCATCAGTCGTCAGTGATCCGAGCGTCTCAAAGAGCACGCCCCACCCCTGCTCCCAGCGCTGCATTATCAGCGCTCGCTGCTCCGAAGTATGTTCGCTCGGCGCCTCAAACTCGCGGTCGCGATCGCGCGATGCTTTCTCGCCGTCGGATGTCAGGAAGTCCGTCCATCGGCTGAGCATATTCCCGGCGAGGTGATTCGCGATGATCGCGCACGAGTTGAGTCCCGGCGCGAGGATCGCAAAGAACTGGTCGTCCGAAAGCTGTTTGAATGCGTGTTCACCAAATGCTTTCTGGCGCTCGAAGACTTGCATCCAGACCTGGATCATGTCATCTGGGAGTGGTTTGTCGAACTGGCTGTTGCTCATGTGTACCACCGCTCGAGCGCCTGTCTCCAATCATCCAAGCACTTCGCGTGGATGAACGATTGCTTCACTTCCGTTGCGTTTGGATGATGAGCTGCGAAGCGGATGCCGAACTTGCGCATGTTGCGTGCAGTCAGATACTCAGGATCACGTGTGTTCGCGTTGACCGCGAGCAAGAGTTCAAAGTGCTCCTGCAGCACGTCGCGTTGTTCCTGGATCGTTGGGGCTTTGGGTTCTTTGCCGTCGAGGATCGAGCGTGCTTGACGGAAGATCCACGGATTCCCGATGCATCCTCGTGCGACGGAGACGCCTGTGAGTCCGGTGTATCCGATCATGCGGAAGATCTGGTTGACGTCCCAGACATCGCCGGAGCCAAAGATAATGCGCTCCGGATTGCGATCGACGAGCGCTTTGAGCGGGTCCCATCGTGAGGGGCCGACGTATTTCTGCTCGACGGTTCGCCCGTGGACAGTCACCCAAGCGCATCCGAGGTCGTACGCGGCGTCGAAGAGGTACAAAAAATTCTGTCGCATCTCTTCCGTGTCGTCGTAGCTTCTGCGGAGCTTGACCGTCAGCGGGATCGACTCAGGGAGCACCTCGCGCACGGCTTTGAGGATCGCGATCGCGCCCTCTGGTTCGCGCAACCAATGTCCGCCTCTGGATTTCTTTGCGATCTTCTTGACGGGACACGCGAGGTTCACATCGATCCCGGCGAACGAGTCCGTGCCGTCGGTGCGGATCTCGGTTGCCTCGTCGCCTGCTTCTTTGCCCACCAGTGATCGGTATTCTTTGTTGGAGCGTTGTCCCTGCTCGATCATTTTGATCGCGGCTGCCGCCATCTCGGAGGGTTCGGATCCCATGATCTGCCCGACCAGCGGCGCGTCCTCATCACCCCCCGGCACGTTGTCGCAGATGTCTCCCAGATCCGCTTTGGCGAATCCCTTGCCTCCCGCGAGGAGTGTGCGATCGAGCAGCGCTTCGGTCACGCAGAGCGGACAGCCGTGACGACGCGCGATGATCCGCATCGCGGCGTCGGAGTATCCCGCGAGTCCGGCTTGGTAGAACGGCGCGTCGAATCCTCGGATCAGCGCTCGCACGCGTGGATCCATGCCTCCAGGGCCGTGGCGAGCGACGAGATCGCGAGCGACATCGCGCGGATCGATCTCCTGCGCCCCCTCAGCGATCGCAAACGAGGGCGCGGTCGCGTTTTTACTCGCTTGCTCGCAAGAGTTCTCGTCGGATTGGTTGCTTTGCACGCTCATCAGGGGGAGGATAGGAGCGTGAAACGCAATCAACGAATCGGAATGCTCTGCTCGTCCACACTCGCGGCTCTGACGCTCGCGATCTCTATGAGCGGCTGCAAGCTGTTCTCAGAGAAAACCCAAGCGGATCCGGGACCTCGCTACCCTGATTCCATGACCAAAGGCGAGGTCGTCGATATCCAGGTCTTCCGCGATTCGACCACCCTCCGATTCACCAACTCCACGACCGACGACTTTGGGCCTTCCATCGTCTGGCTCAATCAACGCTACTCGCAACCACTCGCAGGACTCGCGTCGGGAGAGACGATCGAGATGGATCTCAAGCTCTTCGTTGACGAGTTTGGAGAGACCTTCCGAGCCGGCGGGTTCTACGCGCAGCGTGTTCCCGCTCCGGTTGTGCTGTGTCAGCTCGAAACAGAGCTCGATGGACAGCAGCAGCTCATCGGATTCGTGGTCGTCGAGAACAACATGGATTAATCTGCTCGATTGTGGTGTTTGCCCAATCCCTCGCTGTATCGGAGATCACACATGGCACGCATCCTCGTTGTTGGACCCCACCCTGATGATCAAGAACTGGGGATGGGTGGCACCGTCATCAAGCTCATGAATCAGGGACATGATGTCCTGATCCTCGATGTCACCAACGGCGAGCCCACCCCGCTGGGATCTCCTGAGATCCGCAAGCAAGAAGCCGCGGACGCGTTCAATGTGTTGTCGCGGAACGCAACCGGCGAGGTCGATCGTTGGCTGCTCGATCTCCCGAACCGATTCGTTGAGCACACGATCGAGAACCGCCACGCGCTCGCAGGAGTGATCAGAGCTTGGCAAGCGGAGATGATCTTTACGACCTTTGACATCGATGCGCATCCGGACCACCGAGCCGTGACTCGATGTGTTGAGGATGCACGCTTTGACGCGAAGCTCAGCAAGATCGAGATGCCCAAACCCACCGATGCGTGGACGGGACGGACATTCGAGCTGGGTGATCCCTTGTACCCCAAGTGGTTGTTCTACTACTACGCGACACACTTGCGCTGGGTCGCGGACCCCAGCTTTGTGTTCGATATCTCCGGAGTCGTCGAGCAGAAGCTCGAATCGATCCGCGCGTACCACACGCAGTTCGTGCTCCCTCCCAAGAACGCACGCATCGCGGAATGGGTCGAGCACGCGGCGAGCTACTTCGGATCGCGCATCGGGACCGAAGCGGGCGAGCCGTTCTTCACGAAGGAACCGGTCGGATTGGGTGATCTTGCTTCGCTGGTGAATGTCTGATCAATCACCAAGCTGGATTGCTTGTCCAGTCCGCGCCGACTCTCGTGCGGCATCGAGAATGATGCACACGATGATGTTGTTCTCCAGACTCGACAGCGGATCAACCTCGCACTCGCCTCGGATGACCTTGCGGAAGTAGGTCCATTCGTTGCGGAGTTCTTCGGGACGATCGTCGATGGGGTGCGCCTTGCGATCCGAATCCGGATCGCGCTTGATCAACGAATCCCATTTCGACGCGTGGTACGAAGCGCCTGGGGTGTAGAGGTCCATGTCCTTGTTGTCGTGGGTCCATGCCCACGATGCTTGGATCACCGCGACGGAATCCTCGTATCCCAGCACGATCGTCGCGTCGTCATCGACATCGGGATACACCTCCGGCTTGAGATGGCGCGTGATCGCGGTCACGGTCTCAGGCATCTGATTATCCATCAGCCAGGTCATGAGGTTCGCGCCGTAGCATCCGAAGTCCACGATCGCGCCGCCGCCGTTTTCTTCGGGATCGGTCAGCCACTCAAGGAACTCCTCGGAACATCCGATCTCGCGTGGTCCTTTATGCCCGTGACGGAACACGGCTCGCTTGATCGGTCCCGACTCCTTCGCAAGACGAGCGGCGGTGCGGACCGAAGCGTACCACGAGGTCTCGTAGTTGGTCAGCACGAGCACATCGTGCTTGACGGAGAGCATCTTCATCTCCAGCGCATCGACCGTGCTGATCGCGAGGGGTTTCTCGATGAGCGTGTGGATCCCACGCGGAGCGCATGCGCGGACGGCATCGATGTGGTCCTTGATCGAGTTCATCACACTCGCCGCTTCGGGTTTGGTCGCGTCGAGCATCTCTTCGAGGTCGTCGAAGTACCACGACTCGTCGAGCGCGTATTTGTCTTTGTATTTTTCAAACAACTCGGGGTTGGGGTCGTAGATCCCGACGATCTGCAGATCGTCCCGATCCTTCGCTTGCCAGAGCACGCCCTCGACATGACCATGCACCAGACCGATCACGGCGATCCGCAACGGCTCGGTTTGGTTGCTTTCAGATGAGTTCGCTGGAGAAACAAACAACGACACGAGCAGCGCGATGCAGACACGGAACATTGGTGTTCCTCCGTTCAAAATTACTCGCCGACATTCATGAGGACCTTGATGCCCTCGCCGGAGATCATGGTGCGGAATGCTTCTTGGTAGTCGCTCATCGGGAACTCGTGGGTGATGATGTCATCGAGCTCGAGTCTTCCTGAGAGTAGCAGTTTTTCCATCTGGTACCAGGTCTCCCACATGCGCCGCCCGTTGATTCCCAGCACAGTGCATCCCTTGAAGATGATGTGCGCGTTGAAGTCAAAGTCCACTGTGCGAGCTGGGAGTCCGAGCAGCGCGGCTCGTCCGCCGTTGCGCAGCGCCCTGAATCCCTGATCCATTGCTGCGGGAGCGCCGGACATCTCGAGGAGCACATCGACGCCGTCGTGGGTTTCGCTGCGGACCTGCTTGACCCAAGAGTCGTCGCGCGCGTCGAACGCTTCGTACGCGCCGAGCTTCTTCGCGAGCTCCAGTCTCGGAGGATTGACATCGGTGCAGTAGATCCTCGCAGCGCCCGCGGCTTTGGCGACCGTCACCGCCATGAGTCCGATGATCCCGACTCCGGAGATCAGCACGGTCTTGGCGCTGACTCCCGCTTCCATCACGGTGTGCACCGCGTTCCCGAGCGGATCAAAGATCGCGGCGTGCTTGTCGTCGATATCAGGATGCACGGGCCAGACATTCTCTTCGGGAACCACCATGTACTCCGCGAAGCATCCGTCGCAGTCGATGCCGAATATCTGCGTGTCCGTCGCGATGTGCGCGTTTCCTGTTCGTGAGTTGTAGTCGAGCCCCTTGGTCATGTGCCCCTCGGCGCTGACGCGCCGTCCAGGAGAGAACTTGGTCACGGCTGAGCCGACCTTATCGACCTCTCCGACGAACTCGTGTCCGGTTATGATCCCGGGAGGGATGCGTCCCGCGGCCCACTCGTCCCACTCCCAGATGTGACGATCCGTGCCGCAGATACCGACCTTCTTGACCTTGATCCGAACCTCACGGGGTCCCGGCTCAGGGATCGGACGATCGTTGACCAGCTGGAGTTCGGGACCGGCGTGGTGCTTGATCAATCCTCGCATCGTGGACTGGGTCGCGGCAGAATCGTCTTGGGTCGATGCGGAAGTCATGGTCATGGATGGATCTCAGGGATTCGGATGATCGATCAGAGCCGACAATTGTTTTTCTGAATATGAACAGTGAGGCATTCTTGACGCGGCTCGTGCGTTTGACCCTTTGTCAGCGGCAATCCACGCCGAAACGCGACAATTCAAGCTCTCTACCGCACATATCGTATACAGTTGGGCCCGCGAAGCCGCCGATGTTGAACCAACGAGCGATACATGCGGTATCAATCGTTATCAGGACCCAAATCAGGTCCATCCGAATCAGAATCACAATGACCAGAGCACCGCTCAACAGCTCGTTTTTGTATATCGCCAACAAGCAATCCGGCGGCAAGGCGATCGGTGTCAAATCCGCTCGCTCAAGCCGAGCGCTCGCGAGCACGCTCCGCAAGGACCGTCAAGTCCTCGTCAAAACCTGGAAACTCCCCGATTGGGCATCCAACGAGCAGGACATGACGCTCAAGGATCATGCGGAGTTTGATGCACAGCTCTCGCAACTGCTCGAAAGAGGTGTGCCTCTGACTGAAGCGCTCGAGGTCGCATCGAGCGTCGTCAAATCAAACAACGAGGATCGCATCCTTCAACTCCGATCGCTCGTCGCGCAAGGCACGAGTTTCAGCGATGCGTGCACGCAGGTGGGGAGCTTTGATGAAGTGACTTGTGCCGTGTACAAAGCCGCGGAGAAGACCGGAGACCTTGCCGGCGCATGCAAGCAGCTCTCGATCGGCGCTCGTCGTCGTCTGGAAGTGTCCGGCAAAGCCGCGACGCTCATGATCTATCCATCCATCGTGCTCTCGATCGCGCTCATCGCGGCGATGGTCATGATGACGATCGTGATCCCGACGATTGGCGAATCCATGGTCAGCTCAGGTATCGAGGTCCCGACCTTCACCAAGATCCTCGTATCGATCGGCTCCATGCTTCGCGCCAATATCTTGTTCATTCTCGGCGGGCTGGTTTTGCTGTTGATCATCGCATTCCTTTGGAGATCCGTCGTTGCGAAGCTCGCGATCCGTCTAACTCGAAATATGCCGTTCGTGCGCGATGTGGTGATGGAGCAGGAACTGACGAGGTTCTTCTCTGTCATGGGATCGATGACACGATCAGGGATCGTGCTCAGTGACGCGATTTCTGTGTCCTCTGGTGTGATCAGCCACCCCAAGCTCAATAAAGACCTCCAGAGACTCCAGCATCGTCTTATTGAGGGTGGACTCTTCCGTTCGCTCATCGAGAAAGTCGAAGCTCTCCCACTCTCAACACGCAAGCTTCTCGTCGCGGCGGACCAGGCAGGAGACCTGGATTCCGCGTTTGACGCACTGGCGCGGGACCATTCTCAGAATGTTGACAAGAAGACTGATCGGCTCATGGCGGTGCTAGAGCCGCTGCTGATCGTGATCCTGTTCCTCATCGTCGGCACGCTGATTCTCTCGATCATGCTCCCGATGATGAAAATGACGGGGTCGGCCTTATAATAATGAACAGGTTGGGTCTGCGGACCGAATCCTGTGGAGTAAACACGACTGATCGCAACATACGCTGGTTTCGAGCGTTGAGCACATACACCAAGGACTGAACGCTGTCCTGATCGACCAACGGAGCCGAAGATGATTTCTCAGACACGACCATTCCAGTACGCACGCCCTGGCTTCTCACTGATTGAACTCGTTGCCGTCCTCGTGATCCTTGGCATCCTCATGGCAGGCGCCGCCGTAGCCATACCATCCCAGATCGAAAAAGCACGAATCCGCGTCACCAAGACCTCGATGCGGACCATCAAGACACAGATCGAGTCGTATCGCGCTGAGAACGCAGGCGACGCCCCCGCATCGCTCGCAGTACTGATCCCATCCTTCATGGAGGAGGGCTCGGACATTGATGCGTTCAAGGAAACGTTCTACTACCTCCCCACTCCCGGCTCGACTCGTCCCTACGAACTCCGCTCCGGAGGTCCAGATCACGAGATGGGGACCGAGGACGACATCAACATCTGGACTATGGATGTTTCGAGCAGCGACTAAACGCACTCAATCCACCCCGCACTCATGACCAATGCACGAACCACTGCGATCAGAACCCGCGCTCGAGCGACACGCCGAGGTGCGACGCTGATCGAAGCGGTTCTTGCGACTGTGCTGCTCGGGATGGTCGCGGCGACGCTTGCGAGCGCTGTGTCGTTCATGAACTCTTCGCAGCGTCGTTTGCAGCAGCGCCTTGGAGCTGCGGAGCTCGCGAATCGATTGATGCTCCAGTACATCGACGATCAGGACGCGATGCCGAGCTCGAATCTCCCGATTGAGTACGACATGGACCTCTACCGCTGGACGCTCGATGTGTCTCCGGTCGAGTTTGAGATGGCCGAACCCCCTCCAGAAAGTGAAACCGACACCATTGGATCAGGAATCAACTTCGATCGGATCCGCTTGGTCTCCATCAAGGTTTGGTTGGGAGAAGACTCCGGAGGCAATCGCGGATTCTCCACAGAACTCCCAAACGCGCAGCTGACGCGATTGATCGATCCGCTCGCGTTCTCCAATCCGGATTCACTCCAGACGATGATCGACTCTCCGGGAGGGATGGAACGCTTGTTCGAGCGCCTCATGCAGCTTGATGGAGGGGATCTGGGGAACACTGCGCCATGATGAAGCTCCCTACAAACCGAAACAATCGGGGCTTCACGCTCGTCGAGCTCACGCTCGCGATTGTGGTAGGTGGATTGGTGCTCCTCGGGATCTCAGGGGTGTTCGCCGCGACGCGCAACATGGAGCGGATTTTCGGAACACAGTACAACGCCGCGACGCAGATGCACATCACTCAGATGACGATGCGCCGCGCGTTGCTCACGCTCCAGATCTTGCAGGACCAGGGGAACCAAGCATCGCAGTCTGATGGGGTCAACACTGAGGATGTGCAAGCGTACGAGGATCGTTCACGGATCATTCTCGAACCCGACCCGATCTACTCCGAGATGCTCGGAGCTTGGCAGCCTCAGCGATTCGAGGTTGTGGTTTCCGCAGCGCCGATCGCAATGGATATGGGAACACACGCTGCTCAGTGGGCAAGACTCACTGATCGCGATGAGAACTCGCTCGATTTCTCCACGGCTGACGCATCAGGTGGTGTCATCCGCTCAGTGTTTGAACTGCGTCCAGACGGCGCGCGCGAGCAGATCATGCGCCGTGTCGGACTCTTGGACCCAGACCCCAAAGCCGACGAGAAGATGCTCCTTGCAAGCGCTGAACCGACTGGATGGACGCTCTGGTGGAGACCGATCCTCTGGACAGAAGCGAACTACCTCCGCTACGGCGGGACTCCGCTTCACGATGCCGCGGGAACTCAAGACGAGATCCGCTTCCGGCTCGCCGGCGCGATCCCGCTCGTCAAAGACATCAATGTCTGCTCGTGGACGATCTTCAAGAGCGACGAGAAAGTGACAGAGTACGAAGCACTCGAGATGAGCGAACTCCCGGCATACGCGGAGTTCGACATCCTCCTCAACTCCGGCGCCTACGCGTCATGGATGTTCGAGATCGACTGGGTGCTCGGCGATGATCCGCTGGATCTGGGAGAAGAAGACTCCGACGGCTCCAACTCCGGCAGCGGAGGTGATGGCGAAGACGGCACTGGCGGCGGAAACGGCGGTGGTGCCGGAGGCGGACCAGGCGGACCGGGAGACGGACCGGGCGGACAAGGCGAACCACCTGATGACAGCGGAGGTGGAGGTATCAATCTCCCTGGCAACAACAACTCCAACAGTCTCGGTGGAGGTGACACCTGATGCGCCCAACCGAGCGTTCCAACTCGAAGCGCGGCTTTGTGATGCCGATGGTGATCCTGCTGATGGTTGTCGTCGGACTCAGCCTGTCGCTGTCGCTCCGAAGAATGTCCACGCAGCAGTTGGTTGTGAATCGTCAGATCAACGCGTACTTTGAGCATCACTCTGGACGAGGACTCCAAGAAGCTATTGGTGCCTGGTTACGACAGCAGAACGGACGCGAGCTCGACGAGGTCCTCGAAGAAGGCACAGGCAAAGCGATGGACATCACCCTGTCCGATGGCTCCATAGTCTCGATCTACCTCTTTGATGCACAAGGATCGATGCTCTCGGATCTTTCAAGCGTTCCTGATCCGCAAGTGAACGAGGTCGGATTGTCGCTCAGAACTCTGTCTGAGCGTGTTGGTCCCAGAGAATACGAACGGCTGACGCGCCCATTCGGTCCCGCGGCGATCAGTATCCATACCGCACCACCTGTGGTGATCGAATCGATCGGATCCGCGGTTGCCGGGAATGCGGGTCTTCGTCTGGCAGACGACCTGCTTCTGCGCCGCGAAGCCGGTGAAGAGCTCACACGACAGGTGCTCGTCGAATCCGCGACACGAGCGGGCGTGACCTCTGAGCAACGAACGGCGGTTTTGCGTCGATACGCGACGGATGTCCAGCTCTGGGGAGTGGTCGTGGAGGTGAGAGGCGGCCGCGGAACGAGCCTAGGACGACTCCTCGCTCGCTACGGCGGAGTGACGCTGATCCGATCCAGCTCAAGCAGACGCTCGACGGGCAATGCGATGGAAATTGGTGCGTTCTATACCTGGAAAGACCTCGGTATTGACAGTCAGCGGATCGATCCTGCCGATCTGTACTAATTCAAGGCTACCCTGTGGGTGGACTCTGACTGAAATTATCCCGATAAGCCGATAGAGAGCATGTTATGAGCAGTGTGATTTCACGAACAAAGGCCCAACGACTTACTATGATGTACCAAGTCATCGCACTTGTCTGCATGCTCGGCGCCATCGCGATCGGGGTATTCGGACTCCCTGAATCTGAGCCGATTGCGACGATGGATCAAGTCGCTCAGAATACCCCCGCAATCCCCAACACACAACCGCTCGATCTTGGATCAGATTCAGGAAACACAGTCCCAATCACACGCATCGATCCTGGATCGATCGCGGCTCGATTCGGGATGCTCGACAACGCTCCAGAAGTTACGCTGGAAGTTGTTGATGACACGCCGGCTGAGCAGGAGTACGAACCGAGTGAGGAGACGGAATCCGGATCACTCGCAAAGCGTGTGAGATACACGGGCTTCATCAACGACAATAACAATCCACTCGCATTCATCCGCATCGATGGCACGCAACGAATCGTTGCCGAGGGTGGAACCGCTCGTGCGGGAACTGCTGTGCTCGACGACTTGCAGGTCAAGAGAGTTCGTCCAAAGTTCATCATCGTGAGCGATGGACAGGTCGATGATCGCATCGAACTCGCGGATCAGAATGGCGCTTCGATAACAATGTCTTCTGGAGATCCGGTCGTCGTCGCGGATGTTCCTCTGCGTGAGCAGGATGTGGTGCTGACTGAGGAAGAGCTCGAGGAGCTCTCCAAGATGCCTGCTCGACAACGAGCTATGCAGGAACGGATCCTCCGCCGAAAGAAAATGGGAAGAGACATGCCGGGTTTCGAGCGTGAACCACTCGCATCGTTCCGCGCCAGTGCCGGGAATAATCGGAATAACGAGGCTGGATCAGGACAATCCTCCAACGAATAGATCTTCATCCCTGTAAGTTCCCCATTGCATTGAGAAATGAAAGAGCATCGTGAGTGATCGAATCTGTTATCTAGAACGCACCGATCGAGGTCTTGCACTCGCTGGGGTTCGGATGGTCGGCGCCCACGCGGATGATCACTGGGATGCAAGCGCCGGCGGGACTTCTGATGCGGTGCTTGAAACGATTGATGACGCCGCCGTTTGGATCCGTCAGCGGCTCAAGTCCGGCGGCGGCAGCCCCAGAGTGCTCCCAGTTCTTTGTATCGATACCGACGGCGCGATCTGCACTTGGACCAAACCAGAAGAGAGCAGCGCGGAGATGATCTCTGCAGCAATTGATCAGATGGAGATGGGGAGCGACGACGAGCTTGAAGGTGGATACCAATCATCGATCGGCGAGCGTTTTCCCAATCTCCCACTTGAGGTCAACTACGAATCGCTCAGCGATGAGAAGACTTCTGATGGATCACGCAAAGCCGTGGTCGCGACTCCTGATGTTCCCGCTCGATTGCTGATCGACCAGCTTGACTCGATGGGAACACGCATTGGCCGCGTCGAGAATATCTGGTCGCTCATCGCTCGATGCTGGGATCCTGGATCGCCGCACAGATCGTCTGTTCGAGATTCACAGCGCGTTATCTCCGAGGAAACACCGGTCGCCGCGAGTGTCGTAGTCGATCCGAATCGAGCACGCTTGCTCTGGACTTGGTCCAAGGACGGCGAGCTGCTCGCGGCGGGATCCATGCGGATCGGTCACAACGCGGATGGACTGACTCTTCAACAGTCCGATCTCTCAAGACTCTGTGCCGACTGGATCGGTTGGGCATCACAGATCGGCGTCGCGCCGCTTCGAGTGGTCGTTGTCCTACCTGACGAGCAAGACGGATTGGATCGATCAGAGATCTCCGGCGCGTTCTCGAAGCATTGGCCCGGCGCAACGATGGATCTGGTCCACGAAGCGGACCCCATCCTCACGACTTTGCGTACTTCATTGGATCTCGATGACCACAGCGAGAGCAGTGTTGGGACTGTGCTCACCAATCGTCCTGGACGCTCGCACCGCTCGATGTACCGTTGGGCGGCTGCGGCTCTGCTCGTCGCGAGTGTCGCGATCGGATGGACCGGATGGACGATGTACAGCCGAGGATCGGAAACACAGGATCGCGCCAAATCGGTCCGCTCGACGATGGTTGAGCAGATTATGACACTGCAACCTCCGATCAGCAATATTGCTTTGCCCGACCCCGAACTTCAATACAGACTTAACAGATTGGTTGCCAAAGCCGGACCAGTGCAGATCGCGCCGACCAAACCTGTTCTTGAAGAGCTGGAAACCATCTCCTTTGTCCTCGGCATGTCCGGCATCGAGATCGACAACCTCCAGATTTCGCAAACACTCGTCAAGGTTAAGATCCGCACAGAGAACCTGTCGCTCGCGGAACAGATCAATGAAGCGCTCCGCTCAATCGATGGCTCGCACATCCAGTGGCGCGCTACTCCCGATCTCAACAGACGAGGTGAGCAGATCGAAGCAACTTTCACAGGCGTCTGGAACACAGGGAGTTCATCATGAGCACGCTCACGAGTGAATCCCGACTCAGCGCTGATGATCGCTTCGAGCTCGCTTCACGCGCCGAGATGCATGAGCGCCAGACGCGTCCGACGCATTATGTGGTGTTTGGACTGCTGATCTTCTTCGCGTCGCTGATCTTCCTTATGTACTCATGGAACCACAACAGCTCCTCGGAAAAAAGACTTCGCAATAGCCAGGTCGCGGCGATCAATGTTGATCGGATGATCACACAGATCAACGAGCTTGAGCAGGCGCAAGCCGAGAGTCCGATCGATGAACGGCTCGCACCGATCCCCGATATTCTCACACGATTCTCTCGAATCGGAGACCAGCTTGGTCTCACGATCGATCTCCCACGCAACACGCCTCCGAGAACAGAAGGCGGCGCTCGACTGCATAGTTACCAATACAGCGTGCGTGATTCATCACTGGAGAAGATCCTCCAGTGGATCCAGCGCTCGCAAGACCAGATCCCTGGACTCGAAGTCCGCGAGATCACCATCAATCTCAACGCGAAGGTCTGGCTTGTCAAAGTCACCCTGACGCGATATGAACGCATCGAATAGGATTTCAATGATGACCTCTACCCCACGACAGCCACACTTCGGAAAGCTCCGTTCCGCACTCCTGATCGCGACCACTGCAACGCTCATCAGTGGTTGCGGCTCAACACAGCGTACCTGGAGCGACACCTCCAAACCTGCAGGTGATCCGGTCGAAGCGTACAAGCAACGCTCACGCGCCGAAGCGATGGAACTCTTCCGTCAAGCATCCGAGCTCCACGAAGCGGGTAAGTTCGAACAAGCGCTCAAAAAGTACCACGAGTCGATTGAGAAGGATAACACCATCTTCGCGGCGTGGAACAACATGGGCCAGTTGCTCATGGCACAGAAAAACTACGCAGACGCTGTCGCGGCGTACAAGATCGCTTCAGACCTCCAACTCAACGATCCGCGTCCCGACTACAACATCGGACTCGCGTACCAGAAGATCGGATGGGGAGACGAGTCCTACACCCACTTCCAGCGTTCGCTCGATCGCGACCCCAATTACCTCCCATCACTCCGCGGAATCGTCCGCACGGCAGAGATGATCGGGATCGGCGATCAGAGTGTGCTCAACCACATCCGCAACGGACAGCTTCGCGAAAGCGACGCACAATGGCGCGAGTACTTCGATCGTCAGCGCTTCCGCGTCGAGAAGGTCATCGACGAGAGCACCTGATCCATAGATCGGATTGTCTTTACAACAGTTCAGCCGCAAGTGATGCGAGTTCGGAGCGCTCGGACTTCGCCAGTGTCACATGTCCGACCATTCCGAGGCCGCGCATTTTCTCGACGGTGTAGCTGAGTCCATTGGACGACTGATCGAGGTATGGATGGTCGATCTGTCCGATGTCACCAGTCAAGATCAGCTTGGTCCCTTCACCGATACGCGAGATGATCGTCTTCACTTCGTGGGGTGTTAAGTTCTGCGCCTCGTCCACGATCATGAACTGATGCGGGATCGAACGGCCACGGATATAAGTCAACGGCTCAAGTACCAATCGTCCATCGGCAACGAGCTTCTCGATCCGCTGCTCAGTAGTCTTGGACTCTGGCGCCTGATGAGGTGAGCCTCGCGTCGAGAGCAGGTAGGTCAGGTTATCGAAGATCGGCTGCATCCACGCGCCGAGCTTCTCGTCCTTATCGCCCGGCAGGTAACCGATGTCACGACCCATCGGCATGATCGGACGCGCGACGAGGAGCTTGTCAAAACGCTCTTCTTGGAAGACCTTGGTCATCCCCGCCGCGATCGCGAGGAGGGTCTTCCCAGTTCCCGCGCTCCCAAGCAGTGTGACCAGTTTGATCTCATCATCGAGGAGCATGTCCAGCGCCATCGTCTGCTGGACATTGCGCGCCATGATCCCGAAGGTTGGTTTCTTCTGATTCGCAACAGGGATCAAGTGCTCGGTATCCGTCAATCGACGCGCGAGACCTGTGTGGTGCTCGTCGAGCGCATCGGTCAGCATCACATACTGATTCGGCGTGATCTCACGAGTGTACGACTCACCTTCGTCGTCATCGACTTTCAGATACTCAGCGATGCGATCCATCGAGAGCATCCGATCGGCATAGAGATCATCGATGACATCCCGACTGGTTTTGAGCTCCATGTATCCTGTGTACAAGCGATCAGCATCGACACGCTGGTTCCGGAAGTCTTCTGAGCGAAGTCCCAGAGAGTCCGCTTTGATTCGTGCCGCGAGATCCTTGGAAACAAAGACCACCGGATTCCCGGCTCGCTTGAGCGCCCACGCCGTCGCGATGATTCGATTGTCTGCTTTGTCCGCAGACAGGATCGGAGGCCGAGAATGGTCCTCGACATCAATACTCAAACGACCAGTCGCTGTGCCTGAGCGAACCCCGAGTTTGCCAAGCTCTACACCTTCGATAAGCTTTCCGAACCCACGCAAACGGTCCATGTGTCGGATGGCGCTGCGTGCGTTGCGTCCGACATCGTCTTCCCTCCGCTTCATCGCGTCGAGTTCTTCGATCACTGGGTACGGGATCACAATGTGGTTGTCCTGAAACACAAACAACGCATCGGGGTTGTGCAGAAGGACATTGGTATCGAGAACATAGTACCTGATTGACGATTGATTGCTTTTTTGATCGCTCATGAATTGTCACCGGCGTCAACGCGCGAAAGTGGATGCTGGCGCCGGGATGATCTCCTAACCGAAACACTCGGTCTCCATTGAGAGCATATCGGATCCGAAGTCCCGCTGCCGTGTTTCTTCGTTAGAATCCGTTGTAGATCACCATCGTGACAAGCACAGCCGACGCTGCTCCAGCGAGCATCAGCTTGATCACCATCGAGATGAGTCTCCCGACCGCGGCTCCTGATCCTGAACGGAACGAATCACGCATCGATCGCTGAGCGATTGATTTCTCCGCCAAGAACGCGCCGATCCCAGCACCTGCGACACCACCAACAACGGAGCCGAAGATCGGGATCGGGATGATGAATGTCCCGAGAATCGCGCCAACGAGTGTACCGATGATCGATCCGATCGCGCCGCTGCGCGATCCTCCCATCCGCTTGACCCCCAATGCAGACGCAATGAAATCCACAAGCTCAGAGAGCGCCGCGATCCCGAAGAGGGCGCCGACTGTCCACCACCCAACATACTCCGGCACCCACAGCGCGAGCAAGGCGCTGCATGCGGCCATGGTCCAGATGCCTGGGAGCGTGATCGCCGTCATCGCCATACAGACGAGCACGATCAGCAGCACAATAGAAAGTACGATCCAGATCATTCACCGGATTCTTGGGAAAGCGATTCGCTCGCTTGCGGCGATGCAGCTTCCATCGCGAGAACCCAGTCCTCGACCAATGCGTGCTGATAAGTATCCACTTTCAGCTCTTTCCCGGCGTGTGTGGGGTGCGTGTCGTTGAGTTTAAGGAACACGATGAACTTATCCCACTTGCGCTTGTCCACCTCTTCGAGCTGGTTCGGATTCACCGATACCGGACCAGGGATCGTGATGGCCATCGTGTCCGCGTCCCACGAGAACTTCTGGCCGATCACCCTAAACATGTGAAGCAACATCCAAGCGCCGACTCCCCAACAAACGACCATGATTCCCCACTGCGACGGGATGTCGTACCCCTTGAGTGGTTTGGGATTCGTCTTTGAGGTCCATTCAGCCTTGCTCGATGTCAGCTCCGCTTCTGGATCCGCGATCGTGGTGTTTTCTGGAGTGAGTTGTCCAATCGTGTTGAGTGCTTTGAGCCACTCGAATCGAGTGTTGCGCATCGTGGCGCGAAGATGGCTCGGCGAGGACTGGTTCGCTGCGTCGCGCAGATCACTCTCACGCTTCTCCGGATCCTTCAGTCGTGCAAACTCCTCAACTGGATTGTCAACGCTCGCTTCGCGGAAGATCCCGAACTGCTCGCTCCCCGCGGTTTTCGCGGCTTCGAGGTATTGCCACTTCGCCCAATCCGCGTAACGCTGTCCACGCTCTGGATATTTGATGATCGCGTCGTAGAGACCCAGACCACCAAATCCGATCACGAAGAAGGCGATGATGCCGAGCTTGATCGTCCACTTTGGGTTGAGCGGCGCTTTCGCGCAATCCTGTTTGACATGATCCGGCGTCGGAGTCTCGCTTGCATCAATCTCTTCCGGCGTATTCGATGTCTCAGGCGTATCGGTCATGGCGTCCCCAAAGGTTATCGCGTTGAAATGAGTTCAATATCTGAATGGTAAGGGATCAATCGGGTAATTCCCGCTATCGGCTCCATTTGGAGTGCACGGAATCAGCGAGGAATCCCGCTTTTTGAGGCGAAAATCCACCAATCGAATCAGGAATCTGCACTGTCCACTCGATCGAAGCGGTTCATCGCTGCGGCCCACCACATCGCAGTCCGCTTTTGATGCTCTGGGAGTTTCAAGCATCCCCCTCGTCCACCGTGACTGAATCCCCCTTCATCGACACGACGAGCCGGGATTCGAGGATACGGCAGCGCTCTTCGGAGCGCACGGGTCAGGAAGTTCGAATGCACAGCTCGAAATCGAGCGCCGGCGTCCAGCTGCTTCTGCGATGGTTTACCCGACCAGATCATGCACAGATCATATCGGATGATTGTGCTCGAACCAATGCAAATCTGCGGATGCTGCTGAGCGGATAGGTTCTGTGGATGGGATTTGTGGAATTGACCCCCTACGATCCTCGTCCAGACCCGCTCTGGTTGACGCCCGGGCCCGATGCACGGGTGGCCTGTGAACCTGGTCAGGGCTTGACCGCAGCAGCCATAAGCAGCCGTCGCCCGGTGCCGTTGGTGTCCTGGGCGTCAACCAAGGCGGGTCATTCCTTTGATGCCTACTCCGATTTCAGTGCCCCTATGATCGTCCATGGCATATACCGCACTCGCTCGAAAGCACCGCTCCCGCACCTTTGACACTGTGATCGGACAGGAACCGATCGCCAAGACGCTCAAAGCCGCGATCGATTCGGATCGTGTCCACCACGCGTACCTGTTCATCGGCACGCGCGGGGTTGGGAAGACCTCCATGGCGCGGATCTTCGCCAACGAGCTCAACAATCCTGAGCACAAGGACGACATCGCGGACGCGGTGTTCTCTGGACAGGACACCGATGTCATCGAGATCGACGCCGCGTCGCATAACAAGGTCGAGGAAGCACGCGAGCTGATCTCCAACTCCGCGTACCGACCGATGCGTGGACACTTCAAGATCTACATCATCGACGAGGTCCACATGCTCTCGACCGCGGCGTTCAACGCGCTGCTCAAAACGATGGAAGAACCTCCCGAGCATGTGAAGTTCATCCTCTGCACGACCGAAGCGCACAAAGTCCCGGCGACGATCCAGTCCCGTTGTCAGCGATTCGACTTCCGCAACATCCCAGTGACTCGGATCGCTGAGCACCTCGAAGCGGTACTCAAGCAAGAGAAGTTCAAAGCGGACAACGAACTGGTCTACACGCTCGCTCGGCTCGGCAACGGCTCGATGCGCGACGCGCTCTCGCTGCTCGATCGACTCATGGCGTCGGGAGAAAAAACACTCACGATCAATCTCCTCGAAGAACTCCTCGGACTCCCGCAACGCGAGGTCATGGGAGAGCTGATCGACGCGATCGCGCAGGGTGATCCAGCGACCGTCCTCCGCGCAACGGGGCAGCTGCTCTCCACAGGGATCGCTCCAGAACAGATGCTCACCGCACTGCTCGAACGCTTCCGCGACCTCATGGTCCTCAGCTCCTGCGGCGTGGACACCGATCTCGTCGAGCTGTCCGATGAAGCGAAGCAATCCGAGTTTGAACGCTCGCGGCAGTTCGATGCCGCGGGGATTGTGCACATGATCGCGCTGTGTGAATCTGTCCAGCGAGCGCTCAAGTCGTCACCCGCTCCGAGGGCGCTGGTTGACGCGTGCATGGTGCGCCTCGCAATGACGGAGAAGATCGCGGACCTGACGGCGCTTGTGCAGTCGGGTGGTGCCGTAAAAAAAACCTGAGGGCGGCGTCGGCGCCCGCAGCATCTGTTGCTCCCAGCCGACCGTCGCCCGCGACCCAAACACGAGTTCCATCACCAAGCAAACCGGTCCGGCATGAGTCCAAGGACACGCCGCGCACCGCTGGTCGGCGCATGGACTTTGCCAAACCCGCTCCGTCGAGCGCTCCTGAGCAGTCCGCGCCAGCAGTTCCAAAGCAAGAACAAGCACCCGCACCCCAGCCGATCGCGCCGCCAACGAACCTGCCCACCGCTGAAGAAGCGGCGGGCGATCCGCTCGTCAAAGCGGTGCTCGAGGTCTTCGACGGCACCGTCAAACAGGTCTACCCAAGGAAGTAGTTCATGCTCGACAAACTCAAAGCGATGCAGGCCCTCGGGTCACTGATGAAAAACAAAGAACAGCTCGCTGAAGCGGGCGAGCGTGTCAAAGCGAAGATGGACGCGCTCCGCGTCGATGGACAAGCCGGGGGCGGCGCGTGTAGAGCGATCGTCAACGGCAAGATGAAACTCATCGACCTCACGCTCGATCCCGCGCTGCTCGCAGGGATGGCGGTTGACGAGAAAACCAAAGAACTCGCGACGGCGCTCATCAAGGACGCGATCAACGACGCGACCGAAAACGCACAGCGTCAGGTCCAGCAGATCATCGCGAAGGAAGCGGACGATCTCGGACTCGGAGACATGGCGCCCCAGCTCAGCGGACTGCTCAGTTAACGATGGTCCGGATCGAACAACTCAGCACAGTACCCAAGGTTCAGATCGACTACGAGCACACGCCTGTCCCTAAACACCTGCGTGAGCAAGTTGAGCACGCGTGGGAGATGCTAATCCTATCCAACCCCAACTACTTCAACGGCGAGATGCTCGCGTTCATGAGCTTCGATCCCAGCGAAGGTGTGATCCACGCTCGCGCTGAGCAGTACAAGCACCACGCTATACGCGAACAGATCCACCTCGGCGTACGCATGCTCGCAGTGACTGGATTGATCGTTGCTCCCAATCAGGAAGGTGTCCCCCACTATCTGCTCGGGAAACGATCAAGCAAGACACATCGCTATGGAGATCTCTGGGAGTTTGGACCCTGCGGCGGGATCGATGTCCCTGAGGAGAAATTTGACACGCTCACCTTCGACATGATCCGCGAAGAGCTGTGTCGAGAATCGCTCGAAGAGGTCGGCATGTCGCTGGAGTCCGCACCGATGACGGCGCTGGCGCTGGTGCATGACGATCATGTGGGATCAACCGATCTCGTCCTGCGTGTTGAGCTGAGCACGCTTCCGGAGCTCTCCACAGAATGGGAGTATGAAGATTTACGATGGATCACGAAGGAAGCACTCCATGAGTGGATTGATCGTGAACAGAACGCGTTCATCCCAACAGCGATCGAGATCGCGCGATTGTTGTGAGCACCGATCCATGCGCTTGGACTAAGATGCTCCGATGAGCTCTGATTCCCCCACTCCAATCGCGGATATGACCCTCTCAGGGTACCTGCAGGCGCTCAACTCCAAAGCACCCACTCCTGGCGGGGGGGCCGTCGCTGCGACAACCGGCGCAACGGCAGCCGCGATCGCGGGGATGGTCATCCACTACACGCTCGGCAAGAAGAAATACGAGCACTGCGAATCGGAGAACCAAGCTCATCTTGAGCTGCTGACATCAATGCAGACGAGGTTCCTGCAACTCGCCGACGATGACGCGGCTGGGTACGGCGCACTCAACGCGCTCTGGTCACTCCCAGAATCGGATCCAGAGAGGATTGCTGAGTGGGACAGTGCTGTGCAGGGCGCGATCGCTCCACCCGTCACGATGCTTGAGATGTGTGCTCAGATGATGGGATCGCTCCATGAACTGACAGAGACAACAAATCGAATGCTCAAGTCGGATCTCGCGGTCGCCGCGATCACATGCAAAGCCGCGGCTCATAACGCGGCGTGCAATATCCGGATCAACATCCCGCTACTCCCAGAGCAAGATCGTAACCAGACTGAGTCAACGATGAATGATTACCTCGCACTGGTTGATTCACTCCATGACAAGGTTCTGGTGTTGGTCCGATGAGCACAACACAACCAAATCCATACTGTGTGCCTTGCGAATGTGTGGATCTACACCGCAACGAGAACATCCCGCAGCTGAGTGTAATGCTCAGCGAAGCGAGCATGATGACCGATCCCGCGGCAATGATGAGTCACTTCGGGCCGTGGATCGGGAAACGCACCCCTCGCGATGCAATCGTCTCTGTTTCAAGGCGCGGACTCAAGGACGGGCAGTACAAGTTCACGCGTGTGATTGGTCCGAATCCGACTGATCCACAGGAGGATCGTGTTCCCCAAGATCCATGGGCGATCTGGGAGCAGCTCCCGATCCTTGAGGGCGGATTGGTCTGGGAACTGATCCAGACTCCTGAACCCAAACTCCTCAACCACGCCGACTTCACGCAGGACACCAATCTGTCAAACGCACTCGGAGATCGAGCGTCCGAACTCCGATCAGTCGCGGTCATCCCAACTTACGAGAACGGCGAGACCATCAACTGGGCATTCGTCTTCCACAGAGACCCCCAGTGGAATGATCTCGAATCATTCGAAGCCGGATTCCTTGATCTGAACATGATCGGCTCTGCTACACGCAACCTCGTCACGCGCCGCAAGGTCGAGGAGCTCAATCGAGAACTCGAAAAGCAGTTCGAGCAGATGGGTCAGATCCAGCGTGCCCTGACTCCCGCATCGAATCCTTCGCTTGAGGGGTACGCACTCGCGACGAGCTACGAGCCGAGCCAGCACGCCGGCGGCGATTTCTACGACTACTTCCAGTTCCCAGACGGGCGACTGGGTCTCATGATCGCGGATGTCGCCGGACACGGCGCCGCTGCAGCGACAGTCATGGCGATGATCGCGGCCTCCTTGCGAGGTTTCGCGTTCAGTAACGAGGAAGATGACGCCGCCGCGGATCCAACGCAAGTCGCGCAGTTCATCAACAAGATCCTCTACACCTCAGCACTTCCGAGCATGTTCGCGACCGCGTTCCTGTGCGTGCTCGATCCGAGCACAGGAACAGTCGATTGGATCCGCTGCGGGCACAACCCACCTCGTATCCGAGGCGTCGATGGCACCATCCGCACGCTCGACAATCCAGGGACGCTCCCGCTCGGGATCACGATGGATCTGCCTCCGGTCTCACTCTCGAGCACACTCGCTCCAGGTGAAACGCTCGTGTTGTATACCGATGGCATCACCGAAGCGGCGCGTCCTGCGGATACCGAGTCAGGATTCGAGATGTTTGGAGAAGAACGCATGGATGCCGCGCTCACAAGTTGCAGCGGTCAACCCCAGTGCGTGATCGACACCCTCACCACCGCCGTCCGAGAGTTCACTGGATCCGATGTCGGCAAAGACGACCAAACCATCGTCGTTGTACGCCACAACCATCCGGATGATGCGTGATGAGCGAAGCAAAGAACTCCAATGAGTGGTTCGATGAGCTCGATCCGACCGGACTGACAGATACCGGCGAGAAGGGACTGCGATTCGAGTGCACACAATGCGGAAACTGCTGCACAGGACCGACTGGATTCGTGTTGTTCACTGACAAAGAAGCGAAAGCGATGGCGAAAGATGTCGGTATCCCGCTTGACGAGTTCATGACGCAGTACACTCGCGACACGATCGTCGGACGCTCGCTCAAGGAAACCAAAACCAGCTTTGGATACGACTGTGTCTTCCTCGATCGCGACGAACGAGGCAAGGCGCTGTGCACGATCTACAAGACGCGTCCGGAGCAGTGCCGGACGTGGCCGTTCTGGAAATCGAACCTTGAGTCGCTCGAAGAATGGGAATACGCCGCCGAGGGGTGTCCCGGCATGAATACAGGAACGCTGTACTCAACAAAGCACATCCGCATCACGCGCGATCGCGTTGAAATCTGACTGGATCCCGATCAATCCTCTGGGACGTTGTCCGAGGTGACAATCTCGCGGAACTTGGCGCGGAGCTTCTTGGTGATCGGCCCCTCACCTTCGGAGATGGTGTGGGTCTTGGTCACTTCAAGGTCCTTGTGCTCGAGAATCTCACGCACCGCGATCATTTCTGCCGCTGAGCCGGTCAGGAAGATCTCGTCGGCGCTGAGTAGATCTTGGAGCTCGAAGTACTTCTCTTCGATCTCGACGCCGCACTCAGGACACAGTGTGTCCTTGACAAACTTGCGCGTGATCCCTTCGAGGATCCCGACATCGCTTGGAGGCGTGAACACCTTCCCATCCTTGATGTAGAAGATGTTATCTCCCGATCCTTCTGCGACCTTACCCTCAGTGCTGAGCATGATCACTTCAAGGAGTTGATCCGATGGCTCAGTGATCCCGAGTTTCTGGGAAAGGTGAATCGCTTCGCACTTGGCCATGATGTTGTTGAGGTAGTTGAGCGATTTAATCCGTGGATCAAGACACGCGATCGGGGTCTTCGGACGATTCGCGACCACAACACGCATCCCCTTCTCGTACATCTCCGGAGTAAAGAGCGAGATTTTGTCCGCGATGCAGATGACACCAGGAACCGGGCACTGGTACGGATTGAGTCCAAGGTTTCCAGCGCCACGAGTGACAAGGAAGCGGATGTAGCCGTTGGTGATGCCGTTCGCTTCGATGCACTGGCGTTGGATATCGATCATTTCCTGACGCGAGTAGTGGCTCTCGATATCAATGAATATCTGATTGCAGCACTTGATTAGACGATCCATGTGCTGCTCACACTTGAAGATCTTGCCGTTGTAGACACGGATGCCTTCAAAGATCCCATCGCCGTAGAGCAAGCCGTGGTCGAAGACAGAGACGGACGCGTCGTTTTTGGCTCGCATCTCGCCGTTGACCCAGATGTATGGACGGCCGGTCGGATCAAGCTGATTGGTGTTGCTTGTGCTCTGGACTGCAGGCTCGCTGGTCATCTGTGTCATGTTGTCCTCCATGGCTGTACTTCCTTGCTGCCTGAATCCTCTCAGGCGTGTGTCTATTCTAGCTTGACACGCTCTTTGAGGATGCGATTTGGACGAGTTCGCGTCTCAAATACCCTCACAAAGACCGTGTATTGTGTCAATTTCTTTGGTTTTTTGTCCACCAAGATCGCTGAAATTGGTGCGATGTGTCCCGAACAAGCATCGATCACGCTCCGTTTGTACGCGATCATGCATATCAGGGTTCGTCCGATCAGGATCGGATATCCGCATCGAGCTTCGATCGTGCCGCTTGAGCGAGCTGATCCATCTGTGGATCGACCTCTTCGTGCGTCAGTGTTCGATCATCATCGCGGAAGTGGAGCCGGAGTGTGACAGACTTCTTGCCGTCTCCGACCTGCTTGCCTCGATAGACGCTGACCATCTCGTATCCGACGCATTTTGCGAGTTCTTGCGATCGCGCGAGTGTCTCGATCGAGCTCCAAGGCGTGGACTCGGCGACGATCAGCGACAGGTCGCGATCAATTCCTGGATACGCCGGGAGCAGTGATGCTCGTGAGATTGGGGGATATGGCTCGATCAGTTCATCGATCCAAAGCTCCGCCGCGACATACTCGCCGTTGAGCCCTTCCGCTTTCTTCGCGAGATCGGAAAGCAGTCCGAACGATCCGAGGTCGATGGTCTTCCCGTCACGCTCGACGCTGATCGTCGCGTGCGCTGCGTCGCTGTATCCCTGATGCGATGGTTTGGTTGGAGTGATGATCACTGGGACATCGCCTCCGAAAGTCAGCGCGACCATTGACTCGATGCTCCCACGCATCACGCGCACGGCGTTCTGGATGTCTTCGTGCTTCGGCTTCTTCCCTTCGTAGGGAACATCAGCGAGCATCGCGAGCTGTCGGCGTTCGATCGTGTTGTGTGTGCCTGCTTTCTGAGCGAAGCAGGATGCGATCTCGAAGAGCCGTACTCCACCAGGCATCGAAGCACGCGCATCTTGGTTCGCTTTGCGTGAGTACATCAGTCCGAGCAGCACAGAAGGACGGAGTGTTGGTTCCGCTTTGCGTCGATCATCGTCCACAGCGACAGTTTCTTGTCCATCACGCAAGAACTGCTCACCCTTCTTCGGACTCGTGAAGCTGTAGGTGATCGTCTCGTAGTATCCCAGACCTGTGAGACACGCACCAATCGCACGCACGGCACGCTCGGACTGCTGAGGTTCGCGGATGCGGACATCAATCGTCTCAGACGCCGGAACCACCGCGAGTGAGCGGGCGCGAGCGACCTCTTCGATCAGATCGATTTCACGAAGCAGATCATGACTCCGGTGCGGCGGAATGACGCACTTGAGCACATCACCTGCGATTTCAGTCTTGATAGACAGCGCGTTGAGCAGTTCCGCGATCTCATTTGGATCCGAGTGCACTCCAAGCACGACATCGCATCGAGATGGACGCAGCTCTATCACTGAATCTTCTGGTAGCGGCGCGCCCTGACTCAGCACACCCTCCGCGAGTTCTCCGCCGCTGACTTTGCAGATCAGTTCCACAGCACGCTGAGCGGCGTAATCGATCGTACGCGGATCGATCCCGCGCTCGAAGCGGAACGCCGCGTCGGTGCGAATGTTCAAGCGTCGTCCGGTGTTGCGGACAGTGACCTTGTCCCATGTCGCCATCTCAAATACCACGGTGGTGGTGCCTTCATCGACCTGCGAATCAAACCCACCGATGATCCCGGCGAGGGATTGCGGACCGTTCGCATCCGCGACGACGAGATCAGTCGTCCGGAGCTTGTGCTTCCCGGCGTAGAGCGTGTTGACCTCTTCCCCTTCTTTCGCGTACCGAACCTGCAGCTCGTGCCCCGCGAGTTTGTCGTAGTCGAAGACATGGCAGGGATTGCCGAGTTCAAGAGTGATGAAGTTGGTGATGTCCACTACGTTGTTGATCGATCGCTGTCCCATGGACTCGAGCGCCTGGACGAGCCAATCCGGAGATGGAGCGATCTTGACATTACGGATCAATCGAGCGGTAAAGAGCGGGCAGACCTCGGGGACGCTGTTGGTGAGCTTGAGATCACCCTCGACGGAAGCGCCGAAGCTCATCGGCGCAAGCTCAGGCATCACGAGCGTGCGTCGATTGTCGGTGTATCGAGCCGCGGCGATCTCTCGCGCGATCCCGATGTGTCCCAGACAATCCCCACGATTGGAGGTGACCTCGACATCGAGCACGACATCGCCTTCGCCACCTGCATATTCAGCAGGTTTGTGCTCCTCGATCGGCATACCCGCCTCGGTGAGGATGTGATCGGCTTCCTCCGGCGTGAGATCCGAAGGGGAGAGGTATTGATTGAGCCAGCGCATTGAGATATCCATTGGACTGCAAGGATAGCGCGCCGCTCGTGCTTGCATAGACTCCAACATGCGACGAATCAGCACATTCTGCGTTCTTGGCGCACTCGGAATCTTCCTGAGTGGGTGCCGATCCGGACCGATCGAGATCCCGGATCATCGTCCCGGCGACTTTCGGCTCGGCGTCGTCGTCATGAACTCCGATGACTACGCGGAGGGGACCCATCGCGATGCTCGCTATCTGATTGATACCGCATCGGTCCTGCGATCCTCGTTCGGATCTGGATCGAGTCTAGAGACCTATCCAGGATTCACGCGTCGTCTCGATCACAATCAGATGGACGCGATCTGGCTGATGACCACCAATCTGCTCGAATCACAAGCGGGACGCTCAGAAATGGGGTCTGAAATCATGAGAGCGGGACAGCCGCAGAGCATGATCGAGTCGGATTCTGGGATCATCATCGAGGTCCATCTTAACTCCACTGATCAGGTGTTCTCATTTGATCATCAGAATCAGCAAGCCGCGGCGATCGTCGATGCACTCGCGCAGCTCTCATGGATCGATACGGTCCCCAATCGAGTCCCTGATACACAAAGCCCGTAAGTCCAATGTGTGATACCAAAGACATCATCCTCGGGATTGATCTCGGGACCACCAACTCGCTCATCGCGATCAACGACCACGATGGCCCACGCGTGCTCGGAGATGATCCGATGCTCCCTTCAGTCGTGCGTTGCAACAACGACGGTTCGATCACTGTCGGCAGAGACGCACGCGATCAATCCACACAGTTCCCGCTGACCACCATCCACTCCGCAAAGCGTTTGATGGGACGATCGCTCAAGGATGTCCAGAACGATCTCAAGTACCTCAACTACAGCGTCGTGCAAGGCGAGCACAATACCGCTCGCGTGCAACTCCCTGATGGTCGGCTGATCTCTCCGCAAGAGATCTCAGCGCGGATCTTGGGAGCACTCAAAGAGCGCGCCGAAGCATCGCTTGGACATCCGGTATCCAAAGCCGTGGTGACTGTCCCGGCGTACTTTGACGATGCTCAGCGCCAAGCGACGCGCGACGCGGGTCGACTTGCTGGACTCGAGGTCGTGCGGATCGTCAACGAACCCACCGCCGCGGCGCTCGCTTATGGCTTAGGAACCGGATCTACACAACCCAAAACCATTGCCGTCTTTGATCTCGGCGGCGGAACCTTCGATATCTCCATCCTCAGACTCACTCCAAGCGATGATACCAATCCGACGGATTTCTTCCAGGTCCTCGCGACCGCAGGAGACACGCACCTCGGAGGTGATGATGTCGATCACATGCTCGTCGAGCTGTTCATGAACGAGATCCGCTCGCAGCTGGGGATCAGCATCGACACGGACGAATCCACCTTCGACGCTTCGACACGGACGGCCCTCACCCAGTTCGCACGCTCGGTGAAGCATGCGCTCTCTGAGCAAGACGCCGCGAGCGTGCGGATCGAACTCGGGAACGATCGTGTGTACGAGCGGACGATCAATCGTGACGAGTTTGAGGAGCTAATCTCCAAATGGATCGACCGAGCGATGAGCGCGTGCGATCGCGCGATGCGTGACGCGAAGAAACAACCAGGCGGCGATTCGATCGATGCGCTCGTGATGGTTGGTGGATCCACACGCATCCCACTCGTGCAAGAGCGCGCCGGCTCGTTCTTTGGGATCGAGCCGTATACAGCGCTCGATCCAGACAAGGTGGTCGCGATGGGCGCCGGAGTGCAAGCGTCGATCCTGTCCGGATCTTCCTCTGGATCGCTGCTGCTTGATGTGGTGCCGTTGTCTCTTGGGATCGAAACCGCAGGAGGTGCCGTCGCAAAGCTCATCATGCGCAACACGACGGTCCCCACACGCGCCATCGAGCGATTCTCCACACAAGTCGATGGGCAGGTCAACATCAAGCTCCATGTGCTCCAAGGCGAACGCGAGATGGTCGAGGACTGCCGATCGCTTGGAGAGTTCGAGCTGCGCGGGATCCCTCCGATGCCCGCGGGAGTTCCGAAGTTGGTCGTCGAGTTCTTCGTCGATGCGAATGGGATTCTCAATGTCAGCGCGATCGAAGAACGTTCAGGGAAGCGTGCATCCGTTCAGATCGTCCCAAATCATGGCTTAACAGAAGACGAAGTCGAACGCATCGAGCAAGAGAGCTTCCAACATGCACGATCGGACATGACGCGTCATCAGATCGCTGATCTCATCACCAACGCGAAGCTCGACATCAAGTGGATCAGCGATCGGCTCAATAAGCATCGCGATCTCCTTGAGCAAGAGTATCAGGTCGAGCTGGAATCGAAGCTCAAGGCTCTGCAGGATTTCATTGATCGCGCGAGTGCTGATTGGTCCAGTGTGAATCCGAACGAGTTCCATGAAGCGAAGGAAGACCTCGATCGTGCGAGTATGCGTCTACAAGAGGTCGGGATCGCGGCCTCGCTGCGGAACGAATCGGATGCGCCGTCCGATAAATCTTGAATTCGATTTAACTCACGATCCCGATAATCACCAGTTCATCTTCGATCGAAGTCAATTGACATGTCTTCCGATCGGATCCGATCCATACTACTGCTCCTGTTCACGCTCATCTTCCAGAGCACAGCGCTCTCACAAGATCTCGATGAGGGTTTGATCACGCACT